CATTAGCCATGGCTCAAAGGAAATATTTTCCAATTCTGACGCTCTTGCAAACTAGGAAAGAGCTATGTTGAGGAAGAAATAGGCAAGAGACCACTCTATCTGCAGTTTTAATACTTTCAACACTACTATATAACAAATAATTTGAGGTAAGATTAAGTTCCAATGTGTAACTGGTTCTCTCAGGAGACCAGACCTCACATCTTTTGGTAAGCCTTCCTTCAGGAGGGCTCTAATGAAACGAATAAAGATAAAACAAAGCTAACAGCTGCCGTGTCATGCTCATCCTTTGAGAGGGTGACCCTTTTTTAGGAGCAGGTACCCCTAACTTGGCTCATATCTTTGGCTAAAAATCGTCATCCTTTCACCAAGATCTTGGTTTTTTGGTTCAGGGAAAAAAGCAATCCACAGTTCTGGGCAATACAGATTGTGTACAGCTATTGGATGTACTCTGGGCAGTATTGGGCTGCATCCTGAACACATCTAATTACATGCCTTTTATGGACCTAATGGAGAATCCATTATCTGAAACACGAGATCGTCAGGTGAGGTCGTTGGAGTGCTGACATGCTATCTCGTGACCCTCACGTGGCTCATTAGCCATGGCTCAAAGGAAATATTTTCCAATTCTGACGCTCTTGCAAACTAGGAAAGAGCTATGTTGAGGAAGAAATAGGCAAGAGACCACTCTATCTGCAGTTTTAATACTTTCAACACTACTATATAACAAATAATTTGAGGTAAGATTAAGTTCCAATGTGTAACTGGTTCTCTCAGGAGACCAGACCTCACATCTTTTGGTAAGCCTTCCTTCAGGAGGGCTCTAATGAAACGAATAAAGATAAAACAAAGCTAACAGCTGCCGTGTCATGCTCATCCTTTGAGAGGGTGACCCTTTTTTAGGAGCAGGTACCCCTAACTTGGCTCATATCTTTGGCTAAAAATCGTCATCCTTTCACCAAGATCTTGGTTTTTTGGTTCAGGGAAAAAAGCAATCCACAGTTCTGGGCAATACAGATTGTGTACAGCTATTGGATGTACTCTGGGCAGTATTGGGCTGCATCCTGAACACATCTAATTACATGCCTTTTATGGACCTAATGGAGAATCCATTATCTGAAACACGAGATCGTCAGGTGAGGTCGTTGGAGTGCTGACATGCTATCTCGTGACCCTCACGTGGCTCATTAGCCATGGCTCAAAGGAAATATTTTCCAATTCTGACGCTCTTGCAAACTAGGAAAGAGCTATGTTGAGGAAGAAATAGGCAAGAGACCACTCTATCTGCAGTTTTAATACTTTCAACACTACTATATAACAAATAATTTGAGGTAAGATTAAGTTCCAATGTGTAACTGGTTCTCTCAGGAGACCAGACCTCACATCTTTTGGTAAGCCTTCCTTCAGGAGGGCTCTAATGAAACGAATAAAGATAAAACAAAGCTAACAGCTGCCGTGTCATGCTCATCCTTTGAGAGGGTGACCCTTTTTTAGGAGCAGGTACCCCTAACTTGGCTCATATCTTTGGCTAAAAATCGTCATCCTTTCACCAAGATCTTGGTTTTTAGGTTCAGGGAAAAAAGCAATCCACAGTTCTGGGCAATACAGATTGTGTACAGCTATTGGATGTACTCTGGGCAGTATTGGGCTGCATCCTGAACACATCTAATTACATGCCTTTTATGGACCTAATGGAGAATCCATTATCTGAAACACGAGATCGTCAGGTGAGGTCGTTGGAGTGCTGACATGCTATCTCGTGACCCTCACGTGGCTCATTAGCCATGGCTCAAAGGAAATATTTTCCAATTCTGACGCTCTTGCAAACTAGGAAAGAGCTATGTTGAGGAAGAAATAGGCAAGAGACCACTCTATCTGCAGTTTTAATACTTTCAACACTACTATATAACAAATAATTTGAGGTAAGATTAAGTTCCAATGTGTAACTGGTTCTCTCAGGAGACCAGACCTCACATCTTTTGGTAAGCCTTCCTTCAGGAGGGCTCTAATGAAACGAATAAAGATAAAACAAAGCTAACAGCTGCCGTGTCATGCTCATCCTTTGAGAGGGTGACCCTTTTTTAGGAGCAGGTACCCCTAACTTGGCTCATATCTTTGGCTAAAAATCGTCATCCTTTCACCAAGATCTTGGTTTTTTGGTTCAGGGAAAAAAGCAATCCACAGTTCTGGGCAATACAGATTGTGTACAGCTATTGGATGTACTCTGGGCAGTATTGGGCTGCATCCTGAACACATCTAATTACATGCCTTTTATGGACCTAATGGAGAATCCATTATCTGAAACACGAGATCGTCAGGTGAGGTCGTTGGAGTGCTGACATGCTATCTCGTGACCCTCACGTGGCTCATTAGCCATGGCTCAAAGGAAATATTTTCCAATTCTGACGCTCTTGCAAACTAGGAAAGAGCTATGTTGAGGAAGAAATAGGCAAGAGACCACTCTATCTGCAGTTTTAATACTTTCAACACTACTATATAACAAATAATTTGAGGTAAGATTAAGTTCCAATGTGTAACTGGTTCTCTCAGGAGACCAGACCTCACATCTTTTGGTAAGCCTTCCTTCAGGAGGGCTCTAATGAAACGAATAAAGATAAAACAAAGCTAACAGCTGCCGTGTCATGCTCATCCTTTGAGAGGGTGACCCTTTTTTAGGAGCAGGTACCCCTAACTTGGCTCATATCTTTGGCTAAAAATCGTCATCCTTTCACCAAGATCTTGGTTTTTTGGTTCAGGGAAAAAAGCAATCCACAGTTCTGGGCAATACAGATTGTGTACAGCTATTGGATGTACTCTGGGCAGTATTGGGCTGCATCCTGAACACATCTAATTACATGCCTTTTATGGACCTAATGGAGAATCCATTATCTGAAACACGAGATCGTCAGGTGAGGTCGTTGGAGTGCTGACATGCTATCTCGTGACCCTCACGTGGCTCATTAGCCATGGCTCAAAGGAAATATTTTCCAATTCTGACGCTCTTGCAAACTAGGAAAGAGCTATGTTGAGGAAGAAATAGGCAAGAGACCACTCTATCTGCAGTTTTAATACTTTCAACACTACTATATAACAAATAATTTGAGGTAAGATTAAGTTCCAATGTGTAACTGGTTCTCTCAGGAGACCAGACCTCACATCTTTTGGTAAGCCTTCCTTCAGGAGGGCTCTAATGAAACGAATAAAGATAAAACAAAGCTAACAGCTGCCGTGTCATGCTCATCCTTTGAGAGGGTGACCCTTTTTTAGGAGCAGGTACCCCTAACTTGGCTCATATCTTTGGCTAAAAATCGTCATCCTTTCACCAAGATCTTGGTTTTTTGGTTCAGGGAAAAAAGCAATCCACAGTTCTGGGCAATACAGATTGTGTACAGCTATTGGATGTACTCTGGGCAGTATTGGGCTGCATCCTGAACACATCTAATTACATGCCTTTTATGGACCTAATGGAGAATCCATTATCTGAAACACGAGATCGTCAGGTGAGGTCGTTGGAGTGCTGACATGCTATCTCGTGACCCTCACGTGGCTCATTAGCCATGGCTCAAAGGAAATATTTTCCAATTCTGACGCTCTTGCAAACTAGGAAAGAGCTATGTTGAGGAAGAAATAGGCAAGAGACCACTCTATCTGCAGTTTTAATACTTTCAACACTACTATATAACAAATAATTTGAGGTAAGATTAAGTTCCAATGTGTAACTGGTTCTCTCAGGAGACCAGACCTCACATCTTTTGGTAAGCCTTCCTTCAGGAGGGCTCTAATGAAACGAATAAAGATAAAACAAAGCTAACAGCTGCCGTGTCATGCTCATCCTTTGAGAGGGTGACCCTTTTTTAGGAGCAGGTACCCCTAACTTGGCTCATATCTTTGGCTAAAAATCGTCATCCTTTCACCAAGATCTTGGTTTTTTGGTTCAGGGAAAAAAGCAATCCACAGTTCTGGGCAATACAGATTGTGTACAGCTATTGGATGTACTCTGGGCAGTATTGGGCTGCATCCTGAACACATCTAATTACATGCCTTTTATGGACCTAATGGAGAATCCATTATCTGAAACACGAGATCGTCAGGTGAGGTCGTTGGAGTGCTGACATGCTATCTCGTGACCCTCACGTGGCTCATTAGCCATGGCTCAAAGGAAATATTTTCCAATTCTGACGCTCTTGCAAACTAGGAAAGAGCTATGTTGAGGAAGAAATAGGCAAGAGACCACTCTATCTGCAGTTTTAATACTTTCAACACTACTATATAACAAATAATTTGAGGTAAGATTAAGTTCCAATGTGTAACTGGTTCTCTCAGGAGACCAGACCTCACATCTTTTGGTAAGCCTTCCTTCAGGAGGGCTCTAATGAAACGAATAAAGATAAAACAAAGCTAACAGCTGCCGTGTCATGCTCATCCTTTGAGAGGGTGACCCTTTTTTAGGAGCAGGTACCCCTAACTTGGCTCATATCTTTGGCTAAAAATCGTCATCCTTTCACCAAGATCTTGGTTTTTTGGTTCAGGGAAAAAAGCAATCCACAGTTCTGGGCAATAATCTTGCTTCAAATGGGAGTTTTTTGAGAGGGTGACCCTTTTTTAGGAGCAGGTACCCCTAACTTGGCTCATATCTTTGGCTAAAAATCGTCATCCTTTCACCAAGATCTTGGTTTTTTGGTTCAGGGAAAAAAGCAATCCACAGTTCTGGGCAATACACATTGTGTACAGCTATTGGATGTACTCTGGGCAGTATTGGGCTGCATCCTGAACACATCTAATTACATGCCTTTTATGGACCTAATGGAGAATCCATTATCTGAAACACGAGATCGTCAGGTGAGGTCGTTGGAGTGCTGACATGCTATCTCGTGACCCTCACGTGGCTCATTAGCCATGGCTCAAAGGAAATATTTTCCAATTCTGACGCTCTTGCAAACTAGGAAAGAGCTATGTTGAGGAAGAAATAGGCAAGAGACCACTCTATCTGCAGTTTTAATACTTTCAACACTACTATATAACAAATAATTTGAGGTAAGATTAAGTTCCAATGTGTAACTGGTTCTCTCAGGAGACCAGACCTCACATCTTTTGGTAAGCCTTCCTTCAGGAGGGCTCTAATGAAACGAATAAAGATAAAACAAAGCTAACAGCTGCCGTGTCATGCTCATCCTTTGAGAGGGTGACCCTTTTTTAGGAGCAGGTACCCCTAACTTGGCTCATATCTTTGGCTAAAAATCGTCATCCTTTCACCAAGATCTTGGTTTTTTGGTTCAGGGAAAAAAGCAATCCACAGTTCTGGGCAATACACATTGTGTACAGCTATTGGATGTACTCTGGGCAGTATTGGGCTGCATCCTGAACACATCTAATTACATGCCTTTTATGGACCTAATGGAGAATCCATTATCTGAAACACGAGATCGTCAGGTGAGGTCGTTGGAGTGCTGACATGCTATCTCGTGACCCTCACGTGGCTCATTAGCCATGGCTCAAAGGAAATATTTTCCAATTCTGACGCTCTTGCAAACTAGGAAAGAGCTATGTTGAGGAAAAAAAAAAAGAAACCCCCAGGTTTTTAAATTTTAAAAAAAAAAAAATAATTTTTGGGGAAATTAATTCCTTTTTTTTTTTGGGGGGAAAACCCCCCTTTTTTTTTTCCCCCCAAAAAAAAAAAAAAAATAAAAAAAAACCCCCTTTTTAATTTTAATTTTTTTCCCCCCCCCTTTTTTTTTTTTAAAAAAAAAAACCCCCCCTTTTTTTTTTTTTTCCCCCAAAAAAACCCCCCAAAAATTTTTTAAAAAAAAAGGGGGGGGTTTTTTTTTTGGGGGGGGGGCCCCCCCAAAAAATTTTAAAATTGGGGAAATTTTTAAAAAAAAATTTTTGGGGGGAAAAAAACCCCTTTTTTTTTCTAAAAAGGAATTAAATTTCCCAAAAAATTTTCCCAAATTTTTTTAAATTAAAAATTTTTTTTTTAAAACCTTTTTAAAAAAATTAAATGGGTTTTAAAAAAAATTTTTTTTTTTCCCCCCCCTTAAACCCCCTGGCCCCTTTTTTTTTTTTTTTTTTTGGGTTTTTTTTTATGGGGAAAAAAAAAAAAATTTTTTTTTTTTTTTAAACCTTTTAAAAAATTTTTAAAAAAAAAGGGGGGTTTTTTTCCTTTTAAAGGGGCCCCCCCCTTTTTTTTTTTTTTTTTTTTTAAAAAAATTTTAAAAAAAATAAAAAAAAAATTTTTCCCCAAAAAAAAAAAAATTTTGGGGTTTTTTAAAAAACCCCCAACCCCCCTTTTTTTCCAAAAAATTTTTAAAGTTTTTTTTTTTAAAAAAAAAATTTTTTTTTCCTTTTGGGGGGCCCCTTGGGGGTTTTGGGCCCCCCAACCCTTTTTTTTTTTTGGCCCAAAAAACCCTTAATTAAAAAAAAAAATTTTTTTTTTTTTTTTTGGTTTTTTAAACCCCCCTTTTTTTTTTCCCAAAAAATTTTTTTTTTTTTTTCCAAAAAAAAAGGGGGGGAAAATTAAAAGGCCAATCTTTTATTTTTTTTTAAACCCTTTTTAAAAATTAATTTAAAAAAAATTTAATTTTAATTTTCCCTAAATTTATGTTTTTGAAGCCAAATGAAATGTCTTCAGTTTTATAGGGGTGATTATTCATTTGAAACAAAATAAAATGTCAGTTCAAATAAAAAATGTTTATTGTACTCTTTTATCTTCTGCTTTAGCCACATGATACATTTGTGTGTGCATTATAACTGTTCTTTTGGGGTATTGAATTATCTATTATGTTTACTAATAATTTTTTTCTTAATTGTATGACTATTTCCATTACTGAGACGTTTTTAATATTTAATTTAGGAGGGTTTTCGAAATTTTTATAGGACTGGTTCACAGAGTGAACAGATTCCAGATTTATATATTTTTAAACTGATATTTAATAAATGATTAAAAGAAATTTTAAAGTTGCCATTAGATCCAAAAATACACCCATTATGCTCACTTAAAAACAACTCTAAATCAGTAGGCTGTCACTCTATTAATGCACCACACCGCTACCTCCACTGCACTAATAGTTATACAATAAATTCTACAATCCTAATTTTGTATCGTTATGGAGACCGGTGTTCATACAAAACATTTACTAGGTTGCCGTTTGGTGTGAGCAATAGCGAACAGCACGCACACTCCTTTGCCCCGTCAACCTATATCTAATCTATTTAAAGAGTGACAACCATACTGCACATTGAATTAGGATTCCGTTAAATATCAAATTGATTTATTGTAAACTTGTTTAATCTGTAATAAATGGCATAAAATTGAAATTTTTGTTTAACTGAATTTTTGTTTAACTGAGTTGGTTTTAATTCTTAATGAATATTACTGGGCGGCGCGCAGCCTCTCAATCTGCCGAATCTCAATTATGTTATGATTGCTTGGGATCCTCAGGTAATTATTATTATTAAATCTAAAATAGTTAATAATTTAATTAATTATTAACGGGCCCCTTATTGTGGGCAATAACATACGCTTTGAATTATATAAACAAATTTGAGTCTATTTTTCCGAGTTTGCTAATTGTCTCTTTAGATCTGTTTTGGTCTTTTGTGGGAGTTCCCACATCTACTGGTTGAGAATGCTCATCCTAACATTCATGATGCTTGACTGCTTTATTGACCCGGGCAGGCACCGAGGGCAGACATCCCAACACCAGTGTGTTGGGACATAGAGTTGGTCTGTTTCAGGATGTGTTAGATCCCAGAGAAGCCGCCATCTCCTCTACTGCTTTAGCTCAGGGGCAGTATGAGCCCTGGTTTCCTGCCACATTGGTACCTCTGAAAGTACAGAAACGTGGTGGATTTCGGGGTCCTGGATCCTCCCTCTTTATTCTTTAAGGTGTTATTATTTCTCTGAGATGTTTGTAGAGTCTTTGTTTTTTAGTCTTTCTAGTTGGCTAAGTCCTGGAGAGATTCATTCTGTCCCCAGGGGTGAGAGTTATCTGAACCAACTGCATGCCCCTACGATTGCGTCACCACTGGTGAGCAAGCATTTGTTTGTTGTTTAGTTGTGTTGAAAGGGAACATTACTTGATTAATTCATCCATTCGGATTTTAATAACAATGAGCTATGATATACAGTTCATCTTAGATTATTATTATTATTATGTGTTACATGCGCACCAGGATTAGATTCTCAATCCTCAGGAGCACCCTGATAGCGGTCAGGGGTGAGAGAGGGAGACGGCAATCGTATACATTGCCAGTCAGTGTAACTTCGTTTAACTTGATACCTGCCACCATGGACTATGAATGTTTCTAGACACTATCCTTTTGATATTGAGATATTGGTATTTCAGATCACGTGTACATCGTTCCTTTTTTACGACACAGTAATTTATTGACACTCACAGCTATAATTTTAATCATTGAATCAGTATTTTTATCTGTGCTCTGCGAATGCATCACATGAATCAGTTTTTTAATCTATTAACTTATTACACATTTGTGCTCTGCTTTAGCATCACTTGACTATTTTTTTTTAAATTGTTTGTTCAGGCCATGACCTTATAGTCAGCCAATTGGCCATTGCTATATTATGTGTATATTGTTTGAATATTCTTTTCTCATTAAGAACTGTCAGTAACAACAAGGAGACCAAGATACTTGGTGTGATCTCAAAGATCAAAAACAGTGGGCTGCTCCTAGACAAAAACAACTTCTTATTCGGGCACAACACGAGTAAAAATCTGGACAGCCGAATAATGGACTACATTCACAGCAGCTCACCACTCTTTGCGAATATCCAAAAGATCATGGGTGGTGACAGTGGTGAGGCCTGTCGTTTCTGCAACAGCTTCGATGATTCTCCTGTACAGTGGCGTAACGTTGCCTGTTGGCGCCCCCCTGCCGAAAAGGCGCCCCCCTGTTGGCGCCCCCTCCCCTTTTGGTGCCCCTCCCTAAAATTGAACAAATTAGGTGATTTTAGAAGATACGTCGGTAAAAATCTCTAAAAAAGTGTGTATCTAGAGCAAAACGCGCAGTTTTGCTAGTACTTTAGTTAAGTTTTCGAAATTGTCCCACATTCAAACGACGATTTGGCGCCCCCCTAAGACGGCGCCCCCCTGCACAGCGGGGTCAGCAGGGCCCTTCGTTACGCCACTGCTCCTGTACACCAGCTCCTATTGTGTCTGGAGGTGCAAGACACCAGTTACCTGCAGCTAAAAGAAGAGCTGGGTGGGGCTGACTCACATTCCTATCTAGATGAAGTGTTAACAAAAAGCAGCACACAGAAAGCATTCATTAGAAGAGTCGAATTTCTTTGGGGACAAAATGATGCTCTCTAGGATTTATCCAACTAAACTAGAAAGATCATAAAATAAAGACTCTGCAAACATCTCAGAGAAATAATACCACCGTAAAGATTAAAGACTAAAGAGGGAGGATCCTGGACCCCGAAATCCACCACTTTTCTGTACTTTCAGAGGTACCAATGTGGCAGGAAACCAGGGCTCATGCTGCCGCTGAGCTAAAGCAGTAGAGGGGATGGCGGCTTCTCTAGGATCTAACACGTCCTGAAGCAGACCAACACTATGTCCCAACGCACTGGTGTTGGGATGTCTGCCCCCGGTGCCTGTCCGGGTCAATAAAGCAGTCAAGCATCATGTATGTTATAAGAAATTGAATGCTTTTTGTGTGCTGCTTTTTGTTAACACTTTATCAAGATAGGAATGTGAATCTGCCCCACCCAGTTTTTCTTTCAATTGCAGGTAACTGGTGTCTTGCACCTCCAGACACAATAGGAGCAGGTAAAATGAATGGTGCAGGTAAAATGAATGGTGTTAATTTTTAAAAAGGGGGGGACCCCAACCCATGTAGCTGAGACACCTCACAGCAAGTAGACCAAAGTGGCTCTTGCTTGTTGGTGCGTCAACTACCCACCGAAGCGGTGGGTTGGGAGTCCCCCCTGGGATAATTTCGTCCGTAAAATTATATACAACATAAAATAGTACAGTAAAATATCAAAATTTACATAACACATAAACAAATCTAGGAGACCTCAAAGCTCGTCTTCTGGTGGATGAGGTTGAAGGAGATGTCATGGTGTTAATATAGTGTTATGTACACACATACATTTGACATTGTAAAATGAAGATGTTTGATCCTAAAAGTATTTTATTGACGAAGCGAAATAAGCTATATTAAATTTGTTTTAGAAATTTTATTTTTTTAAATAATCGCAGCCAAAACGCAATAATATAATGTATATAACATTAACTCAGTTACATTAAATACCTTAAATTGCAATAAGATTATTTAGTAATATCATTACAATGTGCAACGAACCATTATTATCAAACTAAATATACGGTGTGAGCATTGAAACTTTATGCTATTATATATAAACGGCAACATGGAAAGAGATGCGACCGAAATATGACAGTGTACAATTGATAATTGATATGAGAATAAAAACTGCGCAACAAAAATTTGTTAAATCTCTTTATTGCAAATTTCTAAATCATAAATGCGCGGCGACATACTTTGAAATCCAAATAAAAATTATTTTTGATCCAAATATTAAGCAAAATTATGGCATAGGGCAAATGTTGTGTAAAAATGTAATGAACAATATAGTAGAGGCTCTAACGGGCAAATAAAGCACTCTTCTGCTGGAGCCCCTAGGCTCCTAAGATGATTGTTTTATGGACTAGTAAGTAGTGCCGCATCGATAGCCAATCTCAGATGCAACTATGGAGGCTGTATGGCCATGTGCTGACGGTTATTTGCTTTTTCCCGCGCACCTTACTAAATTTGCTCTAACCCATAACCAGAGCGTCCTCTCGCTTGCAGTAGCGCGCGACCGCCAAAGCATATATATTATATATTCAACTTGTGAAATAAGCGCGTCACTGGTCACGCAGTACGCGTATACACATGGCTATGTGAATTGTTAAATCACATTGACCATTGTTAATAATCTGGCCCAGCGCTTGACGGATGTTACTCGTCTAAATTTCTTCGAAGTTGCATGGCGCGCGCCGCTTTTTTCTCGAAATGTTATGGCCCGATGGCACGAGCTAGGAAGTAGCGCGCGCCGGGCCAGATCATTAACAATGGTCAAGCCCAGCACGCGCTACTTCGTAGCTCGTGCCATCGGGAACATTTCGAGAAGAAAGCGGCGCGCGCTACTTCGAAGAAATTTAGACGAGTAACATCCGTCAAGTCGGGATTTGAGAAGTGAGACATAAAATGTTCAACCGCAAGTTGACGCTTTTAGTACTTGTAGGTTTACAACCTACCAGGTACGGTGTACGAGGAGGGCCACTAATAAAAAATATAGCACTTTCGAAAAAATATACATTTTTTAGTATGAAATATATAGAAAATATAGAAAATATAGAAAATATATAAAATATAGAAAATATAGAAAATATATAAAATATATAAAATATACAAAATATATAAAATATACAAAATATATAAAATATACAAAATATATAAAATATACAAAATATATAAAATATACAAAATATATAAAATATATAAAATATATAAAATATACAAAATATATAAAATATATAAAATATACAAAATATATAAAATATATAAAATATACAAAATATATAAAATATACAAAATATATGAAATATACAAAATATATAAAATATAAAAATATAGCATTTATAAAAAAACATACTTTTTAAAAAAAAGTACTTTTTTGTAAAACGTACATTTTTTGTAAAACGTATATTTTTTAGTGGCCCTCCTCGTACGACTCGTGTACGAAAAGGGCCACTAAAAACGTACGTGATACGCGCGCAGTCACCTATTAAATTTGCGTATGGAGTTCGCGGCTCGACAATATTTGCCAATAGATGACAGCCAAACCTCACCATATGCTTCATGCATTAGAGGCCGATAGTGGCAGAATGTACACTGTCGCCGATGTAGACAATTTTTATTCCTAATGTTATTTTATTAAACTAAGACTCGTGCTGATTAGGCCCGTCAAGTATAGAATTTTCAAAGTCTATTGTAACGGCTACTTCCCCTGTTGTCTAAGAGCTCATTCAGATATTTTCAAATAGGCGGTGGTATCATTCCGGGATCAACCATGGGAAGGGTTTTGCAAGTTCCCCTCATTTAGGTTGGTACGCAGGAGCTTTAGCTGGAGTTTTGTCTTATATTTTAAAGGTTTTAGAGGTATGTATCGCAGCATTGCTGTACTATTCTTTGAATAGTTTCAATTCAATTAGGTTTACTACCAGCGTGTACGTAAAATATTACATGTTTTTGAGAATTTTCTTATATTTCCGATGTAAGATAATATCAAATTTGTCCGAAACCAGAAACTGGCCCGAACAAAGTGTATCACCCGGCAAGGGGCCGTTAACATGTTACGTAAGCGTATCTCTGTCTATTCTAAATACATAAATCCTTCCCTCCCGAGTCCCGAACATAAGCAAATTTAGACATTTTATAGAGGAAATGTATACACGTTATGACAATACCAGGCCCCCCTCTTGGCGTTCACAACATGTTAACGATCGCTACCGCCGTATTTTAGTGCTTTAGAGACATAACAAGTAAAAATGATTTCTTTGAAAACGCACAAACATAGTTCTGTATAAAATACAAAATATAGCTCGAAATAAATCGAAAGTTACTCTCAAAGTTAGCTATACTGTAAAACACCTTAAAATGAATTTCAGATCATTTTAGTTTGTAGATTAACATCTGAATTCTAGAATCGTTTAATTATTCAACAAATTTATTTACAAATCCTTAATACTATAATCATATGTATAATATTGTTGTGGTACTACAGTCACTTTCGGATTATATCCCACTTTATTGGCATATCAGTTTCCTACCTGACACAATAAAGTACTAGCATTTTGATTCTGATTATATCCCCTTTCGGGTTTTATCCCGTTGATAACTAATATCCGTTTCCTCCCAAAACGGGATATAATCCGAAAGTGACTGTACTCGAAACTTTTTAAGACGAAAAAACTTTCTGGATTCAAGAATTTTCGGCGATCCGCCTTTATCAGATAACTAGCGCAAATTTGTGTTGATGAAGTAGATTTGTAAAGTTTAAACCTTTACAAAACAAATTTCCGCTAATTATCTGATGAAGGCGAATCGCCCAAAATTCATGAACAAAGTTTCTGTCTCGAGTACCGCAACAAGATTATGTTTATCTCCGACAGGGCGATGCTTGCAAGAACTGAATATGTAATTAAACTAATATAAACAGTTAAATATACACCATTTCTTAGTTACTAAAACGCTTCTTCCTGAGTCTAGAATGTTACTTGCAAGTTCTGAGTTCATCTTGACTGATTTAGTTTGTTCTCACTCGACTAGAATAATCAAATATTGTGTCAAAAGTATCGGGATCAGCTGTCGTAGTTTACAGACTATAAAACATCGCTGTAGAGAGTTGTACGGAATTGTGGATATCTTGGCAGTATAAATCGTCAATCGCATCATTCGGATATCTTAGTACCTTTTCCTGAAGATATACAAAGTTCAAACTAAATAAAAGCAATTCTTTAGCTTTTAAACTTTTGGGGGGGGGGGGGAGGGCAAGCACATCTTTGCCCATCAATGCCAATGCCGTTTTGCCAAAAACTGGGAACGTTTTGTGGCATAAATGGGCATGCCCATGCCCATTTTGCCGATCTCAGGGTCAAAATCGTAAAATCATGAAAACATTGTTTTATACCATACCCCACTCAGCTAAAATGGGGGGGGGGGTCCAACCCGGGCTTTCCCAAAAGTCACCTGTCGTAGCTCCACCACCTAGTCCGAGGCCCGAGCGCCAGCCCGAATGCCAGCCCGAGTGCCAGGCCAGGCCCCAAATTCAGCCCCTGCCCGAGCCGAGCCCAGCTCCTCCCAGCCCGAGCTCTTTCCAGCCCCAGCCCAAGCTCCTCTCCTAGCACAAGCCGCAGTCCGAGTTCTTCCCAGCCCAAACTACAGCTCCTTCTGAAACGTTGAGCAATAAACTCCCTCGTGTTAATTTTCTTCTTTAAAATTATACAGAGTGTACCGTACTTGAAAGGACACATTTTACTTTGAAAGTTAGCTTGAATAAGTTTGCTTGAATATGGCAATAAAGATTCAACTGATTAATTAACCATGGTTTCACCTTCCATAAGAAATCTTCTGTATTGATGCAGGTGTCGACATGTAGACAGTACTGAGTACAGTGCTGTAACCAGTAATCGGCCCTGTTCCGTTGGCACGTTTCTAAGCACCAATCTTCCTACAAAGAATGTGAAAGACCTTTAATTACTTAATTCGAAGATACTGTAGTATGTGATTTTCAAATTTTTCCCCCCTTTTTTTTATGCAACCTGTTAACAAAACTACTTCAATAAAACCTAGGGTAAAATCACGAAAAAAAATGTTTTTTGAAAATTTAATTTTTGCTCCCTTTAAAACTTTTTTTAAATTTGGGGGGCCAAAACACGACGGGTAACAAAAAGGGGGAAAATTCCCAATTCCCCCCCCCCTTACTAATTTAAACCCCCCCCCCCCAACCCAAAAAAAAAATCCCAAATTTTCCCCCTTTAATATTAAAAAACCCCCCCCCCAAATTTAAAAATGGGGGTTTTTGTAATATTGCGGTTTTTTCCGTGGAAAATATAGGGCCCCAAAAAAACAAAACGGTTCATGATTTAAAAAGGGGGTTACCCATAAATCTGTTAAATTTTTAAAATACTTAAATTTGTTTAAAAACCCGGGCCCCCTAAAACAGGGGTTGTCCCCCGTAAATTAAAAAAATGGGCTTTTTTTTAATGGGGAAAAAACTCAAAAAATCAACTATGCAAGTTTCGTACAGGATTTTTCCCAAGCCGAAAAAGGTTTAAAGATTACAATTCCCTATTAAATTATGTTTAAAATTTTCCAACGTTTTTTTTTTGGGTTTATCAGTTTAATCTAGAAACCATGACTTTAAAGGGCCCCTTTAAAAAAAAACAACATAAAATCGTGCAGTCAAAATGATTTTTTACTAGTAAAAAAAATAATTGCCCCTTTTTAAAGGGGGGGGGGGGGGGGGGGGGGGGGGGGGGGGATCAGTGATTACTGAAAGACAAGGGGGGTGCGAGTCTTTCGGTTTAAAAAAAATCAGTAAGCCCCCCGGGAAAAAACTGGGCAAAAAAATTTCACCCCCAATATACGGAAAATTGGCTTAAAACCCCGTTTTAGAAGGAAATTTAAAAATTTATTCGCTGCCGGCGTTTTCGAAAAAAAAAATTTAAAAAAATTCGAAATTTTTTTGGGTTTGTTTTTTTGTACATATTTTTTTGATCTTGGTGAGTTCTAAATCGGTCAAAGCTAAAAAAGGGGTAAACGAATTTTTATTTCGAACGTTTTTGGGGGGTTTTCCCGCTTTATCAAGTTATATACGGGGGGTTTTTTTTTAATTTTGGGTTTCCCCCTCCTTAAAATGGGCATGCTTATTGCACAAATAACATACGCTGTGTTCCCATCTGCCCCGGTAGTTGCAAGTAAAATTTTTTAAAAAAGTTTAAAATTTTTTTTAAATTTTAAAAAAAAAAAAAATTAAAAAAAATTTTTTTTTTTTTTTTTTTTTTTTTTTTTGCCCCCCCAAAATTTCTTTTTTTAAAAAGGGCCCAAATTCCGGGGGCCAAAAAACCCCCCTTTTTGGGTTTTTGGGGGGGGGTTTTTCTTTTTTAAAAAAAAATTTAAAAAAACCCTAAAAAAAAACCCCCCCCTTTAAATTTTAAATTTTTTTTAAACCCCCCAAAAAAAAAAAAATTTTTTTTTAAAAACCCCCCCCAAAACCCCCCCCCCCCCAAAAAATTTAAAAAAAAACCCCCCCCCCCAAAAACCCCCCCCCCCCCCCCCCCCACAAAAAAACCCCCCCCCCAAAAAAAAACCCCCCCCCCAAATTTTTTAAAAAAAAACCCCCCCCATAAACCCTTTCCCCCCTTTTTCCCCCCCCCAAAAAAAAAAAACCCCAACCCCAAAAAAAAAAAAACCCCCCCTTTAAAAAACCCCCCCCTTTTAAAACCCCCTTTTAAAAATTTTTCCCCCCCCCCCCAATTTTTTTAAAACCCCCCCCCCCCCCCCCCAAATTTTTTAAACCCCAAACCCTTTTCCCCCCAAAAAAAAACCCCCCCCCCCCCCCCCCCAAAAAAAAAATTTTTTTTTCCCCCCCCCCCCTTTTTTTTAAAAAACCCCCCCCATCCCCCTTTTAAAACCCCCTTTTTAAAAATTTTTTTTTCCCCCCCCCCCCAAAAAATTTTAAAAAAGGGGCCAAAACCCCCCCCCCCAAAAAAAAAAATTTTTTTCCCCAAAAAAAACCCCAAAACCCCCCTTTTTTTTTTTTAAATTTTTTAAAACCCCTTTTTCCCCCCCCCCCCCTTTTCCCTTAGGGGGCCCCCTTTCCCCCCGGGCCCCCTTTTCCCCCCCCCTTTAAAAATTTTTTTTTTTTCCCCCCCCCCAAACCCCCCCCCCCCTTTTTTCCCCCCCCCCAAAAAAAAAAAAAAAAAAAAAACCCCCCCCCCCCCCCCCTTTTAAACAAAAAAAAAAGGGGGGGCCCCCCCCCCCCCCCCTTTTCCCCCCCCCTTTTCCCAACCCCCCCAAAATTTTTTCCCCCAAACCCCAAACCCCCCAAAAAAAAAAATTTTTTAAAAAAAACCCTTTTTTTAAAAAACCCCCCCCCAAAAATTTAAAAAATTTTTAAAATTTTTAAAAACCCCCCCCCCCCTTTTTTTTTTTTTTTAAAAAATTTCCCCCAAAAATTCCCCCTTTTAAAACCAAAGGGGGTTTTTTAAAAAAAAATTTTTTTTTTTATTTAAAAAAGTTTAAAAAAAATTTGGGGGGGGGTGGGGGGAAAAAAATTTAAAAAAAACCTTAAAAGGGTTTTGGGGGGGGGGCCCAAAAAAAGGGGGGTTTTTTTCCCCCCCCCCCTTTTTTGGGGGGTTTTTTAAAATTTTTTTTTTCCCAAAAAAAATTTTTTTCCCCGGGGGGGGGGGGGAAAAAAAAAAGGGGGGGCCATTTGGGGGGGGGGGGTTGGGGGGGGGGGGGGGGAATTTTTAATTGGGGGGGGGCCCCAAAAAAAAAAAAAAAAAACCCCCCAAAGGGGGGGAAAGGGGGGGGCCCTTTGGGGGGGGGGGGGGTTGGGGGGTTGGGAAATTTTTGGGGGGGGGGAAAAGGGGGGTTTTTGGGGGGGGGGGGTGCGGGGGGGGGGAAATTTTTTGGCCGGGGGGGGTTTTGGGGGGGGGGGGGGGGGAGGTTTTGGGGGGGGGGGGAAAGGGGTTTTTTAAAAAGGGGGGGGGGGGGGGGGGGTTTATTTGTGGGTTTTTTTTTTGGGGGGGGGGATGGGGGGGGGGGGGGGGGGCTTTTTGGGGGGGGGGGGGGGGTTGGGGGGGGGGGGGGTTTTAAGGGGGGGGGGGGGGGGGGGGGGGGAAAATTTTTTGGGGGGGGGGGTTTTTTGGGGGGGGGGGTTTTGGGGGGGGGGGAAAAAAAGGGGGGGGGGGGGAGGAGGGGGAAAAGGGGGGGGGGGGGGGGGGGCCGGGGGGGGGGGGGGAAAAGGGGGATCCTTTGGGCCCCAAGGGCGGGGGGGTTTGGGGGGGGGGGGAAAAAAAAAGGGGGGGAAAAAAAACCGGGGGGGGGAAAAAATTTTGGTTAAGGGGGGGGATTTTGGGGGCCCCAAAAGGGTTTTTTTTTTTTAAAGGGGGGTTTCGGGGGGGGGGTTTTTTTTGGGGGGGGAAAGGGGGGGGGTTTTTTTAAAAAAAAAGGGGTTTTTAAAAAAAAAGGGGGCCCCCCCAAAAAAAAAAACCCCCCCCTTTTAAAAATAAAAATTTTTTTTAAAAAAAAAAAATTTTTTTTTTTTTTTAAAAAAATTTTTTTTTTTTTTTTTGTTAAAAGGGGGTTGGGCCCTTTTTTTGGGGGGGGGGGAAATTTTTTTTAAAAATTTTTTTTTTTTTTTTAAATTTTAAAAATTTTTTTTTTTTTAAAAATTTTTTCCCCCATTTTTTTGGGTTTTTGAAAGGGGGAAAAAAAAAAGGTTTTTAAAATTTTTTTAAAATTTTTTTTTTTAAAATTCCTTTAAAAAAAAAAATTTGGGGGGGAAAAATTTTTTTCCCCCCCAAAAAAAAAAAAAATTTTAAATTTGAAATTTTTTGGGGAAAAAGGGGAAAGGGGGAAAAGGGGGGGGTTTTTCCCCCCCGGGGGGGGAAATAAACCTTTTTTTTCCCCTTTTTTTTTTTAAAAAATTTTTTTTTTCCCCCCCAAAAAAAAAAGGGGGGGGGGGGGGGAAAAAAAAATTTAACCCCAAACCTTTTTTTTAAAAAAGAACCCCCCCCCCTGGAAAAAAAATTTTAAATTTTCCCAAAAAAGGGTTTTTTTTTAAACGTTTTTTAAAGGGGGGAAAAAACCCTTTGGGTTTTTAAAAAAAAAAAGGCCCCTTTTAAAAAGGGGGAAAAACCCCTTTTTTTTGGGGGAAAAGGAAAGGGGTTTTTTTAAAAAAAAGGGGGGGGGTTTTGGAAAAAGGGGGGGGAAAAAAGGGGCCCCCATTTTTTTAAAAAAAACCCCCCCCCCCCCCTTTCCCCCAAAAATTTAAAAAAATTTTTTTTTTAAAAATTTTAAAACCCCCCAAACAAAAACCCCCAGGCCCAAAAAAAAAAAAATTTTTTAAAAAAAAATTTTTACCCCTTTTTCCCCCCCTTTTTTTTTTTTGTAAATTTAAACCCCCCCCTTTTTTTGGGGGGGCCCAAAAAGGGGAATTTGGGGGAAAAAAAAAAAAAAATTTTTTTTTTTAAAAAAATTTTTTAAAATTTTTCCCCCCCCCAAAAAAAAGGGGGGCCCCCCCCCCGGGGGGAAACCCCAAAAAAAACCCCAAAAAAAAAAAAATTTAAAAAAAATTTTTAAAAAAAAACCCCCTTTTTTGGGGGGGGGCCCCCCCTTTTTTTAAAAAAGGGGCCCCCCCCCGGCCCGGGGGGCCCCCCCAAAAAAAATTTTTTGGGCCCCCAAAAAAAAAAAAAAGGGGGGGGGCCCCCCGTGGAAAAAAGGGGGAAAAAACCCAAAAAGGGAAACCCTTTTTTTTTTTCCCCCTCTTTTTTGAAAAAAGGGGGGGAAAAAAAGGGGGAAAAATTTTTTAAAAAAGGGGGAAAAAACCTTTAAAAAAAAAAAAAAAGTTTTTAAAAAAAAGGGGGGGGGGCCCCCTAAAAAAGGGGGGGGGGTTTTTCCCCCAAAAAACCCCCCAAAAAAAATTTTTGGGGCCCCCCCTTTGAAAAGGGGTAAGAACCAAGTGTTGCATATGAACTGTTGTGCGCGAGCAATCAAACACATACGATTATCGTGCTGCATTTTGGGAGTAAAATTGTGTATTAGGGAAGCGAAATAGAAACAAATGGTGTACGGCATCATGTTCGGCGTCCAAATCCAGTCCGGTCTACTTCAAGAAAGAAATCAAAGATACATTTAATAATGTAAAAAATTTAAAAATGCTAGACCCGGATCCGTGAATTCCACGGGCAAGACCCTGGTATATCTGGGGTCCAAGCCGCGCGCAAAAGTCAGTTGGCAGCCCCTGATCTGTGTCTGGCGCATGTAGACTCGCGCGCTCAGCGCTGCGCGCGCGAAGTATCAGGGCTATTGTAGCCAACCCTAAATCGTCAAAAAAAAATAACACAGTTTCAGTGAGCGCGCAGTCCCCTGCTGATCGAAAATGTCGATTCCTGACCCCTTAATTAGTTAATTACCCTAAATTTGTATTTATTTGGCTACTCTTGACTATTTTGCACGAGGAACATGGTTAGATGAGTCTAGAGGCACATAAATTAGTCAAACCTAGTGGAAATTGATATGCGAACTTTTATTTGTTCATAAGGAACAACGTGATGAAAACAGTTTTCAAATTGACCAAATCTGTAAATAGTTATGGCAATGCGCACAATAAAAATAAAGTGATTTTTTGCGATTTAGGGCTTGCCATTTCCTATATAAATGCGCGCGTATCACGTACGTTTTTAGTGGCCCTTTTCGTACACGAGTCGTACGAGGAGGGCCACTAAAAAATATACGTTTTACAAAAAATGTACGTTTTACAAAAATGTACGTTTTTAAAAAAAGTATGTTTTTTTATAAATGCTATATTTTATATATTTTGTATATTTTATATATTTTGTATATTTTATATATTTTATATATTTTATATATTTTGTATATTTTATATATTTTGTATATTTTATATATTTTGTATATTTTATATATTTTGTATATTTTATATATTTTGTATATTTTATATATTTTATATATTTTATATATTTTGTATATTTTATATATTTTGTATATTTTATATATTTTGTATATTTTATATATTTTATATATTTTCTATATTTTCTATATTTTATATATTTTCTATATTTTCTATATTTTCTATATATTTCATACTAAAAAATGTATATTTTTTCGAAAGTGCTATATTTTTTATTAGTGGCCCTCCTCGTACACCGTACCAGGACGCGCGCCGAGTTGGACTCGATGGATCAACAAATATTTTACGAGTATCACCCGTTAATTTTAGTACACACTCTATAAAAATGCTAAATCACTCCACACTCGTTGCTACATGCTAGCTTCGAGATTAATTTCTAAAAGTATAGGTAGTGCGCCATTGACAGTGAGCCTCGCGTGCCGACTGTAGGATGGTTTTTTAGCGCTAATTTCCGCCAGCACAAAATTTGTTTCTCTAACAAAAATTGGTTAGCTTACAAAACTGTTGTCATATGTTGGGACAACTTAGATTCTGAATTAAACCGAAAAGTTTGATTTTGGGCTAAAGAAAAGATCACAGCTTTTAAACTTTGCAAAGTAATGTCGTTGTCATGACTACTAGGCTCAATGCAGCGTGCGAAAGGTAAAATTGACGTGACGCACGACGACAAATGTGCTGTTGAAAATCTATCACCTCTAGCGAGCCCAGCAGGCGGTAAGGTTTTCTGGGTTACGGCCTTCGGTCCTTTTCGGGCCAAAGAACCATATTTATAACAGTCCATATTTTTACCCCCCATAATTTGTAGGTTTACAACCTACCAGGACGCGCACCGAGTTGGACTCGTCGATGGTCCAATATATGGAACAGATATTTTACGAGTATCACCCGTTAACCCATAACACATAACCAATAACACATAATTTAACCCCGAGTCAAATGTTGTTGTTCCTTTTGGTATATCAGTCATAATATGCTTAACGTTTCTTTCATTTGTAATTCACGTCCAGACGTATGCTTGGAGAACTTCGCCGCGCAAACTATCTATCTTACTTCACATCGATAGGAATTGAACGAAGGGATCATTGCTCTGTTAATTCGCAGAGCAACGATCTGGAAGGATTGACATCATCAATCAACTCATCAAGAAGTATAGTATGCTTACGTTATTGTTTGCTGAATTGAAGCTAGTTCTGGTCCAAAAAGTCTACTATTCCCCATCCTTTCAATTTGAGGGGTTAACTAGGAGCAATTTTAATTTAAATTTCAGATCAGCAACTTCAGATGAATAATCACTTTTTGGACGAGTTTTAACCTTCCTCCCCCTCCGTAAACAGTTTTACACATAGCTAGCTATTGTGTGACCAAAATTATCATTTGGAAACCCCTCCCCCTCCGCTGATTACGTATCCATTTATCACAGAAGGTTTAATTTCTCTTAATATCCTATTATTTCAATTACATCACACAGAAGAAATGAAAGTCTTGGATAAATTGAATAAAAATTAACAAACAACCATCACAGATACATCAAAAATATTGACAAAGAATCAACCTCAGCAGCTCAACTAAATAAAAACGTGTGTAACTTTAAATCAATTTCGAATATATGATTATGTTTACTAGTCTCTGATCTCTAGTATACTCTACTTTACTCAGCGTTTCCTGTAAATTGAAATTATCAACAATCATCTCATCTCTATTAATATCTTTATCACTAAATCAACGGGGCAGTATTCCCAGTATTACTTCAAATTTATTTGAAGTTTTTTATTACTATTAGTGTACATGAGTGTTATAGAACATAGAAGGGAAACGAATTCCGTTAAAATGCCCAGAATCCCCGATTAGAGCTGTACTAAAATTTCATATGTACACAATGAATAATGATAGTGCAGTTGTGATGCATGGATCTTCTTGTGGCATTGGTAAATTTTAGGAGACGTTAGTCGCATTGTGGTCTTGCAGTAGCAAAAAGCATCAGTCACATACTCAAAGGCCAATATAAGCGCTTCATTTTCGCGAATAAAAACATTGAGCATGTCATGCTCATACATGATTTATGTCAACAAAAATAGGATTTGTGGAAAATGAGGAAATTTTATTCAAGCCCTAGTATTACCGTTGCGAAGAATATGTACCACACATCACATCCAAACAAACCTATCAAACCGCGTAGGGCCCTCGATCCAAGAGTGGTGTACTAACCTTGTCTTGTGTTTCTTGTCGGGCGAGGGAGAGGAGTACTTGTAACCGTAGTCTGATGATGAAGAGCTGTCTTTCTTCTTTCGAGTTTTTGTCTTCTTTTTAGTTTTCCTATCTGATGATGAGCCACTCCGAGACGAGGATGAGGATGGTGAGCGACGCTTTTTTGACGATTTGGTCTTCTTTTCGACTTCCTTGGTTGCTTTCTCTATCTTCTTGTTAAGTTCTTTTATCTTCTCTTTCTTAGAGGTTTTATCTTCTTTCTTAGATTTTCTTTCTTCTTTACTTTTTGACTTATCATCTTTCTTACTCTCACGTTTTGAGGATTTTTCCTTCTTCTCCTTCTTTTCCTTATCCGGTTTTGACCGACGTGAAGATTTTTCTTCATCATCTGAGGAAGAAGACGACCGACGAGACTTTTTTCTCTTACGACTTTCATCTGGGCTGCGATGACGAGATTCGGTCTTTTCATCGCGTGACGATTTTTTAGACGTTTTCTGTTTTGGAGTCGACAATTTGCCTTCGCTTTTGGATTTATCCGAGTTTTTAACTTTCTCAGACTTAGAGGGCTTACTCTCTGATTCTTTCCTCGATTTGGAATCAGTCGGAGATGATTTTGATTGTCTACGTTTTGCCGAAGAGTTTTCCTTGTTGGAGTCTAACTTTAAACTGATAGGAGTAAGAGGGACGGGAGGCGAACTAGCGGACAACTTCTTCTGCCGATCATTGCTGTCCGAGCTGGAACTATCAGACGAACTGTCAGAGTCCGAGCTTGACTGGTTTTTGTATGACACTAGATCTGAAAATATGTTACTGTCACAATGTAGTTTCAAGTTATTGTGTTATTACGACCGATAATGTTATAAAATTTGTTCAAAATCAATGAGGATGAAATACAAAAATGTCTTCAAGCTGAAAAATCGATGCTCACCTATTCCATTAGATCCATTTTTTACTTTACTCTTGCACAATTCATCCAGTTGCCTAATAGCTGAAAGAAAGTTCAAGTAAAGCACAAAGCTGAGAAATGTACAATTCAAAACAAACATAGAGACTGAGTTAAAGCAACGAGTTATTTCTTTAAACGAGTACGCTAAATATAAGACTATTTAGGCATTGCTAACTGCTACGACTATGTAGCTTATCCTAATAGTCAGATTCTCAATGTAAGCATCTGTATTTCGGCAACTTAATAGAAGTACTCGTCATTAAAGCACAAATTTTGTTGCATTCTGTAATAATCGTTATATCCTAAGTAATAATCCCATCAAATACACCATTGAAACCACATGGGCATTGACCAGCAAATAACTCGAAAACAAACCACTAAATCATTCAAACAAACAAACCTTGCTGCTGCTGAATGCACTCCATAACAATCGCCTTAAGTTCAGAGTTGGTCACCTCCAGCAGTATCTCAGTCAGAGAACGTTTCACAAACAGCACCTGAATACAGTATGTTCTGTAAGTTCGGTTACAAAGACGGTGTAGGCACGGTACAGGCACCTGGTGTGTTGTGATGGCTTTCACACCTAGTGTTTAACAATGGTACGTGGGTAACTAGGTCAGAGTACTTGATATTACGTTTCATCTAGGTGGTACTCTAAACGAAAAGGATATAATATACATATTGTATGTATTGCATTGTACATTAAGCGTTCACAACGCAACGGTTATGATTTTAGTAAGAATCTTGCAAAATATTCACACTTACAGGATCCATTTTAGGTTTTATTTCATCTGGCTCATCTTCTGATTCAACTTCCTAAAAAAAGTGATGTAAGTTATGAGAAATATGTTACATGTTTGTCAAACTTTGAAAATTCTTTCAACATCCAATAGACACTGGGAGTATATTCGTCCACATCGGGCGACATTTCACACGTAGAATTTAATGTTTTGGTTCCGAACAATTTTTCTAATGGCACGGAAAGTTGTTTGTAATAACATTCAGGTAGTCAAGCTATCCTGACACCATAGGATTTTATTTCTCAGAAAATGTACCTGGATACTCCTATTAAACTAGTAAGACCTTTCGACCTGATGTCAAGTTTGCCAACGAACTGTTTGAACAGATCGAAGTGAAACCACGGTATGAAGCTGTCAGGATTGGAATGAGATCAGCCGACAAGACCAGACCTATCAAAATATCGGTCACAAATTCCAATTATGTCCACGAGATATTATTGAAATCGAAGAACCTGAGACGGAGTCAGCACCACAAAACAGTTTACATTTCTCCAGATCGGTCACCTGAAGAGCAAGCCAGACAACATCTGCTCGTTTTGGAGATGAAAGGTAAGGCAAAGAAGGACTTGAAGAGACGATATTATATCAGAAGTGGTATTATTTGTTGTGAGGAAAAGATATCAGAGTGAACGATATGTAATTATGAAGTGTTTCTTTTGTTTACCTTAACGGGTGATACTCGTAAAAATTCTAATTATATAAGACCGTTGACGAGTCTAACTCGGCACGCGTCTTGGTAGTTTTTAAACCTTATATGTGACATATTTGTAAAGTTTTTGTGTGAAATAAAGTACATTGGTTCTTAAATTTTTATGAGACCCCAGTTTATATATTAAAAAAAAAAACTTTCTGCTCTGAGGAAGAGAGAAAGTTTTTTTGGAGAGCCGCTCAGACATGGGCACCGTATTGTGTAAATTATTTAAGTATATTTTATGCAATATCTTTGTCGCATAAGAGCGGGGTAGTAAATACGGTGTTTCGTTTCGTTTCGTTTTCGTACCTTGTAATTACATCCTACAAAAGGCAAGGTACATGTCTCTGAGCAGATTAGAAAATCCCCTGGATCGGGTCAAAATACTCTTGTTACACCTTACAAAAGATCTATCAAGATTCAAGATCACTCCTAAGCATGTCTTAGGGAGCGTTCACATGTGACGTCAGCAGCCGAGGGGGGAGGGGGTTTGGAAATGCTGAGCCTTGCTGAATTTTGCCAAAAATTGTTGCTTCAAATAAATTTAATTAAAAATAAAACTTCACTAATTTCCTTAATATTAGTACTTTAGTGTTACAATCAATCACATATTAATTTTCCTACCTAGACCTCCCGTAAGCATTTATATACCTGGACCCCTCGCAGGCTGACGGGAAGGGGTATGTATTAAGGGGGAGGGGTGGTCTGGTAAATGCTGAATTCATTAGGGGGGGGGGGGGGGGTCTTGCTGACAGTTGCTGACAGGCTATTATGTTCATAAACATAGAGATGCGGCGGAATGACAGGCTGAGCGCCGCTTGAACTATTGATAAATTAGTTCAATTTCTCTCGGGCCGGGTTAACGAGAAGTTAAACCATCAAGGTTCGTGACTATTTTTTGTATTGTAACGCGGAGTTATACCGTACATACGTAACCAAATTTCGTTCGTGTGTACACGGCTGTTCGCGTGTACGCGCGAGCTTTACTGCCGACTAGAAAGTTGTACTTTATATGCAAAACGGTATAAAAATTGTGTGCTTTTGTAGACTTTGCGCGCGCCGCGCAATGTGTGTTTTATTCGTGCAAGAATATTCGCAGAATCGACTTACCTCCCATATCATTTACATGACCATTGGTATAATAACTCAAGACCTCTTGCCCTGCTCAACCCTGATGAGTCCAGCAGATGAACATTCTAACCATTTACCTATGGATTAATTTAACTACCAGGGAACAATAACATGAAAACTATTCAATAATCCGAACCTTTTCGTCAGCTGAGCTAGCATCAGAGTCAGCAAGGACACTGTAACCACTGATTTTGTTTCTCTGTATAGCAGCTGTACTCCCTCTGTTAATCATCGCATCAAATCCTGTCACGTCGGTAGCTTTAGGTCGTCTCGTCAACTCGGTGTTATCAACTTTACCCTTGTCAATTTTACTTAGACCATCGCGTATCCAAGCAGGAAGTGCTTTTCGTCTCGCAGGCTCGGCAATTCCCACTGAAAAGGGAGATATTAGAGTTTTTGTTGTTGTTTTTTTAATATAGTAAGGGGAAAAGTGGTCGATTTAAGGGTTCCGTTGGATTTAAATGTTCACAAGGATTTAGCAACGGAATATGGTAGTTAGAACCCCTACGAACATAATTAGACTTGTCACCAATTTTGTTTCTCGACAGAAACACCACTTTTTACCACTTTTTACCACCTTTGTACCACCTTTCTAGTTTGCCAAATATCTTTAGTTGTGAACGTCGTAGAAGGCTGGAAATTAACCTAGAATGTTTATCTTATCAAGGAGTAAAACTTTTATAAGAAAAATTTTTACATCGGACAATCAGCTAATTAGATAATTACCAATTAGTTAATTACCAAAAAAAGTGAAAAATTTTTATTGGCTCAAAATGATTAAAATCGTTTGAAACACGGAGAAATGTAGTTTTTAGAAAAACTTCAAAACTTTTTCACTTACAAATTTTTTTCGAGACTTATAAAAATTTCGAAAATTTGAAAAAAAAATTTCCGCCAAAAGTGATCGAATTGCATGAAACGTGGATAAAAATGCTTTGCAGAAAAACTTCGAACCTTTTTAGATTGGGGAATACTAAAATCATCAATATTTGAAGTTGGAGTTCAGTAAATCTCTGCATATTTTAGTAATTAGGAATAGCTTAGCGGAAAGGGCTGAACCTGAAAAACGTTAACCACACAATATTAGAGTTTTATAACTAATTACAATACAGCTTTATCAAATTCCACATAAAGAAACAGCACAAAAGGACCGTTTAAGATCGAACCAATTTTACCAGCTGTATACTATCATTTTATTGATTTCAATGATCAAAACCTCTCTGTACCGTCAATCTTGCCAATCTATACCGGGTATCTGAATGTACCGGACCTCTTCTTTGCCTCTATAATAATTAGACCCAGTTGTGCAAGAAATGCGATTTCTCACAGGGGCTTCTTTTAACTGTGCACCTTTTGTCACTCCCGCAAGAGGCCCGGTATTATAGGGGGGTATAGGAAGTGTAAATATACCTTCCATCATCCACTGTGGCTTTTTTGTGTTTTGAATGCACATTGCACATGCCGCTTCGTTTGCTATGCAAGATACCTCGAATAACCCCCATATGTCATTGCCAGGGTCGGGATAGAGCTGGAGATAGCATTGAGAGGTTGCTAGAAATAACTAGACTTAGAATAAAGTCTAGCTATCAGATTATGATGAAAGGTTGTTAAGCTTAGGGGTGGGCGACAATTGGCCCCCCGACAATTGACCCCCGACAATTGACCTCCGACAATTGACCCCCGGAAATATAATTTAATACAATTAATCCTGACCCTGACCCTGACCCTGACCCTGACCCTGACCCTGACCCTGACCCTGACCCAGGACCCTAACCCTAACCCTAACCCTAACCCTAACCCTAAACCTAACCCTAACCCTAACCCTAACCCTGACCCAGGACCCTGACCCTAACCCGATCAATTGACTCCAGTGTAATTACATGGGGGGTCAATTGTCGGGGGGTCAATTGTCGTACTAAGCCCTAGATTTTGCGACAATTGACGCCAGTGTAATTACATAGGGGGTCAATTGTCGGGGGGTCAATTGTTAGGGGGTCAATTGTAGCGGTACAAAGCTCAGGACGGTGATCTTGATAGGTCGGATAGCTGTACCTGATTGGTTCCAGCCCACCGTGTCGCTTGGAATTAAGTTCTCACCCCAGGCCACCTCTTCCAAAAATGCAGTTACCAGAGCAGGAAACTCTTCTTCCTCCTCTTCTTTCAACCCAAACACAAACAGGTTCCTGCTCCTCTCCTCCTCTGCAGCCACAATCTTATCTCCTTCTTCGGCGTTTTACTGTTGCAGACTGTATCACTTGCACTGTTCTTTTGCAGTACTCCTGCACTGTTACACTGTAGCTCTGTGTCCCTGACTCCACCGTGCTTTGCACTGCCCCTAAACTGCAATCTTAAGTAAGTTTAGTTCCGGCACTCTTTGGCCATTAAAATAACCAACCCCAATGAAACCCCGTGTAGCTACGTTCTGCTACCTCCATGCTAGCACCACCCAGCTACCACCAGTTTATTCTAAGTCTAGCTATTTCTAGCAACCTCTCAATGCTATCTCCAGCTCTATCCCGACCCTGGCATTGACATATGGGAGTTATTCGAGGTATCTTGCATAGCAAACGAAGCGGCATGTGCATTCACAACACAAAAAAGCCACAGTGGATGATGGTAGGTATATTTACACTTCCTATACCCCCCTATAATACCGGGCCTCTTGCGAGAGTGACAAAAGGTGCACAGTTAAAAGAAGCCCCTATGAGAAATCGCATTTCTTGCACAACTGGGTCTAAATATTATAGAGGCAAAGAAGAGGTCCGGTACATTCAGATACCCGGTATAGATTGGCAAGATTGACGGTACAGAGAGGTTTTGATCATTGAAATCAATAAAATGATAGTATACAGCTGGTAAAATTGGTTCGATCTTAAACGGTCCTTTTGTGCTGTTTCTTTATGTGGAATTTGATAAAGCTGTATTGTAATTAGTTATGAAACTCTAATATTGTGTGGTTAACCTTTTTCAGGTTCAGCCCTTTCCGCTAAGCTATTCCTAATTACTAAAATATGCAGAGATTTACTGAACTCCAACTTCAAATATTGATGATTTTAGTATTCCCCAATCTAAAAAGGTTCGAAGTTTTTCTGCAAAGCATTTTTATCCACGTTTCATGCAATTCGATCACTTTTGGCGGAAATTTTTAGTCTCGAAAAAAATTTGTAAGTGAAAAAGTTTTGAAGTTTTTCTAAAAACTACATTTCTCCGTGTTTCAAACGATTTTAATCATTTTGAGCCAATAAAAATGTTTCACTTTTTTTGGTAATTAACTAATTGGTAATTATCCAATTAGCTGATTGTCCGATGTAAAAATTTTTCTTATAAAAGTTTTACTCCTTGATAAGATAAACATTCTAGGTTAATTTCCAGCCTTCTACGACGTTCACAACTAAAGATATTTGGCAAACTAGAAAGGTGGTACAAAGGTGGTAAAAAGTGGTAAAAAGTGGTGTTTCTGTCGAGAAACAAAATTGGTGACAAGTCTAATTATGTTCGTAGGGGTTCTAACTACCATATTCCGTTGCTAAATCCTTGTGAACATTTAAATCCAACGGAATGCCACTTTTCCCCTTACTATAATTTGTTTCCTTCTTATGTTGACCACGCGAGTCGCCACTGATGAGGGGTGGCTGTATGTTGGTACTCGCATTTTACGTGGCTTAATCATAGTATCAACAACAAAATAATATTATGTGAATACCACATTCTTAAAATAAGAGAAATACCACAAGAAACTACCTGAGCAAGAGTACAAACACAAGATACAACAAAGGGTGAACATTGAGTGTTTAGTCGTGGCCAGAAAACAGAAAATACAAAATAACAAACCCAGCAACCATCAGGAGGATAGGCATGGTTTATCTTTTAAACAAAACAAGACTGGAAAGCAGTTGAAAAGAAATGAGAAGCTTTATTTATCAATACGTCAATTAAAAACAAGATAAGATCAGAACAGAATAATAAGCCATCTCACATTTCTTCAGAGATACCAGACAAGTAATCAGTTTAGGGGCCATCCATAAATTACGTCCATTAGGGCTTTACCAAATTGGTAGACGTAATTTATGGATGGCCCCTTAACAGAAAATTCACAACGAGTCCTTTACAATCGCACAAATATAATTGCGAGTACTTACTCTGCATCTCCTGTTGTATTGCAGGGGGCGGCAATCTCTCTTGAAAACCTCTACTTATCGGAAGGGTGTGTGTAGGAGGCGGCGGCAGACCTCTTTCTTCGGACTGAAAAAATTGTGGGTTTAAAATTAAAGTTTTTATAATTCTTAGCATTTCTGAGGGACTATTTTTTGCGAAGATCCATGATTATTTTTAATGGTTAATGATTTGGTATCCATTCATAGTTCAACGTTTTTGTTGTGAATTCTTAAAGTTAGTTTTTGTCAACTTTTGACAGGGATAAAAGAAACTCATAATTTTTTAAACAAATTCAATCGAGACAACTTTACAGATCTTTTCAAACATTAACATTTCAATTTCTAGTTTTCCCACAGACAAAGTTTGGTACGTATCTCAAAACTCTTTTATCGCTCATTCCTACAATACCGCAACTTAATAAAACCAAACGCCGATCATTCAGTAATTCCTGTAATGATCATCAAACGGTTACTGTTATAAATTGAAAAATAAAAGATAATTTCTACTCACATGTTTGGTGAAAGGGACCTGGGTATTAGGAGGATAACCTTGTGAATACTCATCTGAGAAACCTTGCTCGTACGACTCACCACCGCCACCAGCTGGACCTACCGCGCCGCCACCGCTTGCTGCCCCAAAGTACTGCTCGCTGTACGCTGCTGCGCCACCTTCCGTCTGGAAACCATTGTACCCCTCTCCGTAGAAACCAGGATATTGTTCACCGCCACCCTGTGAAGTATTCAGTGGAACATAGTTACCAGAGAAAGTGTTGGAGTTGTTGTACTTGTAGGCAACACGAAGCTGGTTCAAGGGAGGGTGGTCAAAGTGTGGTACTCAGATTGAGAGATATACTTACATTCCAGGAGTTACTATTATATTGAACTTCCAAAGCAGGGTCTGTTACTGCCGACCTTTTAGAAAATGTGGTTAGATTGCTAAGCTGACAGCATCTGTTAAAACAGTCAATACAAATTGTAATTCTACGTATCAGAAAAAAAAGGCTGTTGATTGTTCAAATCTCGATTGATTGCTAAGGTATTTTTAGTGTCTTTTAAATGTTGATTTATACGTTGACAAAAATACCATTCGTTTGATTGGGAAACATCATTGGGCATGGCATCCTCCATTTCAGTTTCATTTTCCACAATATCTTGAAACTGTTGAGGAGGGGGCGGTGGAGGAGGCGGAGGTGGTTTGGTCGCTTGTTCTTGGGCCCATGCTGCTGCTTTAGCCGCCCAATCCACTGAAAATATACTCTTTTGAAAGAGTGGGTCAAATCATGCCCACTATCGAGGCGGGTAGATAGAACATATAAAATACATCACATAACATATTATAATATATCATACATCAAATACCTAAAAATATTGAGGCAAAAGATCTTTAAGTGGACTAATTTATGGATCTGACAATGCTTACCGCTAATAAACGTGAGGTGACGCACTTGGCGAAATTGCAAATTCCACGTTAATCTAACCCGAATTACTGTATCTAAATTAGCTTATTATCCTACTCTCTCTACTATTCCTACCATCTCCCTCATCTCTTTAATGCACAACTAATGGGAATTCGGAGATACCTATACTGTGGACAAAACTTTTACTATGAAAAACATCATAATTAAAATATCAAATAAATATGCAATGCGATTTAATAATTTTAAATAACAGAATAATCCATGTAACATCTCGAATGTGTCAACAATTAATCTTTCCAGCACAAAATCTGTCGCTTCTCACATACTAAAAGTATACCATAGTAACATAACACGGTTCGTTCTACGTGTTTTATGCCAAATATTGTCATCTGATCTAGATATCATCTGATCCAGATATCATTTAGTCTACGGATCATAAGAAGATAAGCTTTTATCTACCTGGTGCAGGCTGCGAAGCCAGTGGATCTGGGTTCCACGTTTTCCACATAACAAATACTTATTGATAGAGAATTGAGTTGTTGGACAACTTTCCGTTAACTGTAGGATTTATAAGTCAGCGCACGGATGTAAAAGTTTGCTCACTGAGAGGGTTATTTGTCAAGCCTGTGATGTTTGATGTTATTGATATTTCTTTCGTCTGATGCTTGTTAATAAATGTAACAGATGTTTTTTCAAATGTCTTCAAAGTTACCCAAACTCACCTCAGTTAGGATGTCCTGCTAAATTGTATGACAATTCTCACCTTTCCAGGATTATTTTCATGTGCCTAACAAAAATGTTTCGTATTATGGGTGAAGTTGATTTATGTTGCTGTAACATAACAATCTGTTTCATTTTAAAGTGACGCTGGTATGCTCTGTCAAAAGAGAGTCGACAACAAAATATAATAAACAAGAATGCAATTTGTTGTTTAAGCAAATTTTGCCAAGAGGAGAGTGCATGTTGAGAAGAAAACTAAGGATTGTATTGAACTGAAGATAGCATTCACAATAGCATGCTATATATTATCTGTCATGATAAAATGATAAATTTAAAAAACGAATATTCATAAATTTAAAGTTTCTAGAATGCTTTAAATATGTATATTCAAACCTGGATTGAGTCATGAAATTAAACTGACTAAAATTATAAAATTAAAAACCCGAAGCATAATATGACACAAACATGAGATTAAAATCATGCAAACTAAGCAATCCTGTTCTTAATGTAACAGCTGAACATAAAGATTCAATCTGTCTTCTATTTGCTGACAACAACTTGACCCTTCTTTATCACATGAGAAATTATCTCAGATGCATTCATCTGGTATATCACATGCTCCCATCGAGGAGCATCTATTAATACTAAGTCACCCCACTTTCCAACCTCGATTGAACCATGCATGTCAGATTTTCCAACACTAGCAGCAGCATTTAGAGTTGAAGCAACCAAGGCCTCTTCCATTGACATACGAAACATAATACAGGCAAGGTTCATGACAGTCAGCATTGATACACAATAAGCATTAGGGTTGAAATCCGTACCCAGTGCTACAATAACACCTTCTTCGAGCATTTTCTTGACAGGTGGATGCTTTAATTTTAAAATGTGAGCAGTTGTGGGTAATATCACTGCAACTGCATTGCTCGAAGCCATATGCTGAATTCCTTCATCTGATATTTCCTCTAGATGGCTGATTGCTGTAGCACCAATAGATACGCCCATCTCAACACCACCAATGTAGTTCAACTCTTCTGCATGGAAATTTATCATCATTCCTTTCTCCTTTCCAGCAAGGAGAATTTGTTTTGAACTTTCTGTCTCAAAAACACCCTTCTCACAGAAAACATCAATGCTGTCAACAGAAATTTCACCATTCTTTATTGCATCAAGAACTGCAGGGATCTGATTTTCCAAGACATCCTTTGTTGCACAAATTTCATCCATCCCTTTAGGCTTCGAGTGGGCACCACAAAATGTAGAAGATATATCGATCGGTTGGAGTAATTTAGCCTTCTCAATGACTTTTAACATCTTCAGTTCAGTCTGAGCATCAAGTCCATAACCAGATTTCGACTCAACAAGTGTTGTCCCATTCCTCAGCATCAATTTGAGTCGTTGCAAATATAAATCAAGCAAAACCTCCTCACTAGCAGCCCTGGTCTTGTCTACTGTAAACCCAATACCACCTCCTGCCTTATGTATTTCCATGTAGGAAGCTCCCTTCAGTTTTAAAGCAAACTCATGCACTCTATCACCAGCCCACACAGCATGTGTATGACCATCTACCATTCCAGGAATGACACATTTGTCGGTGGCATCAATAACTTTTTCAAAATCAGACTCTGGGGTGGATGAGATTATTTCCTGTAATGGACCAATTTGGGATATGAGTCCACTATGGTCGATGGCGACCGATGTGTTTTCCAATACAATGAACTGCTCAGCTATATCTTGACTTTTCAAAAACTTCTGCATTTTAGAGCATACCACCACAACTTGGCTGGCATTTTTAACCAGCAAACTCATGTTCAAACTTTTCTGTAGTGTAAAAGTAAAATTTAAAAAGACAAAAGTTCGGTTAGACTAAAGAAATAAAAATTATGTGGAAATTCAATACAGCCGAATGATCCGGAAACGTGATAATGGGTTCAATGATCAGGGATCGAAAGATCCTGAATCTTTGACATGCTCAGGCCGTGCGAATTTTCAATCCCAATCGCCAACATATCGAGGAAAGACCATGCCACAGCTCTACACTCTGCAAGAATCAGTACATGAACCATGTGCTACAATTGGAGAAATAAAAGGGTCATTCGTCCCCCTTGTATTTACCACTACAAAAGGAATGGCACCTGAGGCCAAGCGTTTCATAAGGAGACTTGTGTGGATAGCCACCAAGACCAAGGAGGACTACAGCCAGAAAAAGAGCGGACAGTAAAATAGAGAGCAGGAAAGACGGAGCGCTGCTAGCACAACTCAGAGCAGGCCATTGCCTTCTACAAAAATGGGATCGCCTCTACAAAGAGTGCAACTTGTCCCCGTTGCGGAGAAGAAGAAGAAACAGTACCACACTGGATTCGGTGCCCTGCAACGATCAGGACGAGAGAAGAAATCTTCGGAAAATCTGACTTAAACTTGGACATACTAACCACCAACCCGATAGAAATCCTGGCGTTTGCTAAGAAGACCTTGCTTGAGGGACCCTTAGACGCCTAGCCCATCACCACCACCACCACTACAGCCAGGCGATGTGTAACATCAGGACACGCCTGAGTATGGATATAATGAAGAGTCTGCTAGTAGCAGATTGAGGTGTACGTGGAAAGGTAAAGAAGGCATGGACTGCCCCTATATCCAATGTCTCCTTCAACCTGATACCTGAGGATAGGAGCTACGAGGGATAGATGATATTTATTGCTCACGATTTACGATTGTGCTCTTGATTTATGTGCATCACTGATCACTTGATTTAAGTGCATCACTTGATTTAACTTATTGTATATATATACTGTTTGACAAAAAATGCTCAGGCCAGGAGCTAAGTGTACAATCAACTTTTCGATATGCGAAAATTCGATACATGATGTATGTTAAACCATGTCACATAAATACCTCACAACCGTGCCTTACAAAATTATGAACTGTCCACAAAATTATAAACTATTCACAACATAACATGGTAATATAGGATTGGGCTCACAAGTCACAACAAGTTTCTGAAGTAACCTATTCGTCTTTTCCATCAACGCGATCATAATCGCGTTACCCAATGAAAACAGTACACAAAAACAACTTTTAATAACAGGCCGAAAAATAAAGAAATTATCAAGACATGATGACTTTAATAAAATAGTGAAGTAAAGATTCAAAGTAATTAACATTTTGGAGGAATATCTCCTTGTCTAGAATAATTCGCAAAGCTGTGGCTCATGACTGACAAACAAGATTTCGGTTTACAATTCATAGAACTGCAAATATTGAACCACTATCGCCTAAAAAATTTATCAATGTGAATAAACGATAAATATGATGAGTTAAGTTCAGAGACATACCATACTGTGTATCATACTTGAAGAATTAGTAGGACATCTGGACATGGTTATAAAATTACCAAAATGGATATAGTATAGCGCTTGATGCAATGTCATGGCACGAAATATAAATTATAATACATCGACTAAAAGTTTACTACGCCGCGCGTTTACATAGTTTTTCACAGCAAAAACTTTGTGTTAATTTTGCTGAATATTATCTGTGTTACCAAAAATTTAAACTTTAATACATAATTATTTATCATGCATACCAAATGAGTGACAATATTCAAACTTCGATTTGATACATGTTATGTATCCCAAATATCAGAGATATGCAACGTATGTCAAACTTCGATAAAGTATTTGACAAACGTTGCATGGCACTTTTCGCGCGCGCGCTGCCGAAGGTGGAAAAATATCTCTGATATTTGTGATACGTAACATATATTAATAAAGTATATAAAATACTTTTCGGAAAGGGAAAATTTAGGCAAACATGATGTGATTAATTTTTGGTTGATTATAATACAACTGCAAAAAATTATTCTAACTTTAAGCAAAAATGGGCACATTTTGACCACATTTTAAAATGTTTACCCGGAAAAATCTTGCCATACGTTGTAAGACCCGCCGCGCACGAGTGCGCGGCTCCCCTGTATCGTAGAAACTATAGTAAAGCGACAGTGGGGGTCACCACGTGATACAATAAAAATTGTAGGTGTATTTTTTCACTTTTCAATATATATTAACTTTACTCTTATCTTGAATCAGTTAAGTTGAATGTTGAAATTCAGTTCCAGTATCCAAAAAGTTAATGGGTGACACTTGTAAAATATTGTGTTTGATTTCCAATTTATCGAGCATCGTCCCTTTGGCAGCTCAGCTGTTAGCGTTGTAGACCACTTAAGCTTTTTACAGCTTTAATTTCCTGCTGAACGAAATCTTCTTACCACTGAGCCAAAATCTCAAATTTATTTACATTATCTATTTGTTTTATCAACATGAACATTATTTTCACAATGTTGACTTGCTAGAAGTAAAACAAAATTAGTATGTAACATAAGAAAGTAAGCCACTAAATAAAATCTACAGTGCACATGAAAAAGATAAGAAAGATCTCCATGAGGAGAGAGTACTTCAGTCAGAGAAAGGGTCCTTTGTACGCTTGACGAATACAAGGAGGTGATAAGGAGCTCTAGTTCTCTCGTCGCTAGGAACTCTACTCCCAACACTACTTCGGATCCCTCAACCTTCGTCACAGGTTCGCCAGCCGGACACGAGGAAGTACTAGAAGCTACTCCGGTAAGAAGTTTGCGATCAAAGTTTGAGTTTGAAACGCATAATGTTTGTGATGGACTGGACTTTCAACGCATAGGATCACGTGACGTCTCTTACTTTGGCTCCAGTAAATACAGTTACGGCAGTATTACCCATCGCGCTAAGGCCTACCCACCATCTGATCACGCTGTAAATAAGATACTAGACTGTATAGCTGAGGAATTAGACGATCCCACCTTCAATAGGGATAACGTTACTTGCATGGTCACTAGATACCAGACAGGCTCAGACTCTATCCCGTTTCACTCGGATAATGAAACAGGCTTAACGGGTGAAATCATCACTGCCAGCTTTGGGGCCACTCGCACCTTAACTTTCCGTAACTTAGTCACTGATGAGCGACGTGAACACGAACTAAGTAATGGCACAGTGTACGCAATGACCACAGAGTCTCAGTTTTTCTGGGAGCATGCAATACAACCCGAACCTGGCGTCACCTCGTGTCGTGTGTCAGTGACCTTTAGACGCATAGACAAGCCCATGCGCACGCACATTCCTAAAATCCATGAACCGTCAATAGCACCATCCGACCCCCTGAGACCCTCCAAACAGACTGTCCTATACCTTACTGACTCTATGATACGTAACACCCCATCATCTTTCCCCTCTAACTTTCGTGTCATAAAGCGTGACATGTACCAACTCACGGACTTAATGAAGTTTGAAAATTTTTTTGAAAACTGCGATTATGTGATTATATCTTCAGGTATTAATGATTTGTCGAGATATGACCATAGAAGCTATACACTTTCCCGTGAAATTAGGGACAATTTTAACTACTTGTTTGCTAGATACCCAAAAACAGTGTTTGTTTTCAACTCCCTTCTTAGAACGAGATTTGCATGGTTAAATAAGGAAGTTGATTTGTTTAACCGCTGCATGTTTGACTTTAGTCTGATCGAAAATCGTAACTTTTGGTTTTTCGACTCCCACCATATTTGTAGAGTGATATTTAACAAAGGGTTTGAGATTTTAGATAGATCTGGAAATGGGATTCACATTACTCAGCTGCCCAAGAGTGAGATAGCTAACTGTCTGGTGACCGGTGTTCAAAACCTCTCTATGCGAAGCGAGAAAGTTCGAAAGCACTGGCCATTAAGGCGGGAGTTTGTCTCGCTCTTGCCTGGTAACTAACGGTTAAATACAAACTCACAAAGCCGTACCCAAGCCTACAACTTATACTTGCCGCGCCTAAATTTTCAAAAAATTTTTACAAAATCTTTAAGGGATTATAGCTTACATCTTATAGCTTACATCTTTATGCAAAGACAGAAGAAGAAACAGTTTTAAATGTTCGCAAAAGAGCAAATAATAATGAATCAAAACAAATGACAACATAATATGTAACATAAAGACATAATAACAACAAAACACGATATTCGAATAAAAAACTTATACAATACATCAATACAATCCATAAATACAATACATGAAAATAATATTAAACCTAAAATTAAATACATCATAGATTGGCTTCATTGCAATCTAGTTGAAAGTCTTCACTAACGAAGCCGTCCTTTGTTTTTATTAGTTTATTTTAATTTTATGTTGTTCAGGTTCTTTTGGGGGGCATTTCTTTGTTCATTGTGATATTTTTTATTTTATTCTAATTTTCTTGTAAAAAATAGTTATAATGAAAACCCTCGCATAAAAAAAATTAAACACTTTAGAATAGTTCTGAAATCAGTACCGCTATCGTAATATTGTAATATTGTAGACTACGTTACGATTCTATCTACACACAAAGCTGTATAGTTCTTGATAGGTAGGTCTAACAAGTTTTCTTTTTTTCTTCTTTACGCTTTCTCAGCACACAGTTTATTCCTCATTCATTCACACGCACACACATTAGCATTTTATACATATTCTTAGACTGTACAAGCTATTCTATACACCATACTTTACACTCTTATCTTTTTAATATCTTACTTAATTATTCACAGATCTAGATATCTGGTATTTACACATCTTGAACAATGGTTGAACCTAGTTTCAAATCACAATGCTCAAGTTGCTTCGGGTGGTCTTATGCTCCTAGAAATGTTTTCATTTGTCCTCTATGTGACAAACCAGTTCATAAAAAATGCCTCAAAGATTATCTTGGTTGTATTACATGCTGTCTAAACCTAATACCTGGCTATAGAGTGTTATATATTCTAGTAATTTATTGTATGATTAACCGATATACTATTCAGGATGACTACCTGGGTTTTGGTTTTGGTTTTGGTTTAGCTTTTAGCTTTTAGTCTTGCGTTTACCTTGTCACAACGATTCATAACAATGGCGACGAGTCTGGTTTCGAACTTACGCTTATCCAAGGAAACTGATTGTGTCAGAGAGTGGCTGGAAATCTTTGAAAACGCCGCTTCTGTGTTCATTTTCGCACACGCAGATAAGTTACCAGATGACGCAAACGAGAAAACTGCTAAAAAAGCAGAACTCATGAGAACACTGTTAACAGTCAATCTGGGGCCTGACGCGTTGAAGAAGTTGCGTGCATTTACATTTCCAGCTGAAATTAAAGACACTGACTACGCTACCCTGAGAAAAACTCTTGTTGATCGGTTATCACCCAAAACGAACATTGTAGCTCAACAGCAGAAGTTTATGACTTTAAATCAGATTGCTGGTGAATCCTTATGTACTTTTATGTCACGATTGAAGGAAGCTGCTAATGTTTGTCAGTTCGGTGATTTGTTTGATTTAATGGTGCGTACACGTTTTGTGGCTGCACTATCCTCTGATAGGATACGTGCTGAACTCATATCAGAATCTGCTACCAATGACACGTCTGCCAGCCTGTTCGATAAAGCTCAGACGAAGGAGAACGCTCTGCAAAGTTCAATGTCAGTCACAACACACTATGTTCAAAAACCCGGGAAGTTTCAAAAACCTCAAAACTCTAAGTTCCATCAGAAGGCCGACCTTAGCATTGTTTGTTCACGTTGTACTGTTCGTGGTCATGTTGCGAAAAACTGCAAAGTTCGTTGCAGAAACTGTCGCAAACCCGGACATATCGCGAAGAACTGTCGTTCCGCTAAGAAGCAATCCCATTGTGTTGAAGGGATTGGTGATCATGATGATGGCAACGCTTGCGCTGCTGATTATGGGTACACACACCAAGAGTTGGAGAACACGTTGTACTGCGTGGAGACGGCTGATCCTGTCCAGATTCCAGTACAGACTCCTGTTCCCGATGATACTCTACCTGCATCAGTTGTTAGTAATTTATCCAGTTGTATTGATTGTAATCAGAAACCATTTCTTAAAGTTAAGATTAATGATAAGATTTTGAAAATGGAGTTAGATACTGGTTCATCTTTAAGCTGTATAAGTAAGTCTGATTTTGCTAGACTAGGACTAACTGATTGCCAGATTGTTCCATGTTCCCAGAAATTGCGAGTAGCTAATTTTAATTGTGAAAGCATTGACTGCAAGGCCCTTGTAAACGTTGAATTTAGAGGCAAGAAATGGATTTTACCACTGTATGTTGTCGATTGTCGGTTTCCCACACTCCTAGGTCGAGAGTGGATCATCCAGATGTTTGGTAAAGACTGGTTGGATCATATGATAGGACTTGTTGATGTTGAGCAATCTTACGCTGTCTCCAAGCTTCAGAGAGATGAATTTGTTAGTGAGATACTCCGCAGTCCTGTGTTCGATCCTGGTGTTGGAACTGTTAAAGGATTCGAAGCTTGTCTACAATTTAAGCCTGATGCGAGAGCAAAGTTTTGCAAGGCAAGGCAGGTCCCATTTGCCATCGTAGACAAGGTTGGGAAAGCCATAGACGAGTTAGTGAAGAATGGACAGCTGATTCCAACAGAGCACTCAGACTGGGCTTCACCCATAGTTCCTGTCATGAAAGCGGATGGTACGATTCGCATATGTGGTGACTACAAGACTACTGTAAATCCTAATCTCGACACAGCTATTTACCCACTTCCTACGATAGAGGATTGCTTGAGTAAGATTGTTGGAGGTAAACTGTTTACTAAGCTGGATATCAGAGCCGCTTATAATAGTTTGAAGTTGAGAGAATGTGACCAAAAGATTGTGACTTTGAACACACACAAAGGATTGTTCAGTCCTACTTCTCTACCATTCGGTATTTCATCTGCCGGACCAATATTTGAACGCAAGATTGATGATACCTTGAGAAAGACAGAGAACACAGCATGGCGTGTTGACGACATTCTAATAACTGGACCTGATGATGAGAGTCACATGAAGAACGTGAGAACGGTGATTACAGCACTAGAGAATGAAGGCTACAAATGCCGGCTAGACAAGTGTGTTTTCATGGAGCCTAAGGTGACATTTCTAGGCCATGAAGTATCTGCTGAGGGGATAAGACCGCTGAGTTCGAAAGTTGAAACCATAGTGAGAGCACCGTATCCTACTACTAGAGCGGAGATGATATCATTTCTTGGTGGTGCACAGTACTATTCACGTTTTATTCCCAACATGTCAACAGTTGTTGAACCACTTAACCGTTTAAGACCCGCTGACAGTATTTTCCACTTTGGAGATAGAGAAAAGAGAGCTTTTGATGAGTTAAAAGCACTGTTATCGTCTGACTTGGTTCTAACAGTCTACAACCCTGAGCTGGAGTTAAAGCTTGACACGGACGCTTCATCCGTTGGTTTAGGAGCTGTTATGTCACATATTGATGAAAATGGAACAGAGCGACCGATCGAGTATATATCTCGAACTCTGACGAAATCTGAGAGAAACTATTCCATGATAGAAAAAGAAGCATTGGCAATAGTTTGGGCGACTAAGAGACTGCACCGTTATCTTTTTGGACGACCATTTACCCTAGTTACAGACCACAAGCCGCTGGAATCTATCTTTCACCCTAGTCGTGGGATTCCTAGCATGGTGGCAGGTCGTTTACAACGATGGTCATTGTTCCTTAGCGGTTACACTTACAAGATCCAGTTTCGACCCACTGGTAAACATTGTAATGCTGATCTATGTTCCCGTTTTCCACTGCCTTTAGACACATCGGCAGAGACGAGAGAGTTTGATGACGAGTTAACAGAGGAGTTTGAAATGAAACCTCTAGATACTGTTTTCAGCGTGCACTACTTCGGTGATGACAAACCTTTGATTGACGCTGAGTTAATAGCTAGTCACACGAGAAGAGACAAGACACTTGGTCGACTGTTACAGTTTGTTAAAGACGGCTGGAACGAGAAACCCCCTGTTGATGTCGAGCTGAAACCGTTTTACACACGTCGAAACGAGTTGTCAGTAGACCAGAACTGTATTGTCTGGGGATCTCGAGTTGTTATTCCAGAGAGTATGAGAAAGAGCGTGCTTTCAATGCTTCATGCAACACACATGGGCATTTCACAGACCAAAGCACTAGCGAGAGGCTATGTTTATTGGCCAAACATGGATGCTGAGATCGAGAAAATGGTTAAACTATGTGAACCATGTCAACTAAACCAGAAGAAACCCGCTAGATCTACACCACACCCATGGGCTAAAACTATGGAGGCTTGGGAGCGAGATCTGTTGTGTCAGAGCCGTTGCAACAAACAGATCCGGATACACCGAGAGTTGAGCTGGAGATAAGAGATGAGCAGAGTTCTACAGCTACTGATGGTGATTTAGAGAAGACAGCTAGCTTACCTGAGAGTACAGAGCCGGAAACTTCGATTATAGTTGGTAATAATCCAAATCTACCCGCTGAGCCTGACCATAAGGCAGCCGTTGAACCTATAATCACTGCACAACCTATACTTAAACCACGTGAGCTTGCCATAGAAATTAACCGTAGCACTATGAAACCTAATATTGTTAGAGAGCATGAATTGCAACAACCTAATTTGCTTCTGCCAGCAAACTTTGCACGTGATAGTAAACCACCAGACAGGCTAAGTTACCGCAAACTGGGAGGAACATAAAACACGTTTCATTATCACATTTTATGACAGTTGTTTTATTTTGAATGTGTAAATCTAACCACACATTAATCCAGTTAAATTATCCAGATCAAACATAAAGTTATAAATATTCCCTGTCACGTTTAAATTTTGAAGAATAACACGTTATTTTTTGTTTTAAACGGAATGCGCTAAGTTTTAAATCGTGTAGCGAGCGCAACACGTTTCAGTATTTTCACGTGAGTTCACTTCACACTTTTGTAGATTTCATTTTGACCACGTTTTCAAACATTTTAAATTTTGTACGATTGATTTATATCACATTTTTTTACGAATTCAGTTAAATTATTAAATCTATATTGTTTTTAACACTTTTTAGTTGAACGGGATGTTATATATTCTAGTAATTTATTGTATGATTAACCGATATACTATTCAGGATGACTACCTGGGTTTTGGTTTTGGTTTTGGTTTAGCTTTTAGCTTTTAGTCTTGCGTTTACCTTGTCACAACGATTCATAACATAGAGTAACTTCCTACGAACTTAATGATAATTACAATACAATAACCCCCACTTTTAACCCCTATATTCGTTCTCACGTAATGAATCAAATAGGCGAACTTACTGATGAAATAGATTCCAGCGAAATCGATCTCAACAATTGTATATCGGAGATATTGGTTAGCTGTAAGTACCAACACCCTGATAATATCAAGACCCCTAGCAATCGCGAAATTAAGATACTTTCGTTAAACGTTAGATCACTCGTGAAGAATATCTCGAATTTTAGAGAAGAAATAGAAACATTCTCCAAATTTGACCTCATCTGCCTCAATGAAACCAACTGTAAAATTTCTAATCTTCCTAATGGTCTGAACGACATTGAAATCGAACAGTTTTACGAGCCCTTTATCAAAGAACCTGCACGTAAATCTGGAAAAGGAGGTGGTCTTGCGCTCTATGTTAACAAACGCGTTTGTGATTACGATAAAATACAGGAACTCGAACTCAATCTGAGTCCAGAAGAAGTTACTTGCGGAGAATTTCAATTGCTTAAAATCAACAATTTTAAAAACGGAAATAAGACAAAAATCATCGTAAATTTCTACCGCTCGCCATCCACAAGCCCCAAAAAATTCCTTGAAAAGTTTGAAAACGTGCTCAGGGGTCTTGATAGACACTCCAAAAAGCAGATAGTCTTCCTGGGTGATGCAAATATTGATCTTATAAAATACGATACCGACGCTTACAGCCAGGATCTTATAAGCTTACTAGAAAAATATGGGTTTGCCCAGACTGTCTCCAAGCCTACCAGGGTAACTGACCACAGTGCAACGCTTATTGATCACGTGTATACTAATCACGTGACCAACGTTATTAGTTGTAATGTCGTGACGTTGGATATGTCAGATCATCTCGCGGTTAGCACGACCATTAGTTTAGGAGCCACACCTAGTTTGAACGAGCGATTCCGTAGTCAACGTGTAAAGAACAACAACACCAGCATTGCCTATTGTAAAGTAGAAATTTTTCTAAGATAATAGAGAAACTGACCTTGTCTCACTAAATTCAACCACTTAGGTACCATAATAAAAATACTAACAACCAAATAAAGTTTTTTAAATAATTATATACAATCACCAAAAATATTTCCTCAAGTTTACTTCTAGCTAACTAATTCGTGGTTTAAGCTCTTATTTTATTTATGATTAAAGGAATGTAAAATAAAACTTTTCGTTTCATTGAAAACTTTTCGTTTCATTGACTAGCTTGAAATTAGAGGCCCGTGTATTTAACGAAGCTAATCATGCTAAATTCAAAGAGCTTATTGTAAGTGAGACCTGGGATGATGCTACCTCCTCAACGTGCGCTGATGAACAATACAATTCCATCTATCAAACGTACATGAAACACTACAATACTGCATACCCCCTGAAGCGCGACAGTTCGAGAAGAAAATTCGAAAGAGCTGACCCAAAGCCTTGGATCTTACCCTGGCTTGAGGCGGCATGCAACCGCAAGAAGTTACTTTTAAAAAAAAAAACTATAAATCCATCACAAAAAAACTGCGACGCGTATGATAAAATGAAAAAGTTTTGTCACAAACATGTGAATCTAGCCAAAGAAAAGTACTATAAGAAAATGTTTGACAAATACCAAAACTGCTCTAAAAATCAATGGAAAATTATCAATGGCCTCCTGAACCGTAACAGAAAAAAGTTCGGACACACCCGTCTGAAGGACGACGATGGCACGATTATAAGCTCCAATCTGGCAGTCGCTGAGAAATTTAACGGCTACTTCTCCGGTATTGCAGCCAGTATCAAGAGGCAAATCGCTGCCCGTCGAACCTTTGACCCAGGTGGTTTCAAGCATTTTCTTAAGGCTTCGTGTAGTAACTCGATGTTTCTTAAGCCTACATCACACGGTGAAGTCCAAAAGATAATATCAGGGCTTAAGAACAAGTCCACACTCGATTGTAAAATTGAGCCATTGAAAATTGCAAACAGCTGCGAAAACTTTATCAGGGCACTAGCTAATGTCATTAACTGTTCGTTCTCCAGTGGTACCTTCCCAAATGCTCTAAAAACTGCGAAAGTCGTTCCTATCCACAAAGGTGGTTCAAAATTGGAAGTAGCTAATTATAGGCCGATCTCTCTTTTGGGATCATTCTCGAAAATTTATGAGAAACTTATGCATGCTCGTGTTTTAGAATTTTTATTAAACAAATAATCAATTAAACAAATAATCAAAGTTTTAGCACATTTTACAGCATAAAATTTAAACAAATGAAAACATATAATGCTCTTAGTGGTAAATGGCCGTTTGTTCTGAGCTGTATGATTTTTTGACAATCAACTAGCGGGGCAAGGAATGTACTGGCTGGTAGCTTTTGTACACACCAAAACGCTAGTCTGGTTGATTAATGACCAAATTAGAGGCGTTGATAGGAAGGCATTATAATTTGTGGGTGTAAGAGGGAATATTTGGCATGCATTATTCTAGCAGCTATTTTGTAACAAATGGTCTTTATGATTATTAAGGACGGTAGGTATTTTGGGTGTTCAATGGGGGCCGGGGGTTTAAATTTAAGGGAGAAAAAGAAATGAATATTGGGTTATAATATTAATCATAGATGTCAACCCTGATATAACTATTGTACTAAAAATTTGATCATAATGCTTAGGGTCTTTATTAGAATTCAAATTGGATACAAAAATAGGATCTCTTTACACTACACTTACTCACTCACACATCACATTTAACTTGACAGAGGAATACGCTGGCAGAGTATGTCGATTTGGTCATGAAATTTTGGAGGTCAGGTGGAATCCTGATAAGAACGATTCTCTTTTCGAAAATCAATACGGATTTCGGCCAGGAAGATCGTGCGAACATGCACTGCTCAATGCCCAAAATTCTATACTACACTCTCTGAATAAGAAACAAATTTCCCTACTGCTCCTGCTCGATTACAGTAAAGCCTTTGACGTGCTTGATCATGAGACCTTACTTAAGAAGCTTGACCATTGTGGGATCAGGGGAGTCGCGCACGAATGGTTTAGATCTTACCTTTGTAATCGATCTCAATACGTAACTTTAAACGGAACTTGCTCTTCTAGCATGCCCATAGTTTACGGCGTACCTCAGGGTAGCATTTTAGGATCTCTCTTATTTGTAATTTATATAAACGACCTACCTGGAATTAGTGATTTTGCCAAGTTCATCCTTTATGCCGACGACGCAAACATATTAATTAGTGGAACCACCCTAGAAGAAATACAATTAAAAGCTAATCAGCTAATTTCACGTCTTGTAGATTGGGTAGGTGCTAATGGGCTATCTTTAAATGTAAAAAAGACGTGTTACATGATTTTCACTAGAAAAAGAATCGACTTCAGCGGCTTTAATTTGTCCATTGTCAACACTGTAATCGAACGTCGCGTAAGACTGAAGCAAGATTTTTAGGAGTGATCCTAACGAAAAGCTCACTTGGCAAAAACACATTACGGCAGTTAGAATAAAGATGGGTCGCTACCTCGGAGTTATGTATTATAAGCTAAAGCACCTTCTACCTATCAAAGCCCGCCTAAACATTTTCCAAAGCCTTATCCAATCCCATCTCAATTTCTGTTCTTTAGTGTGGGGATTTGCCTCAAAATGTCACATTGAATCTCTGTTCACCAAGCAAAAGCAGGGAATTAGAGCTGTTATGTCAGGATATGTAAATTATAGATATGAAGACGGCAATCCCCCGGAGCACACAAAAAGTGCGTTTAGATTGCATAATATCCTAACAGTCCATAGCGTCATTGTAAAAAACGCTCTGATTCTACTACACAAAGTAAGGAACATGCCAAGCCTTCTCCCTAAATCCATCAAAGAACTTTTCCCTCACGATATTCCCACCTATAATTCCACATACGAACATAACCTTTCTTGGTTCACAACTTACAACGGCCCAACATTTAGAAATACTCTTTTCTTCAAAGGACCCATGCTCTCTATTACAAAACAAAGTAAGGATATAGCTATTCCAAGTTCTACCTTTTCAATTGAAATCTTTAAAAATTCAGCTAAGCGCGAACTCCTCAAGCTGCAAAGCTCAGGAGACGATGAAAATTGGCCAAATTTCTTACTTTATAGTATACCTGGGCTAAGAAAGTCTCAAAGAGAAGGGCGCTCGCAGATAGACTACAACACCGAGTTAGTAATTGACAACGCGTAAAGATTGACCATTGTTAATGATCTGGCCCGGCGCGCGCTACTTCGTAGCTCTTGCCATCGGGCTAACGTTTCGAGAAGAAAGTGGCGCGCGCTACTTCGAAGAAACTTAGACGAGTAACATCCGTCAACGTAAAAAAAGATCACTCGCGACAAATGACCATGATCTTTTATCAACAACATATCATTTTAATTTCACTGCCATTATGCAATGCCGAATTTACATCTGCCGCGCAAAACTTTTTATCTATTATTATTAAATAGTAATTAGCATGTTTACAAATTGCGACTTCAACCAGTTTTGCAGACCGTTAGTTATATAGTACTTTTAGTAGGGCATTTATTTTAATATATTTTATTTTACATTATTATATTTTAGTGTGACTTCTATAATTTCATTTATGTAATAACCATTGATTAATAAATTGCGGCACACGCCAACTAGGGCCTGTCGTGATATCATGGATCGCTTAGGTTCCACCAGGATCTGGTAGTCCTCATAATTCTGCGGCCTCTATGTTTCGTCATCTCGCACAACTCTTTAAGAATCTTGTGGATTTGGCATGTGAAAATTTGCAGCCTTCCAGACATTGATTGGGTTAACGAGGTGTCGTACGTCACCTCAAGATCGGGTGACAGGGGGCTGACCAGGCCAGAACCCAATTGGGTCTTAGGTCACGTGATTATGAGCCTGAGGTCACGTGACTATGACGTCACCAGACCTTCCTCTCCGTTTCCCGCTCATTGGACCAGGTGAGCTTGCATGCATGTGAATGTGGGTGTAAGTATAGATGTACTGTAGTTTATACCTAATTAAACCCCTATAGAAACCGAAAATTTATTTTCTGGCAGAAAGCTAGAAATATACCAAAATATCGTCATTGTTTTAAATTTATTTTGATGACCATTCCTGACCTAAAATCGCACGAGAAATCGATTAAACTTGGTTTCAGAACTCAACAATGCTTCCTTATGTCTTAAAATCCATGTTTTATCAATACAATCAACATCTCGATCATGTAGTTAAACTTATTACTTAACGGATTCAAGTATAGTATTAGTTACGCGGTAGACAAACTAAAACAAAATTGTAGGTTTATAACCTGCAAGGACGTGCGCCGAGTTAAACTCGTCGAAGGTAATATTTTACGAGTATCACCCGTTAAAAACAAAACACCAGTTTAATTGTCCTTTTGTCTGAACCATATGGTTAAGTGCAAGCTGTATACAATACGTCAAAAAATCATATCAACGAATCGTATCAAAGTCCATCATCAGTTAGTAACAGAGTAGAGATCAGAGCAGAACGAAGGAACGTGCTTGCTTGCGGGAATATTGTCTGAAATATTGTCGACAGGTTAACATCAATTGCATTTCCGTTACTTGGGTGTGGGATATAAAGCATTATATGGTTGATAAAAGCCTACATAATACTCTTCAGTTAATATGGCTAATGTTTAGCATTATTTATAATCCATTATTATGATTGATGTGATCTGAAATTAAGTTAAGCTACAGACGTTTTTTGTGACAATACAAGAAATAATGGTTGAGCTCCTACCTGTGAGCCACTTAGGAAATACAGTATATCTGATTTATTGTACCTTCACTTCTTCTGCTTTTTCGTTTGCTGTCTGTGCTCTGCGACAGCAATTTGTTGCCCAGACTTCCTATCCTCCCCTACCACCTTCTTACCACAGGTTGACATAAGAGCCACTTGCCTCTCAACGGCTTGATTGTTGTTGACAAATGCCGTTTTGAGAGGCATTCTTATAAAGGAGATGATAGCGGCTCTCGTCAGACCACGTAGCAAGGGGGGTAGGGTTACCCGGGCATACTCCTTCTTTGCTGAGGATAATTGTGTTATTTTTTATTTACATCATGTACTGAGACTAAAGAAACTATAACCTAACTCGAACACGTTATTTCTAGTAGTAGTATAATAATATGTTGAATGAATGATTGATTAAGCTGATCGTTAACATTATATGACACATATTATGCAAAAAAGTATCTTTGATAATAACAATTATTACCGACTCCCGTTTTAAACCACCATCCACAAGAATCCTCCTTGTAGATGGGGAGCTCAGTGAACTTCCTTGCGGTCATGTCCAAGTATGGCTTGTAAAAAACCCTCACACGTCGGGAGGGTGGCACCTTCTCCAGATTAATTCTCGAATAAATTCATAAGTAACCTTATAAAATAAATCATTATATTAATATAAAAAGTAGTTGTCTTTTCCATTTATACTGTACCAATCGACGACTCACTTTTAACATTTAGCCCCACCAGCGCAACTTGAATTTTATTAGAAATTGTTGACAAAATATTTTACGAAAGTAGATCTGCTGGATTTGCAAAGTGCTAGTTATAACCAAAGATGGTCACCTTTTTAATTCATGACATTCCCAGGTAGTAGGTTTACGAAAATTGAAATAACAGACACTTAAAAAAAGCTGCCCAACTGAAATTGCACAAATTGCACATAACACAAGGTTTTTATACATATAAGTTTATTTAACGGGTGATACTCGTAAAATATTTGTTCCAAATATTACCTTCGACGAGTTTAACTCGGCGCAGGTCCTGGTAGGTTATAAACCTACAATTATGTTTTAGTTTGTCTACCGCGTAACTATACTTGAATCCGTTAAGTAATAAGTTTAACTACATGATCAAGATGTTGATTGTATTGATAAAACATGGATTTTAAGGCATAAGGAAGCATTGTTGAATTCTGAAACCAAGTTTAATCGATTTCTCGTGCGATTTTAGGTCAGGAATGGTCATCAAAATAAATTTAAAACAATGACAATATTTTGGTAAATTTCTAGCTTTCTGCCAGAAAATAAATTTTCGGTTTCTATAGGGGTTTAATTAGGTATAAACTACAGTACATCTATACTTACACCCACATTCACATGCATGCAAGCTCACCTGGTCCAATGAGCGGGAAACGGAGAGGAAGGTCTGGTGACGTCATAGTCACGTGACCTCAGGCTCATAATCACGTGACCTAAGACCCAATTGGGTTCTGGCCTGGTCAGCCCCCTGTCACCCGATCTTGAGGTGACGTACGACACCTCGTTAACCCAATCAATGTCTGGAAGGCTGCAAATTTTCACATGCCAAATCCACAAGATTCTTAAAGAGTTGTGCGAGATGACGAAACATAGAGGCCGCAGAATTATGAGGACTACCAGATCCTGGTGGAACCTAAGCGATCCATGATATCACGACAGGCCCTACACGCCAACCTCCACCGTGGGGTTTCAAAACAAAACCCACTAGTCTTTACAACATCCGGAGGTATGGACCCACTCTGCACTGTGTTTGTAGATCGTATTTCTGAAAGGATAGCTGACCACAATAAAGAAGCTAAGAGCCAGGTCAAAAATCACATCAGAACACGATTCAGGTTTGATCTGCTACGAAGCACACTCATAGCACTCAGGGGAATCAGAGGAAGACAAAAAGCCCAGCACCTTGGACTGGATGAAGTATCCTTCAATCTCATTCCTCAGAAGACGAGCTTTGAGGTCTCTTAAGCATTAAGTTTGTTTATATAAATTTTATAGATAATTTATTGTAGCTTTTATATTGTGTAAAATTTTACGGACGAAATGATCCCAGGGGGACTCCCAACCCACCGCCTCGGCGGGTAGTTGATACACCTTTCACAAGCAAGAGCCACTTTGGTCTACTTGCTGTGAGGTGTCTCAGCTACATGGGTTGGGGGTCCCCCCTTTTTTTAAAAAAAATTAAAAAAAAATAAAAAAAACATAAGAAAGTATGTATTACGAAAAATTGTCCTAGACATGTAAGCTGTAAAGTATCTAATCAATGATAAGATGATTCTTAGTTTTGATTCATTGCTGATTGCTGGAAGCTGTTTGGTCATCCTCTGTTATGTGTCTGACAGTCTGGTTCACATTCCCACCAGCATCCATATTCGAATTCCAAATCAATACATTTTCAATTTTAACTCTGCTATGTTAATGCTAGTTCTATCCCTTATTTGCTAGTTCTATCCCTTATTTGATATTCAAAACAATAATTGTTCATTCCTAATAAGGTTTATGAAATCTTAACCTATGCCAAGAACATGTTATATCCTCGGTTCCGAGATAAGCTTCATCTTCAAGAGCTGCGGAGATACACTTTAAGTCTTGGCATGCAAAGAGACAGCTTGCTTAAATTTCTCAAACCAACAGTAAATAAGGAAGGTGATGCTTACTTCAATATATCTAGCATCTATGAACTTTTGGACAACAAAACTGCAAATCAGGTATTTTATAATTTTGTACATCTTCAAACCTTTCCTTTTTAGCATTAGCTATCCATCGAAAGTGTGGGTAAAAATTATTATCTGAGCTTATCTTATTTTGAATCGAATTTAATGAAGTACATCACAAGATTAAAGACATCAGGAATGGTTTAATCTGAAAGACCAAAAAAATACCTGCTATTTAAACTAAACGCTAATATAAAAGACCCAGGTATTGCACAGGACTTTTAATGTGTATAGTGCAGAGTACAATACTCAAGTCATTCGCAAATCTCTAAACTTGGTTATGAATCGACGACTTTCCTTCACTGAGCTCCAAGAAGTGCGATCCTTGTTTGAAGCATATGAATCTGAAGATTTGGAGGGAATGCTAGCAAATGAGCACACTATTTACAGGTGAGTGAAATTTGATATCTGGTATAGAACATGTAACATAAAGGCTGATCATGCACACATAAAATGTTTTAATCATTATCTCATTGATTTTTATATAGCTTGACAATATATCTGTTCATTGTTATTTCTTACTTTTAATCACATTGTATGATTCATTAACATGCTATCTATTTCAGAATCTTAAAGCATTGCGGACGGTCTATTGCACCACTCAAACTACAACACCAACTCAAGAAAATGAAGGATGAAGTGGACACTGTTGGCAGACTTCAATTCTATGAATTTCTAGATATTCTTCCTTTTACCACATACATCAAAGATATAGAGGTTCCTATGGAACTGAATAATGGGACCGCAAAAGACAATCAAAAGCTATACAAGATTGACAATTTTCACAATTTTCTGTATACTCACGATGAAAGAGTACAAAAGCAACTGGATAAAGATTACAGGCATATAATTTCCAGGGCTGCATTTTCTGAACAAGGACCTAAATCAAAAGGGAGAGTAAAACTGATAGAGCATACCAAACAAGATGAACTGGAGGTGGAGAGTAGAGTTTCCTATCAAGCCTTGAAAGATGCAATCAGGCAGTCGGATAGCATAATAGCTTTGTCCAGAGGAGGTCAGCTTCTTAGAGATACTACCAGCAGGGGCACTGATAAGACTTCCTTGACAACTCCACGTAAGGACGTTGTATGTGAAGCACCTGCCATAACAGTAATATCACCTAAACCCATTCTTGAGCCTCTCATTTTAAAGAAGGACTTAGAGAAGCAAGATGCCCTGATGGAAGATTTGGAATGGGAAATGATAAACAATACTGAAAAGTACAAAGTTTCAATCAAAAAGAAACTTAATGATCTGAAAACTCAGAAGAAATACAGAGAGAACAGTCAAATGTTTTCTTATCCCCCAAGCACTGCTCCAAGGCGTACCGGTGACTTATTTGCAGCAAGACCTTCTCGACCTTCTACTGTGACAGATGCCTTTGACATATATAGCACATTTGAAGAAGACAATTCTTTTAGAACCAAGCTCACCTCAAGTGGTACCATTGATATGATAGACGAATCTGACACTGTGTCAGATGAGCTGCCAGTGTACCGTGATATAACACTTGACAGCGGCTATCAGGCTAGGAAACAAGTACTGTTAGAGAAAGTTAAGTTGATCAAATCGGGGAAAAGATTGGTCGATTTATGAAAAGGTCGGGAGACGAAAAGTTTTATATTTAGATTTGATACTTCAATTCGATTCCCTGTAATTTTGAGGAATACATAAATACCATGATGAACTGTAACGGAAAACAAAAAGACTTCAATTTAATAATTCATCTGTTGAATCAACCCAATTTGAAAGCTTTCAATTTTAATTTTTCAACATCCCTTAAATGATTGCTATCACTTTTTTTGTTGAGAACTTTAGATATGATTTATTTTTAAATATAACAAGAGCGTTTTTTGTATTTAGCATACTCGAACTTTGCTTCAATCAATATAAAACTGATGAGTATTATTCATCCATGATCGGAAATATTGTATCATGACGTATTGGCCAATACTTGCATTTTATTTCAATAGACTTTATTTTAGGAATGGATTATATAAACAGTTCTTAACCACGTGTCTTATGGAGAGTCAGCACACGAACACAGTGAAGATAGTAGGTCGTGGAGCATATGGTGTTGTGTATCTCTGCCTGGACAAAGACGGGAGAAATTATATAACGAAACATATACCTGTGAGCGACATGAGTCCTACGGAGAGACAATCCGCTATGAATGAGGTAAGCAGCATTTCATTATTATTATCACATGTTTAATTAGGATAGGCAAAATGTTTACAAATTTTAAAATTCTGAATTTGAGCTTTTGCCTTCTTTCATCATTCCCAAAGGACAACAAACCATCGCCTCTGAAGGAAAACAAACCATCACCTCTTAACTACGCATAATTCACTAAGTTTTGTTTTATTACATCATCAACAGAAACAGAAACAACACCGAATTGACAACGTTCAATCTTTTGAAGCACTAACAAAGTTTAGGTCAAAGTACTTTCAGTGTTGTCACATCCCAATGTGATAGGATACTACTCCTCCCACGTGGAGAACAGAGCCCTCGTCATCTCAATGGAGTACGCTGCGGGAGGAACGCTTGCAGAGTACATAGCATCTACTCGTTTACATTCCACACACTTGTCCGAGTTTGAGGTAGATGTTTGAGGCCATTATCATTTGAAAATTTGAATATAGCTATCTTACAACTAAAAGGTTCCAATAAAATAGTTTATTAATGTTATATTTCAAATTGTCATCTCAGGTTCCAATCAAATCTTTTCAGGTCCTCGAAAAGTTGACTCAAATATGCCTCGGTTTAGAATACATACACAGTAAGAACATTCTACACAGAGATCTTAAAACTCAAAATATTCTGCTCTGTCACAACCAGAAGATTGCAAAGATTGGAGATTTTGGTATTTCTAAGGTTAGTTATACTGAGTTGGTTCTGATATCAAATAAAAACTAAATACTGCAATTCGTCCAGTTTCAGTTTTAAATCAAACAACTCTACAAAATGATAACTAAAGTGTTTGGGTACTATGTATTATAACTTGGTATTTCTATAATCTAAACGCAGGTATTGACGTCTAAGAGTAAAGCTAACACTGTGGTCGGATCACCTAGTTACTTGTCTCCGGAACTTTGTTCTGCTAAACCCTACAATCAGATGAGTGATGTGTGGGCCCTCGGGTTAGTCCCTTATCTTGTGTTTGTTTTCCTCGGATTAGTCCCTTATCTTGTGTTTGTTTTCCTCGGGTTAGTCCCTTATCTTGTGTTTGTTTTCCTCGGGTTAGTCCCTTATCTTGTGTTTGTTTTCCTCGGGTTAGTCCCTTATCTTGTGTTTGTTTTCCTCGGGTTAGTCCCTTATCTTGTGTTTGTTTTCCTCGGGTTAGTCCCTTATCTTGTGTTTGTTTTCCTCGGATTAGTCCCTTATCTTGTGTTTGTTTTCCTCGGGTTAGTCCCTTATCTTGTGTTTGTTTTCCTCGGGTTAGTCCCTTATCTTGTGTTTGTTTTCCTCGGGTTAGTCCCTTATCTTGTGTTTGTTTTCCTCGGATTAGTCCCTTATCTTGTGTTTGTTTTCCTCGGGTTAGTCCCTTATTTTGTGTTTGTTTTCCTCGGATTAGTCCCTTATCTTGTGTTTGTCTTCCTCGGTTAGTCCCTTATCTTGTGTTTGTTTTACTTGATGTGTAAAATGCCAACTACTGGTCAATGACATCGCAAGAGGGAGTACGGGGAATAAGTTGAGATATTCAGCCAATAATTATCTAGAATATTCCTCACTTTTAATTAAGCATAATTTTATTCTCCTAACTGTTCAGATGTGTATTGTACGAGATGATGGCGCTTAAGCGCGCATTTGACGCCCCAAGTCTTCCTCAGCTAATACAGCTGATAGTTTCTGGAAAGTTCGACCCAATTCCTCCAAAGATTTACTCTTCGCAGCTTCTCTTTCTTGTGAGGTGCCTCCTTCACGTAGGTGTGTAGTAAATTATGCTTAATTTGATCTAGGGTAATTAATGTAAAATCTAGGGTAATTGATACAAAATTGTTCAAGTGAAAAATGGGGAAATTGGTAGATCACCGACCGGCTATAAGCCGGTTATAAGCCGGCTATAAACCGGCTTATAGCCGGCTACAATTTTTATAGCCGGCTATAAGCCGGCTTATAGTCGGTTAGTAGCCGCTTACATTTGTTGTTGAGCGACGGCTATTAGCCGGTTATAAGCCGGCTATTAGCCGTTTAGGTATCGAAAGTGGCTATAAGCCGGTTATAAGATATTAACTCAACTTCATCGTACTGAACGATAGTCAGGAGCCGGCTATAAGAAATTCAGCGAAAACGGCTATTGGCCGGTTATAAGCCGGCTATTAGCCGTTTAGGTATCGAAAGTGGTTATAAGCCGGCTATAAGCCGGCTATAAGATATTAACTTAACTTCATCGTACTGAACTGAGTTAATATCTTATAACCGGCTTATAGCCGGCTTATAACCACTTTCGATACCTAAACGGCTAATAGCCGGCTTATAACCGGCTAATAGCCGTTTTCACTGAATTTCTTATAGCCGGCTCCTGACTATTGTTCAGTACGATGTAGTTGAGTTAATATCTTATAACCGGCTTATAGCCGACTTATAGCCGGCTTATAACCGGCTTATAGCCGGCTTATAACCACTTTTAATACCAAAACGGCTAATAGCAGGCTTATAACCGGCTAATAGCCGTCGCTCAACAACAAATGTAAGCGGCTACTAACCGGCTATAAGCCGGCTTATAGCCGGCTATAAAAATTGTAGCCGGCTATAAGCCGGCTTATAGCCGGTTAGTAGCCGGCTTATAGCCGGTCGGTGATCTACCAACTGGCCGAAAAATGTATCCCACGGTTTTTAACTCGTATTTAAATTTGCACGTCAACTCCCAGATCCCAACAAGCGGCCAACTCCATCAGACTTACTACAGAAACCCATTCTGATGAAACACGTGATACAACTACATCTCCAAATTGGGTGTCTTCCATGTAATGGTAAGTTTTCTAAATTAGTAAAATTATCATGATTGTTCCATTCTGTCACGTGTTAGAAACAGCGCCATATTAACCCGGCTTAACCCGCAAATTGACCTATAACACAGGTCATAGTACTATGTTTACAGGTGGTGTAAACGAAAAGAAAAGGCAGGAAACAACCCGGAAGCCGGTCGCAAAATACTTCTCCCTGGTAACGGAGGAGGAAGCGTATCTGCCGCTGACTAAGGGAATGACTTTGTCTCAACTGGCGCTGGGTCTTTACTCGCTGTACGGGATTACCACTAACAATTCTCTTGTAGAGTGGATCTGGTCTACTGATACTGGTAAGTAGTGGACAGTAGTAGCAGCACCTTGTTACCTCCTTGCTCTCTATTTGGTCGCAGAGCTGAGTAATTATAGCTATGAATCGAGCTGATATGAGCCTAGATATACCTCAATACCTGGATCACTGTTATCAGATCATTGATACTGTTCACATGTTTCGTCATGTTTTGTCTTATTTGTAAGTAAAAGATAATATCAAAATCAGAAGAAGAAGACGAGGCAGGGAGGTTTAGTTGTCTTCCTATAGAAACAGATGGGGACGTTATTGATGTGGCGGCCGGAGAAGATTTCTTTATGCTCATCGATCAAAACAAGGTCCGGGTATTACTAATTTGATTATGGGGTATTCACATTTTGTTCCGTTCACGTAACATTATGTAACCATAATGTTCTCCTCTCGTAAGAAGATTGATGACATAAAAAAATTAATGACGTCACAAGTTTAATGACGTCACAAACTACCAGGCAGTATACAGCGGAGGAAGCAACACGTTGGGTTGTTTGGGACACGGTAACACCTGCACTTCACAAAAAGAGCCAGCTCTAGTACAGAACTTGTTCGGTTGGGAGGTGGTTAAGGTGGCGTGTGGGAACCAGCATACTGTTATTCTCACTTCTGAAAACGAGGTAAAATTCACGTTTGATTAGTTAATGAAAGGGATGTTCCAATGAATTAGGACGAAATATAACAACACTTTCTTGATTTTTAAGAAATATTCTCAATTTGAAGTTTCAAATTTTCCTCATTTATAAATTGAAGGGGTTAGTCACATTTCACGTTTTCATTTTTATGAAATCTTCACTGTCCAGGTGTTTACCTGGGGTTTGGGTTATGATGGCAGACTTGGACAGGGAAGTAAAGACAATCAGTTCGCCCCAAACAAGGTCATACTCAGCGGGGAACTGGTGGTTCAGGACATTGTGGCGGGTCCGGACTGTTCGGCTATCATCACCGCTGCTAATGAACTCTTCTGTTGTGGTGAGTTTGAGGTTTGACGTTTGGTGAGTTGGAGGTTTGGTGAGTTTGAGGTTTGGTCAGCGAGATTTGGTCAGCGAGATTATGTAGGAACGGTGAATTTGATGGCTAAAATTTGGTTCAAATTTGAAATTGTCGAATTAAGGTGGCCCTCCTGATTGATGCATGATAAATATGTACTATGTAGCGTAGTAAGATTCGTAGTAGATTCTGTGCATCTCAATTTGCTCTCAACATTAAAACAATGATCTCATTTTTTTGTGATCATAAACATTATTGACAAACATTTTGAAGGATATGCCGTATTTTAGACAAATTAATAATTACATATGCATACTTAATTTATACTATTGTGTAGAAATTATAGTTTTCCTCTGTAGTGAACTAAACGAGTGAGACAAGTTGGATTAAGTCACAATTATTTTAAGATTATTTCAAAACTAGGAATAATTTGTAGAGATAATTCATGATATTGACATCAGACTGAAACTGACAGGAAAATAAGTTACTATTTACTAATACTAAATAAGAGTTATAATCAATCTCCTACAACTTGAAATTCAAGCGAAATTACAATATTTTCAATTCTCATTTCTTCAGGCATAAAAGTATATTAACAGATCATAATGTTAGAATTTTAGGGTCACTCATATTTCCAATAATTTAACTCATTAGATTGTCATGGAAATGTCCAGCCCTCTTCCTAGTTCTTAATCTCCGCATCTACTGGCATGCAGCGTACTCGCAGCACATAGCAGCGCAGTTGGTCCAGTACCACTCGGTCCGTGCCACAGAGCGCTCGTCCTCCAGCTCGCACGACCACTCGTCATACTCCGCGCAGTTGTCGTACACGTCAGTGCGAACCCTGCTACACTTATCACTGTCTCTTCCACCGCATTTAGGCAGCTCGAAGCAGTACTCCTTCAGCTGCCCGTCGTTGGTGTAACAGAAGGGACTGAAGTCCTCTCCTCCGACGTTTCTGCAGAAGTTGTGGTTGCCACCCTTAGCGAGGGTAAGACCCCGATCTAGGCCCCTGAACAGACCAGTGTGAGCTAACTTCAGCCAGTTGTCACATACCCTGTTACTCACCACCTGGTTCTGTCGGCCGGTGTACTCTGCTCCGTTACCCTCGAAACTTTCATCTCCCAGTCTGATGCACTCTTGGATCCTTCTTGTGTCGGGTGCGAAGACGTTCTGAATCTCGCACTTGCTGGGCTCCCCTATGAGGGTGTAACCACGGTTACATGAGACTCTGAGCACATCTCCGGGGTTTAACATTCCTCTTCCTCCTCCGTTCAGGATACGTCCGTTAGCGATTGTGGGTGGGGAGCACAGACCCATTGGTGGTGGTCTTACGTCTTCATTACCTTCTGGAACAGAGGGTCGCAGACTTTCTTCACAGTCTGAAGGGTCAGCGTTACAAGTCTTTGCACACTTAACACGGATACCGGGTATGGTGTCACAGTACTTAGCGAAACTTGCACATTGGCCTGGTGTACTCTCATCGTCCTGGCACACAGAGCTGCCATCATTTTTACACACCTGACAAGTTCCACCACACTTTTCTCTTATCTTTTGGATCTTGCAGTGGGGAGTCATCCTTGGGCAGTTGAACCCTGGTGTATCAGCACACCTGTCTACATCCCTTTTATTCCTGGCATTTCCAAAGTCGTAGCCACCGTATGAGCTGGATGAGCCTCCGCTTGGTCGATTCCAGGGCCGGGTCTGGTTCCACCGCTTGGTCGATAATTAGGGCCGGGTCTGGATCCTGAATCACCACTTGGTCGGTATTGTGAAGCGCTTGAAGATTGCTTTATTTCAGGAGAACATCGCTGTGTGGACTTCTTGCAGGTTCTGGTCTTCTGGCAGTATTTAGGGTACGCAGTAGGGCACATTGTTCGAACGTTTACCCCTGCTTTGCTTCTTCTTGACTCTGTGTCTAGAACTGTCATGGACCCTTCGATACCACATGCGTTACTTCCCCTTGCGATCTTTGCGTAACCAGCCTGGCCGAAGGAAGAACCTCTGCTAGTCCTGACTGTGTAGCTGTCATCATCAAAGCCAGTAATCAGCACATTTTCCATACAGTGATAGTAGGACCTAGTGGAGTTGCCAGCAATAACTCCACCTCTGTAACTGTCATCGTAACTAGGACATCCTCCTCTGGTTGTGTCCACACAGGCCATTACCACTCCCCTACTTTGGATCTCCGCCTCAAAGTCATCTGGTGTTATCTTTGTCAGTCCTGTCACCTTGAAGCCGACCAGACCGTCCGGTGAGGTTCCAGCTCTGCAGGTGAATACTTTAGCCTTGTACTCCGTGTACTTGTCCTTGTGAGCCAATCTGTCGTTTACGATCAGCCAATCCACGATCTCCTCCAGACGGGACTTTTCGCATCCCTTGTGGAAGCAGTCAACTACCTCCTGGACTGAGAAGGCCTTTTTCTTACCTAAGTGAGGGATTCAGTTTAAAGTAAAGATATGAAAGTAGGAGGTTAAAAAGCTAGGGCTATATATTTAATCTAAGGCGTCAGATTATACAATACATCCGACTCATCAATTTAACATTCTATATGATCAGAGAATATTCTAGAATCCAGACATTGAACTCCTGATTTTATAACTCTAAATCAAATATTCCAAATAAAAAGTTTCCATGAAATTCCTAAATTGTAATTTGAAGCGTCTTAGGATGACTACAATATAAAAAGGGAGAAAAATGGAATACAAAAAATTGCCAATAAGTCGTAGCCAGAAAAAATCAAAATCATTCTTTCAATCCCCCAATAGCTAAGACTGAAACTAGGACATAAAATTAATGGTCACCTGTAGCTTTGTTGTAGGCCACTTCCAATGCTCCTGCCAGAGCGAACGCAGGAGCACTTTTGCACCTAATCCTGCTATCCTTGTTTGGGTGGGTGTCACCAACCGGGCTCATCTTCTCCACATCATATTGGGAAGAGAGCGCAAAAAGCGCACTCAATCCGAGTACAAACAGCAAACCAAACCTAAAAGCCATCTTGTAGAAATGAGATTTTTAAAATCCGTGCAGACATTATTTGCACAGTTTTCCTGCTTTGGATAGTAATCTAATAATCTGTTCTGAACATTTTAACCTAGACCCGGTTATCGAATTTGCTTATCTTTAAAAGAAGAGGATGTTCTGGACCGCTAATGTGGATTGTGCCAACTCATTACTCGCTGTCTACGTAGTTCATATACTTATATAATCCGTTTTAGCTGTTGGATGAATGTCTCGAGAAATTTTCGGGGAGTAATAAATTAAAAATGGGGAATATGAGAGGTTTTATCTTTCGAACGTGAGGCAGCCGTCCGTGCTCCGGCTACGTGACCCGGTGAATTGAATTTTATCAGAATCTTATTTAATTTCTCTGTCAAGGAAACGTTGGAAAGCTGAAAACACTGGCATAAAAAACTTGGTAGAATAATGGTATGCAGAATAACTGAGCGATCTGAAATATTTCGACTATTATAAAATGCAATGATCTCGTCTCTAATCAGTAACTGCTAATATCCTAAATATTGAATCAGATTATCCACTTAAAGCATACCATAATCGGAATATATAATCAGGATTCATTTAGTCTCAAAACGACTGATATTTAAAAAAACTCATGAGTCACGAAAATAGATTGTAATGTTCAGTAGGGAGCATCATAGCTCTCGACAGACAAAGCGAAACAAGGCAAATGACTGTTGAATATGTAGATTATATAAAGATTGTAAGCACAACCGACCGCAACAAAAGCAAGAAAATACGTCTTAATTCTTGGGTTGTCAAAATGAAAGAAGAATGGAAGCGTTATTTTGGGACACCATATATACTATATATTAAACCAGAAATCTTATTGCAACCCAACACATAAGTTGTACAGCGAATTTGTGTCTCTCTACTTCTAGGCCTTTCCTCTTCGACTGTTCATCAGATGCTCCTTATCTAGAACATATTCATATATTAGTTTACTGTAGGTTACAGTCTGTAAATTTAACTACTTACATAGACTTCAGAGTCAAAGCATCTCAAAGCGGAAGATAACGTTAAAATCACGTGACTTAAACCTAAAAACCCACTGTCACGTGACTTAAACCTAAAAACCCACTGTCACGTGACTTAAACCCCACTGTGTTTCAGGTAAAAACATGAGCAACAAGCTCCTCCTCTCCCTCTCTTACGAGTCATCCCAGCAGAATACTCACCTGACCTTTACCAAAGCAGAGCTTCCTAACACTCTGCAGGTTAATGCGCTGCCAGCCAATTGTTTGTCTCTCTTTAAATTTCAGTTTTAAACCATATCGAAGTTTAAATTCGCAGTTTAACAGACATTAAAAAACTGAGTTCTGAACTCTGAAGTTTCTGAACGAACATATTTCCTGATATCAGATAGACAAGATTGTGTATAGTCACTGTCACGCAGTCCTGCTATCTGCTGGACAGGTCTTTACAGCGGGGAGTAACGAGGAGTTACAACTCGGCAGGGAAACTATCGACGACATATCAACGGTAGGAAGGGAACTTTCTCTCGTATCGCAACATATCTCGTAATATAAATTCTCTCAAGTTAAATGCTCTCTCATGTTAAAAGTTTTCTCGTACTACCAAGTTCTCTCGTATCAATATTTTTAGGATTACTTGTTGCCCTAAGATTAACTATAACTTGTTTACCTCTACTGTAAGCAACTTAATTAAGCACCTCCTAATTTCAGACGCTTGAATTACTCCCTTCACCTGAACCTGTTCTGGACATAGCCATCACTAACCGTTCCACACTCACATTGACACAGAGAAAATCAGTTTTGCAATTCGGGAACAGATCTTTACAACCAAGGGTCGTGATGGAGTCTGGACAGACTTTTCAGCCATTTGAGGTCAAGGGCGTCGGGCAGAAATTTGTCGTGCTTGGTTTTACATCGTGACAGACAAAAGTTTAGAATTTAGGGCCAAGACTTTTATATCTTTGAGATTTTTAAATGTTTTTATTGGGAAAAATTGACATGTATTTGGTGGGACGAAATTTATATAATGACAATTAACTTGTATAAGATTTACCAAAAATGAATAAACTAAGTCATCTCGTAGCTGTCTTACCAGAATTTTGAAAGCTAATACTTAATCAATCTATACACGTATTAGTTTATACTCATCTCCTTTTCCTGAATCTTGGGTTTGAGTTTTATCAATAAATAACATTACCGTAGAATGTGCTAGTGTTTAGAAAGGTGATGGGAAAAAACTCGAGGGAAAGAATAACCTCCTCCACACCTACCTTACAGAAAGAGTATGTTCCGAATTCCATTTTATTATCGTTTGAATTAACTCTTATCAGTGGAATTGTATTAAATTCTGTTACAAATTTCATTCAATTTAGAAACATATAATACATAATAAATGTGATAACGATAATGAGCGTATTTTCACGTGCTGTTTTTATCATCAGTCACGTGATCATTAACAGGGTGGGGGAGTCGGAGACAGTTCCCGTCCTGAAGTTCCTTTCTGGTAATAATAGGCTAAACATATGGCCCGAATGGGACGACGCCAGTCTTGCTAATGAGAAGTGGGACGTTCCTGCCAAGGGTAAAAGTGATAGAGCTGCCCGTACACCCGGCACTGTAAGGGAACTTACTTTTTGAAGGCCTTTTTTATACTCCCTCTTTCTATTTGAATTTCTAGTTGAATTTATATTTCACTTTCTGGTTCACTTTCTACTAACTTGCATCGTTAACACTGTACCAATGTTAACACTCCAGATATTTCAGCTGTTTGAAGACCCAGAGGGTTTGGTTCTCCTTCCGGCTAGTCTCAAAGTGGATACATGGAGACGACCAGGAGATTATCTCGGAGACAAGGTGAGTCTCAGAATCTGCTCAGTTGGGGGAGGCGTCTCCCAAACTTCGCTGAAATCTCTATTAACAGATTAAGATCCTTTTTCTTTATCATTCAAATTTTCATGAAAAACTTTATCGTTCATGAAATTCGACTTTTGTGCAAATCTTATTCAACTCCTAATCGCATGATAATTTTTATCGCATGATTTTTTATTTCATGAAACGAGAACTCTTCTAACCTTCATTCTTCGATCAGACAGCAACTTGGGTTAATGGATATTCATCAACCTTCTTTCCTGAAAAAGTCCCCTCTTAATCTTTTATGGAGCTCTCATCAAAAATGCTTTGATATCAAATAGCATTGCTTGATTAATCATAGAAATGTTTTAAAATCTTCATTCCTTACGTACCTATCACATTCCTCACTCACGGTCCCCTCACTTTAGGTACTCTCGGCTGCATTTCCTCAAACACAAGGACGGAAAAGTATCGTTAGATTAAGTTCAGTGCACACCACAATGTCAGTTCAACCGCAGTCTGCACAGATGAGAACACCTAACAACAAACAGGTCATATTTCACTCACATTTCAGTTTCATTTCACTTTCGGTTTACTCACCTGAGTCACCTCACTCGCTCCAATCCTACATTGTGTTATATTTACGTTAAAACTCACAATCTTTTCTTTTTATAATCATTTTCAATAATCTTCAAAAACCACCCCATATCTTCCCGTAGGAAAATTAACCCATCCTAATCAAATCTGCTAGTTTAAAACTCTTTCCAAACTACTAAGGCAGTTCATACAACCCATGAATCCAAAGCACACCGCGTGCAGCCCTTCTCTCCCCTACTAATCAAAACCAAGGTCGACAATTCCCAGGCTCAAACAGTGGTCGAAGATCCGGACCAAACATGCAGACTGAACATACTGATCCCAAACCAAGGTATCTTCAAGCAGAGCGAACTCGTACGATCTATCATCACGCAGATATCTTTACTTTATCAGACTGAGGCTCCCTGTGCTCCAGGACTTAGGACTGATGGAAATGGTTCGTTAACTCCCGACCCTTGGCCTTGGGACTCGGATGGTTAAATGTTAATTTCATCATGCAGTTTTCTTTTAGACTGTTAGTTGTTGAAAAGTTAAGAACTCTTAAAATGAAATACAATTCACGGTGGATTTGTGTAGTGAAAACAAACATGTCAGGATTATATGACGTAGCCATGCTTGTGTGGGAAGGTTTGCTGACCTCCCTCACAACCTGACTAATATTATTGGGGGTTGCACCCCTCCCCCTCTTTATTTTTCTGACCTTAACGTTTGTAGTATCAGGCAGTGACGTTTGGAAGCCCTGGCACCACCTCTACCCCCGCTCCAAACCACCTAACTCTTTCCCCGTCCACTCCGCTTCCGGGAAGTACGCAGTCAAGCTCTTCTGGATGGGAATATGGAGGAAGATCATTGTTGACGATCAGATCCCATTTGATGCGGAGGGAAAGTGTTTATTACCGCAGTGCGATAACGAATCTGAGCTCTGGTTGCCTATCTTGTCTAAAGCTATCATCAAGGTCGCCTCTTTAGAGTAAGTAATCATTGGAATTCAGGAATTCGTAAGACATATCTCATTCGTTATCAGTAACTGGCCAGAGCGTCGAGAATTTAGGAACCGACCGGAATGGGCTTTTGGCTGCCGGACCGGATTTTGCCGGACCAGAACCGGTTGTTAGGAGGGGCCAATATAAGGCTGCCGGAACTTGCCGGAATGTGCCGGATCTTGCCGGAAAATTTTAATTAATCCTTATTATTGGGCTTTTGTCATTATCAATTATGATATTAATGCTTATAAGTCATAGTTTGTAATTACACAATAAGTTCCGCATTTCTAAGAGCTATACATTTACAACCACACTGATGATGTTTACTGGGGTGACCGACAATTGAACCCAATTGAACCTAGTTCCCACGCAGTTAACAGGCACCCAATCAGCTTAATTGGGTGACCAATCAGCTTAAATCCCAAAACGACAACTGAACCCAGGTCATATCACAACTGCACCTAAATTGGAAATACGACAACTGAAAAAAAAGCAATACTGAATACTATAAGAGCTAGAGGGTGGGGGGTGGGGAGAAACCACTTTTCTCCACAATTTTGGACTCGAGGCTTCTCCTGGTAATGCGATCTCAGAAGGCAGGCCTCCCTTTTGCAACACTATCTCGGAAGCGGGAGCTCTCGATACGTATCTCGTACGTATCGAGAATGACTCGGACCGACAATTTTTCAAAGTTTTTCTGAAAACCACTTTTCTCCACGTTTCATGCTACCCTGTCCATTATTAACCGATAATATTTTTTTTGTTTTTTGAAGTCCGCACCTAGTCAAAAATGTTGCAAATATGCATTTCAAGATTTTAGAATCACATTTTTTTGAAGAAATATCCGGCAAAAATTAGGCAAAATTGTCTGAAACCGGACCGGAACCGGAACCGGATCCGAATGCAGCCGGATACCCGGTCGGATCCTTATATGGTAGGTAATTGATAAAATACACAGTCTGCGAATTACAAGTTCTGTGTTCATTTCGAAATCTAGCTGCATCAGTGAAAGTGAATGTGGGAATGCACAGTGCACACTCTCCAAACGATAGATAATAGTACAGTTATGCAAATAATAAACGGAGAAACATCACGGAAGTCTAATTACCTAATATACCCTAAGCCCTTTAGAAAGAAAAGAATTTAGACCTGATGGCGATTTTTCTCATCAAGTTTACAGAGCCTGTCACCCCCATTTTATTCGCATTATATAATATTAGACGAGACTAAAATAGTTTCTCCAATATAAAATTTATTTATAGATTACAACGGCCCTTAAGCGCTTGGTACATCGACTTTAATTCTATTTTAGTTCTATTGATGCTTTTCATACAAACAAGTTAAAACAAATTCTTTATGTCGTGCATCCTGGGCATTACTCTGATAATCATCAAAGGATTGTTCCGACTTCACGTAGAAAAAATATAGCTAAGCTATCATTGACCACATAATTATCTGCATCCGGGAATTAAAAACTGCAAAATCTTTGCAGCTCATCAAGTTAACAGAGCCTGTCACCCCCATTTTATTCGCATTATATAATATTAGACGAGACTAAAATAGTTTCTCCAATATAAAATTTATTTACAGATTGCAACGGCCCTTAAGCGCTTGGTACATCGACTTTAATTCTATTTTAATTCTATTGATGCTTTTCATACAAACAAGTTAAAACAAATTCTTTATGTCGTGCATCCTGGGCATTACTCTGATAATCATCAAAGGATTGTTCCGACTTCACGTAGAAAAAAGATAGCTAGGCTATCATTGACCATATAATTATCTGCACCCGGGAATTAAAAACTGCAAAATCTTGCAGCTTTGGGAAATTAAATTACCACAATAATGATATCAGAGTTCAGACTACGCTATATGTAAGTCAACGAAAATAAATCCCATGGAAAAAGCGCTCTTGATGAATCGCTAATGAGAGCGGGAACTGGAAAAATGACGGTTGCAAATCTGATCGAAGATATTCCCTCTAAGAGTTGCTCCCAAGCTCCCACACTGTAATACACTAAATCATGTCGAGTCCTAAATAATGGTGATCAGTGCAGAGTCGCAGACCAAACAGCAAAGCCAACAAAAAAGAAAAGGGGGCCGGGGGGACCCCCAACCCATGTAGATTGTAGGTTGTACCTGAGACACCTCACAGCAAGTAGACCAAAGTGGCTCTTGCTTGTGAAAGGTGCGTCAACTACCCGCCGAAGCCCGAAGCGGTGGGTTGGGAGTCCCCCTTGGGATCATTTCGTCCGTAAAATTTGACACAATATAAAAGCTACAATAAATTATTTATAAAATTTTTATAAACAAACTTGTAAATGTAATGCAATCACGGAAGGCAGCTAGGCCTCCCTCAGTCCCTCTTCCAAAACCAGCTCGGAAGCGGGAGCTCTGCCCTCAAGAGGTACGTATCGAGAATGACTCGGACCGAAAATCTTGTCAAAATTTGTTCAAAGTTTTTCTGGAAACCACTTCTTTCCACGTTTCATGCTACCCTGTTCATTATTAGCCGAAAAAATTTTTCTTCCGGTTTTCCGAAGTCTGCACCTAACCCTCGATACTGGATACACAATTTTGGGGCTCTTACAAATTCGCTCGCCCAAAAATTATCACGTGACTTTGGTTTTTGTGATTTTGCAGCCGAACAAAACGGTTTTACGAAAACCCTATTCCCAACCCCAACCTTAGCCATAACCCCAAAGCTATTCATAACCCTAACAACAACCCTAACCTAAACCCGAGCCCTAAACAATCGAATTCGTGTTTTACAAGCAGCTGTCACGTTCAACCAAAACGGTTTTTTGCCAATAACTCTCCAGGGAAGCATTTTTACCCTACGTCATGGGAGGTGATTCGGAATCAACGTCCATAAATCGACCGATCATGATGAATTTCATAGCCTCAGGGTCTTTTCACAAGAATTTCTTAAAATTTGGGCGAGCAATTTAGTGGGAGCGCAATTTTGGACTCGAGGCAATTTTTTTTGTTTTGTTCAGGGAGCAGGCTTGCCACATAGGTCCTGGAGTACCGGATGTTTAGGCAGGCTGCTAGGTTATGGAACACACTCAACTAGGTAGTCTGAGAGTCCGAAAATCTCCAAAAGGAGATGTCATCAGAGTGTGATCCACTGCCTGACTAACCTGTGGGTAGAGTTCACTAGACTCTATAACTATGACAGGTAGTATCTTCTGTATGTTGCTGAGATCCAGTGTCCATGGTACCTATCACCTATTTTTGAAGTAGGTGGAAGAAGGATAATCGATAACATTGTCCCCACTTTCTTGAGGAATTTTTAGAAGACGAGCTGATGGTATCGAAAGGAAAAAGTGGATGTTGTAGAAAACAAAGGTAGTGAATATGATATATGAATATAACAAACAAAATGTATACATAACAGGTCGAAATATAATGCTTTGATGACGATATATCGTACATAAATAAAAAAGAGCATAGTAATGATAAATAGTGTGTTGTCATAGCCATTGTCATTCAACAAGGTCCTGGTAGAGAGGAGTGCTAAAGAGGAACTTGAGTAGAGCGTGAGGGGGGATGCGGTTAACATCTGCTAGGCGTGGCGAGAAGCCGAAGTGGCGAAGACGCTGAAACTCAAGTGCTAGGCAATCAAATAGTATGTGTGAGTCGTCCTGTCGTCCAGAGAGGCAGTATGAGCACGTGTGATTAATTGTGTTATCAAGCTTTTGTATTTTGCAAGAACGCTCGAAGTGGTGCTCGATTGCAATCTGCACAAAACTTGACTCGGTGCCAAAACTGGATTGTAATATTAAACGCGATAAAGAGCAATAGTAATACTAGAGCTAAATGCTAAAGAGTGGGGGAAGGGGGGAGGTTGTATTGGATTATCGGTTTTCTGAATTCTTTTTAAAAATGTTTTTCAACATTTTTTCAAAGTTTTTCTGGAAGCCACTTTTCACTACGTTTCATGCTCCTCCTCCTTTTTCTTCTCCTAGCTTTAAATCTGTGATGGATGTGATGGAAGGCTTGCAGTCACTTTTATCCCTACATGGGCTACCGGCCGTGCGTCCATATAGGAGCTGTGGGACCTTCCGAGTGATAGGGTTACAGTAACTGCTAGTAGAGAAAATATGAAGGTTCCACCAGTAGACATAAGTATCGAAAGCAGGGCATTGGCTCGACCTCCGAGGCGGGGTATCCGTGAGGACCCTGGTCGTAATCAGCTCTGTACTGTTTCAGTGTATCCTGATGCCTGAAATCTCGGACACTGCCTACGTACGGGGTAGACATGAGCCACGTATGATTTTGTCTGTGAGTTTTTCATCACTTCCTGACATGAGCTCAGCTGGATCCTTCCTTTCCCTTTTTCTTTAATTCCCGTTCAGTCTACCTCTTCATCATCAGTTAGAGCTGCCTAGCCTTGCACTCGAACTTTGCCTCCACAGTTCACCACGGTACCTCTTTTGGAGGCCTCCTGCCGGGCAACACTAGCTATCAGACACTGGCTAACTTATACCGCGCACAGTTTAGTTTCTGTGTCTTTTCTGTGGTCGTGTGTGCCGTTTTGTGCCGCCCTCTCTGCTGTTCTCGTGCTTGCGCTCACCCACTCCTCAGTGGGCTGTACATTTGACAGTGTTACTGGCTGGCACTCCCATCATTTTCTCACTCACCATCACTGCCCAATCAAATTTATGCTTTCAAAATCACTATACACCCATGATCATATGATCAAAACATAAAGCTTTGAAATTTAATGTTCCAAATTATATTTTAAATGTTCAAAAAAATGTGCTACCCTGTTCATTATTATTATAGCCGAAAATATTTTTTCGGTTTTTCAAAGTCCGTACCTTGTCAAAAATTTTTTGATTTTTTAGGGATTCGAGATAAAATGTGACAAAAAATAGGCATTTCAAGATTTTAGAAATAAATTAAAAAAAAGAAATATCCGGCAAAAATCCGGCAACATTTTTTGAAACCGGAGCCGGAACCGGATATTCAAGCCGGATATCCGGCCGGATCCGGATTCAGCCGGATATCCGGTCGGTTCCTAGTCGAGAGATTCTGCTATCCAACGTATTGGAAACGTATGACTTTCCCTTACAGTGTATCCAATTATATGGAAAAGGGACATGAATTCGTTCCCCGACGTCAGACCCTGTCGTATTGGGGTTGGAGTCTTAACTCGGAGTAAGTGTAAGGGGTTGGGTTATGTATGGTGCATGTTTGTCCAAGAGCCAGCAGTGATTTCCATCAGTCTAGTGAAGGACGACGACATGTGCGATATTTATAGATATTCGTATAAATACGAATGTATAAATACGAATGGTACTGTTTGTTTCTAATGAATGTATGCTCGTGCTGTGTTACATACGGTCGAGGGAAACACGAAGGGTTAAGGTAAGGATTCACCAATGAATTTCGGTTAGGGATAGGCATCCGGCTTCCGTAACCACCAATATTTTCCTTGATAAACGATATATTTCTTACCGCCGACATCTACGCAAAAAACATAAAAATGTTTCCAATGCTGAAATATTGTCAGCTAACGGGGACCGTTTTCACAGTTTTTGTCATCGATACAATAAGTTTAGCAGGAAGAAAAGGACAACCCCATAGCAATCTACTAATTGTGCATGATTCATGTAACCGAAACTTATTCGTAAAAATTTTTTCGATCTGTAATATCTCCATAATTTAGGTTCTGACAGGAGATATTGGCAGAAATTTCAGTGATGTTATTACTTTATAACCTTAAGTTTTATTTCCAGAAACAGATTAAGCACTGTTTTTACTATACTTTGTTTAGAAACGTCTAGAGAAGAAATTTGAAGTGGTGAAAACCCGTACAGTGTACACCTATTTATAAAAAAATCTAAAATATTCTCTTCTCAGTTTTCAGAGCGGATATCCCGATCGTGAGTTCTCAGAAGTCTCTGTTATTCAAATGTTAACCGGTTGGATGCCTGAAGTCATTGACGTCAAGTACGTTCTAAAAATAGAGTTCTTAAAATTTCGTCCTGCTGTTGGCCTGATTAGATCTTTGAGTTGTATTAATTAGTTTGATTATAAAATAAAATGGCGGCCTTTTTTTAACGCTCCGATGTGTCTGTGATCGTACCCTAGATTCTGATTATTAGATTATTATCAGCCGATAGGTAATATTAATTGACTCCCATTCCTATGGCAGGAACAGAGGGAAAGAAGATATTTGGAATCTGATTGACAGCAGCATTCCTACCTGGACTGAAGAGCAACCCCCTTCAGATACAACTTCAGGTATTTATTCAGGATTTTGCATTATTTTTTTTCCAGGAAGATAGAGAACGGAAGAACAGTTTATCTGTTATCTTAATTTTTATTCATAGATAACAGATATCTTTGCCCATAGATATCTGCCCATTCCATTCCCAAGTATGCATACTGCCTAAAGCATCACTCCCTCTACAGCCCAAATTAGCATAATATTTTAGATACTTCTCTAATTCTAACCATGTAACAGTACATTCTACAGCCCAGTCGGTTATCTCAAACGTGCCGACCGCTAACCCAACCGCCAAGGAACCAGCCCTCATTTTCGGATCGTACGATATTGGGTTTAACGGTGATGAACCCATCGGTTTGTGTTATTAATATTTAAACTGTTGTGAACGTGTTGGCTACATTGTAACTTATCAGTACAAATTTGTTATTCGATATTCCAGGATAATGATCTGTTTTTACCACCTGATTTTTGTTAATAGAAACGAAAATTCAATCAAAACGTTATTTAAACTTGTTGATTGTCTAATGACATTATTCAGATTTCATATTAATTTGCACCAACTAGCTAATAAAACACTGCAAATTCTCATTAATACAACGCTTATCTTTCTTCCTTTTCCAGGAGTACCCGAGATAAAAGCGGAGGTAGGAGGGACAAGTTTCAGCGGACTACCTCCCCCAATGATATGGCTAACGGAGACCCGCAAGACTGCCATACCCCCTCCTAAACCAACGCCGTTCATGGTGGCGGATCCCTCCACTCAGGTTAACACAATTATATGGATAATTGTTTTATCTCTTTTAGCTTTGTAGCTTATCTCAATGAAAATATCAGTTTTTATACATATGACTTAATAATAATATCAGCTAAAAATTGGGCCATGGCACACTTTTCGAATGTCGGGTCACGTTTTTCACGTTATATTCATTCAAAGTATTAGGGCGCCAATGAGGCTTTAATCGAATTTTATTTTCTCCACAGTTAAGACCAACAGAGGCACTGTTTCAACTGAGACAACAAAGACAACAGCGTATTAAGCACGAGTTACTTCTGAAAGAGCTTGCTGCCACCTCACCTAAACTTATACATGCTACAAGTGCTTTCCCTAAGTATGTGTAGCTTACCTTGTCATGATGTATCTTAATCTTCATGATTGTTTTCGTGATTGAATAGCATGCTAAAAATAAACCCAGGGTCAATCTTCACATTAATCGATAGCTGCAGATTTGTACACTAATCAAGACTGGTTCCATCGTCCTAAACTGTTTAAAAAGGTTTTTCAGTTTCGAAGAAGTATTAGGAGATTACGTCCCTGACACATGTGCATCACAAGCTCGTAGCGTTTCAAAGAAGAAGGAGCCAGAGAAGAAACCTGATAAGAAGAAACCTGAGAATGCCAAATCGAATAAAGATGGCAGTGAGAAAAATAAGCCTGAGAAGAAGAAAGAGGATAAGAAAAAGGTAATAACCAGTTGTTTTTATAGGAAATTGTTCGATTACCCTGTATCATAATTTACTGTTCGAGTCAGCAAATTTACTAATGGAGTCACTTATTGACGGTTTTAATGTCCAACTCACAATCTTATACCAAAGCACCTACAGAGCACAGACGATAAGTCTGAGAAAGCAGAAAAGAAGAAGGAGAAGAAAAAGACACCAGACCAGTCCCAACAGGAAATACCGCCCGAGACAAGCTCTCCTTGTGATGAGGTTTATAAATGATACAATTATTTACACGCATACAAACATAACACCACAATACCGCACCATTTATAGCACAGTAAAAAAGATTTACTGCGAAGTTTTAAAAGGGAGATGAAAGAGCCGCGGTAAATCGAGGTATAGATTTATGATAGTATAGCCAAAATTTTACAAAAATGTATTAAGCCGCCAAGTTTGAATTGGCCCACATGGATTCCCTGAGCTGTAGCAACTAGCAATCACCCATTCCTTCAAATCGGCTAGGAACGTAACCAGGCAAAGACAGATTGGAAGACCGTCAAGAATAGTGTAACTAACAACCAAGTAGGTAGACGATAACGACGAGGTTTCTATCCTGTTATGAGAAGCATTATCCAGCACTAACCAGCATAACCTAACTAACCAGCATAACCCCAACAAGCATGACCAATCCTATACACACCACCTATATAATATCCAGCTTGCAAGTTATTACATTCGTTTTTTATCAACGCACAGTTTATAACAGCATGAAGTGATCTAGTTCTTAATGCTTCCAGGAAATGTGGGTGAAAGGATGTAAATCTCGGTTTGCGGTTGATCAGAGCACGGTTATTTGCAGTTTAGTTATTATATTCATTAAAATGTGTGCGGTTATGAACTTTTTTTCAGGAGCTGGCCGAAGAAGAGGAAATTCCAGCAGTTTCACCTCTTGTCTCTTTCTGGATTGAATTCAACCAGTTCTTCGGATCCTTTTCGAAACTCTACGTGTTCCACAAAGCCAATAGTTACTCCTGTCATCGCTCCGTCTCAGACATGAGGGTAGGAAATGGTCTTCTTCAAGGTTTTTTTGTACCTTGTTATTGCTTGGAGTTTTTCTTTTGTAGATTTGTGAATGATATAAATCATAAAGTGCTTTTCAACAAAGTTTATTTTTCTCAAGGGCTCAGACATTTTGTTTTACTGCTACTTATCCTATTGTGATTTCAGAATGTGTCACCCTCGTCCATGATAGTACCGACCGGAGGCCGCAGGACAGCCGCCGGGCAGAGCGGTGCTGTTACCAGTGCAACTCATTTGAGGGGGATACCAGCTCCCTCACCCATTCCTGCAACTGGATCAGTCCCTCAACACAACCACTCCCTACTTCAAGGGCAGCCTGGAGAGATACAACCTCCTCTTATCATTTGTATCCTTTTGGCAAAATTTGTTTATATTTAACAAATAACTATGCGCGCATTGCGCATTTGGCAAAACGTAATATTCGGAACGCGCATTATACATTTTGGTCAATTTTGAGCGCAAAGTGTGGCTGTTGCTTAGCAACACAGTTTGTCCAATTAACCACATGGTCCGGTCGGCTGCGCTGGTACTTCTAAGCTAGCTGGGATTGAGTTCAGGAGTGCTTTATCGATATCAATGCGGGTGGTACCAATCATAACCTATCATCTGCACAGGTGATCAAATCTAATTTGTTGTAAACTATGAATAATCTTATCGCGTGTACCGAATTTAGTAAACAGAAAATAAATACGGCATGTTTTGAGCCCTCACCACTCACACAGGCCAGAAATTAAGTTAAAAGTCCAATATAAATATGGAGCATAAGGCAATAAATAAATAAATTTAATCGCGAGATGGTTAGCAGAGATAACCAGAGATGGTTAGCAGAGATAACCAGAGATGGTTAGCAGAGATACGGTCATCTGCGAAGAATTAAGCATGTCAACCAAAAAAGTTTCAATTAAAAATAATCTTGAAGAGAAAGCAATATTCCTTAACAAGATGCCAGGTCTTGACAGTACAGATCCAATAGAAGTTCTGGTGAGTTTCACGTCTCTCTCACACTGGCACGATGCTCCCATAATAATCAACCCAACCCTCGGACCAGTCTTCACGTCAGATAATAAACTGGGCTACAGTGCTGCTGAGGTTGTTGAACAGAATTCTAACCCTGAAAGCGATCACACGGTACTAACTTTAATTTTATTTAAACCCCTTGATTTCAATGTTTATGTGATAATGATTTTATATCAATTCTACTAGGAAATTGTTACATTGTGATTGCGATGCTGATTTAATGACAATTTATGTAAGGATAACTATGACATTGATAGTGTTTACTTAGTGGTTCATTTCCAAGAATCCTATTATAATTTTCGTCATCATCCCATCAGATTGTAGTGCCAGGAAGACTCGAACTATCAAACTACATGTGGAACGAAATCAGAGCCACACTAGAGGTTATTTCCACCATGGAAACGACCGCCACAAAGACATGTCGGCTGACCTTACCCGCCGGACTGCATACTTTGCGCCTTTCTGTGGCCGCCCCCTACGCCTGGCATGCTGACTTTGTGAGCAATACTCCCTTCGTTATTGCAGACACGGAGTCTTTTGTGAACCATGTCAACAGGTCTGTAAAGAAGATTTTTCTTATAAGCGTATAAAAAACAGAATGAAGGATTTGTTCCTAAAACTGAAAATAACGACTAAATATGCTCTGATAACATCCCAATAAGTCCATTCTACTGATCTTACGTAAAGGAATTTCACCTCCTTTGTAATAACAGGGAGAGTTTGAGGTACCAAGCAGCGGCACTGAGGTTGATGAAGATGGTAGGTGAGAGTGTGGAGAACTTTGGGGATCCGGAAGATGTGGGCAAGACTGTTCAGGAGATAGCATGTGCTGATAAGGGCAGAGATAAGGACCTAGTTTTCCCCGACATCAAGGTTTGACTGAACTGCGGTAGTATTCTGAGAATTACGGCCACAATTCTTGTATGTAAACGGCTGATTATCTTTCCGTATTGTAACCCAATTTATTACGGTTCTTGAAGAACCGTTGATCTCAAATAATTGTCCATATCGAAGACGGTTTTATTTTTGTGTAATAATTCTAATCGAATCTTACACAGGCTTTTTTCGAGTCCTTGTTCCACATGCTGGAAAAAACACTGGGAGATCAGATCACGTCCCAACACCGAGAGGCCTGGACCACCTTCTCCACAACTGTAGTCAGAGCATACAAGATTGGTAATGGTGAAAACCTGTTCGGCATCTTCGAAACAGATCCTGTTCCCTTTAAAAAGCAGATGGAACCGTCTGAGGTGTTCGATACACCGGGAGAAAAGGAAGAAGAAGAAAAGAAATTTACTGAAAAAGATGAGAAAGCGGCTAAAACGATTCAGAAGCATTTTAAAGGACACCACGTCCGGAAGAGAACCCGTGCTGTTCAGAAGGGTACAAAAGTGAATCTGTCGACAAAAGGAGCGCTCCAAGACAGCTGGGGAAAACTTGAGGGTGATGAATTACAGCATGGACTGAATATCCTCAAGAAAATGTTTACTTTAAAACCAGACTTACTTGATCAATATTCTTTCAAAGAAGACATGGAAAAGTGCGCATATTATGTTGATCATCATGGTAACCATGGGGATATTCCTGCGAGAAACTGGTTCTTATTATTCAGGTACATTAATTTATCTTATAGTCTCTGGTGTCTTGTTCATGTTTTCGTTTTTTACCTATTATAAATGTTGTTATACAATGATTGGAAGCAAATTTTTAATTGTAGTTTTGAGCAAAACTGTTATAAGTTTTTTCAAACTTTACCTATATATATATATATTGTTTTAGGGAAACGTTCACGGCCACCAGAGAAGCTATGGTTACAGTCTCAGTTACTGCTGGAGTATCTGGACTTCTGCTCCGGATTATTGACAACGACACCGGAAAAGAAATCCCAACCATCTGTAACCGGCCTAAACCTTACCTGTTTAAACCCAACAAGGTTATTTATTACAGACTTGTACGAATCAATATGTAAATTCTTAGCCTACAAATAAAATGATTTACTCCTGCTTATTTAATCACTATTTTCGACAATTTTAACATCCGTTCCACAGATTGGATACACGTTCCTGTGTGAGGGTAAGACATTGGAAGGTGCACTGGCAGGAGGCAAGTACCGACTGAGAATGGTCGGTAACTCTCCTGAACTCCTCACCCCAGTCAGGGACATTGCTTCATCCGGTGTGGAGACTAACGATATCAAGGAATACTACACACCAGAGAGACACAATATCATGTTCAGGTAAGTCGTGTTCAATCCTGATTTCCATATTGTCGGTAAAGTGAAGTAAAGATGCGAGTCTGATTACACAAACTGGATTTTCTCACGTTATTGTTCCTAGGTACGCAGTTAATGTTTTAGCAGATACTCCAGCGACGGTTCAAGTTAGCACTTCTAAGTCAGATGTCAACTTCAGAGTCGAGGTTTGTTTTCTATGCTGTTTCTATCAAACTCTAATGTAGCACTGCTGAGTGCTGAACAAGATGGAATAGCACATTGTATTACCCGTTAAAAAGATGTTGTTTTGACAAGAGGGATCCTAAGCAAGGAATTAATTATTACAGATATTCGATGGAGAAGACCAGCTATTCAAACAAGAAGGAATCGGACACATCGTCGTGCCCTGCCTCACATTCTACACGGACGAGGACAGCTCCTCTAAAGGAAGGAGAACGCCCCAAAAAACACGTGAGGTCCCACCTGAGAAGGGTGCTAAGAGTACCACTCTTAGCACCACCTTGCCCCCGGCCACCACCACCGCCATCACCTCCTCCCTTCTTCCCCGTACTAACTCAACTACTAAGGACATTATAGGTTAACTGTGTGCTAATTAGTCGGCTGATGTACTGTTGCTGCTGCTGATACGTGTTACATGGAGCTATATTGCTATATACACTACCTTACAAGACTTTTTTGTGGCGGACCAATTTGCGACGACCGAAATTTTGGCGGTCCGAAAATATGGCGAAATTGAACAAAAACCGTCACATTTCGGACGTCACAGAAAATAAGGGTATTTTTCATCATTTTGTTTTCTGACACAAAGGAAATTCAAAATTTTCTAAAAATCGGTAAAATCATGTTGAAACAAAATGAAACTTATAAATCGATTTCTTCATCTTCCTCTATACTTAAGGGGTCCGGCTCGACTCTTTCAGTTTCTCGCTGTTCTCCAGTGTACTCCAAGGAGTAAGATTCTCGGATAAGCGTATTACTTGACATTAAATTCATCATGGAATATTGTGTTTATTTGTCCCACCATCATATCACTAACTTTTCAAGAACAAAATGAATCGATGAAGCCACAATTATTGGAATGAGCTAAAAATAATGCGACGGATTCTATTACGACGACCGAAATTTTGGCGGTCCGAGAATATGGCGAAATTTCGGGAAAACCGTCGCATTTCGTACGTTATAAATATGTCTTGTAAGGTATATAGATTATAGCCTATGATTATATAGCTATTAGCTATAGTGCTGATATTTTAAACTGGCATCCGTTTTTGCTGGTCCGTTATTTTGAAGCCGTCTTAGCTGGTCCGTCATTTTGAATCGTTTCGTGTGTAACAGGCTTTCTTTTGGTGGTTTTTATTAGCCAACTAATTGCTCATTTATGTTGATATATCGTTCCTATTCAGTGCATAAAACCTTGTTAAATTAATCATTAACCCGCTGATATCAAGATTCAAGAGAGGTTGGTCATCTTAGAGGGGGGATTAAACTAGAAACCTCCCTCTAAGGTTTCATTTTTGTACTCCCATGCTCCCTTCAAGTTAATCCTAGTTTTGATGTTTTGTACGCTGGTCCTTTTTATTGCACTTTTTCTTAATTCTACGTACCCTCAGTGTTATTAAAAGCGAAATCAGTTCTTTGACAAAACTGAGTTAGTGATTAATTAACTTGAAATATTTGATTATGTCTTAAATAGTTCATCGTATTTTCTGAACAATTTAGTTCGCAAATACTAACAGAGTGACAGGTCGTTCCGTAGGTGCAAAGAGTGGCACTAAGTCTCCGGGTAGGACTAAAACCCCCGTCGCGGCGGACCCGGACGCTGCCCCTCGCAAGAAGGTACAAGGATTGATATAATCTGAATTATCAAAAATTTTAGAAGATGATGGGTCGAATTAGTTATGCAACAAAATATATACAACAATTTCTTTTAATCTGATGCTTTTAGAGTCACCGTTACATAGTGCAAGCCACTGTGTTAAGAGATTCCTGGAACAACAACGAATCACCATGGCAGAGTATTCTAGATCAGATATTGCCAAAAGATTCTGATGCAGGTTTTCTTTCAGCCTTAATACACATATTACTTTGTTCTCATCTTACTCTTTTTCTGGCACTGAAGAGTGAAGTCCCACATGTTGTTCTAATTCTGACACGAAAAATATTTGCTCTGATTTGATTGTGTTGTTTGAGTCTGACGACATACCTGCAATTTGTTATCGGTGGTTGGTACGCAACCCAGAGGTAAAAAATTTCTACAGCAGATCTCGAATATGAGAAAGTTCGATTAGCGACTATAGCGCATATACCCACAAGCAGGCCATAAAATATCAATTCCTTGATATTTCATTACCTAGTCTCAGATAGACCGACGTCAGGCAGCATCGCAGAAGAGAAACCCTCAACTCCCAACAAGAAAAGAGGAGCAAGGGAAGAGAAGTCGAATCCTAAGAATGCTGCCAAACCGGGACAAAAGGCGCCTTCGCCAGCTTTCGATGAATCAAAACCTTATTGGCTGTTGAGAGTCTGCGCAGATGCGGGTAGGAATATTTTATATTTTCAACTCATTTGGCAATGTGCAGAAGTAATTCCCATCTGAAATTCTGACAACATCACTGCACAGTGCAACTGCACAGTTCCAATAATTTTATTTTTACCGTTTGACATTTGAACGACAACTCACAAATCACAATTCTGCAAGAGAAATTGTATTTTAAACATCTCATCAGGCGAAGAGGTGACACTGAAACGAGATACACAAAGAGAAGATGAAATAAAGAGTATCAAAGCAACATGGGAGGAGCTCCAGCCAGGGCGAGCTGCTAAGGTGGGTTTCAGCTTTTCAAAACCTAACCAGCCGAACTACTGTGACTATGATCAAACATCACGATATTGACGGATTGCAGTTTAGGAGTGTTCATTTTTGAGATCTTGTTCCTTTTCGCTTTGTAACATTGTTTCATGATGTATCAAATATTCAGGCTAAAGCATTGAGAGAAAAATATCTTGCCCGAAAAGCAGAGGAAGCTGAAAAGGAAGCGAAGGAGAAAGCAGAAAAGGAGGGTGAGGAGAAAGTAGAGGAGAAACCGAAAGTGGAGGAAAGACTTAGCATAGGAGACGGTGCTGAAGCTGTAAGTTCTGCCATCTTGCTATTCTAAAATCTTACCATTATTGTATAACCCACTACAGCAACCTGAACGCTAATTTTGCAGGAGGCCACCAAGGATGAACATTCGGGAACTGTAACCTTCTCCGTGTCGGAAATGAGACCACCTTCTCCCAAATTCTACCAGATTCCACCTCCTTTCCAGCCGTACGTCAAGGGTGACTATGATGATGTCCTCTTGTTTGACGACGAAGAAAATCTCCGACACCTTGATGAACATCGTGAGAAGGTATCACCTAAATTAATGTGTGGAAAAAGAGCGCTATTAGAAAAAGAGCGCTATTGCCCAATAATAATATCATAATTTGTATTCTTAGTAGTACAGGGAAATCCGTCTGAAAAAATCGATCTGCCGACACACAAAGCTTACAAAGGATTTTTGACGTTTTTGAGTCATATAGTGGGCAGAGTCGACTTTTTGTTTCTTACAATTATAAAGTTGCAGTACCCCGCAAAACGTCACCGAGTACCGACTTGTCAATCAATAGCGAACATTTTTATTAAATGATTTAATTGCTTTTCAGATCTAATCTAAACTGACGCAAACAGTTACTTTGTACCTGATCTGTGCAATAGGAAACACTGAAAAATATTCGGATGATTTTACTCTTCTTACGTGTCTTCTTTACAGGTGGAAGAGTTCCACGACGGAAGAAAAAATGTTCTGGACGGTCGAATGGAAAATAGAGCTCATAGAAATGATTTGAAGGAGCAACTACTTCTAACAGCTGAGAACATGCAGGTTAGTCAGAGACTGGGAGCAGTTTATTAGCTATTTCCTGGGTTGGACATTTAATTTGATATTTAAGGATATTTTCTGTTAGCTCCGTTCAGAAGAGTTAGCCTCTGATTTGGACGGGTGTTAAATGAGTTCTTATGCCAGGTGGAGGTAGACTCGCTGAGGGAGGAAATGTTCTCACTGAGAGACACACTGCGACAGAAACAGTTAGCGGAGGAAGCAGCCAGGATAGCTGCCATGGAACCAGAACAGGTTACCACACCCTCACCCAAACCACCATCCGCCAAGAAACCGAAGAGTCCAAAGGGTGCAAAGAAAGGGAAGAAATGATGAGACTGTGTTTGAGTTTAGATAATAAATGAGACAGCTAAGTTATTTCAATTAGGATGAGTGCAGTGGAAGTTTTGCATGTGACTTGAATTTCTGCTTTCGAATTTTATTAAAAGCTAAAAGAATTAAGAGGAACTATTTATTATTATGATCGAGAGAATTCAGATTTAGAGATGTTAGTCAACTTTTTGTTATTGGCTCAAAATATGCGTTTTAACTGTTTTGGGCGGTTGATGAAAAAGTCAATTAAGCTGTTCGATGTTTAAGGATAAAAATTATATTTACACTACAATATACTATAATCTGTCCGTCATAAATCCACGTAATAACTAAACAGAAAACATCAAAAATTCGGGCAAAATAACAAATATATCCCGATCATCGACCAAAACCGAGGAACAGTAAAGTGCCGTTCAAAAAATTAAATAATACTCAAAACTTGAAAGTCCTTCGAATTAATTGAAATTTTTCATTTTAATAGGACTCCCATTGCAAATGGTCAGAACGTGCTTGTTTAGATAAAAAAGTTAAAAAGTTAAATTTGGCCTATATATGCTATATTGTGAATAATTGGCGAAATTTTTAGATTAAATAAAGTCATAATTTAATTTTTGATGAATTTTAATTAAAATTTTGTAGCTTGACCAACTTGAATATAGTAGAACATAATCTTTGAAACGAGATTCGACATAGGCTTACAGCGATTTAACCGATGTCAAGTTAGCTTAGGATGACGTAGAAGTTAGCAATATTTTATCCTAGATGAAAATACGACTAAGTATAAAGATTACAAAGATATCGGTTCTCAGAACCAGCATGTTTTTGCATTTTTATCACGAATATTGATATTTACAGGTGAGAATATGAATTATATGAAACAATTCGCATTAACTCTAAAAACATAAACATTTGTCAAATCTAGGAACCAACCAGACTTTAACTTTAACTTGACCGCATACCAGCATTTGGGGTATTTAAAGCGTTTTACCCCTCAACATTTTACCTCACGAATTTTTACCATCGAATTTTAAAATATTTGATAGCCCGGTTTTTCAGACAACCCCATGGTTACAAAGTTACTCATACTGGTCAATTGCAGGAAGCCAAAGGCCAGGGATGGTAAAGGGGGAGGGGAGGGGGGGGGGGGGTTCACTACACTTTTTTACACTTTATTTCACTACACTTTTGGTTTTGTTTGGTGTATGGTGTAGTAAAAAGTGTAGTAAAAAAGGTACACTTTTTTACACTTTTTTACACTATTAATTACACTTTTAAATTGTCTTCTAAAAATCTTATTTTCCTATTATTTTTCCTACCTACTTTTTTACACTACGCTTTTGCCTTTTTGTTATGTATGGTGTAAAAAAGTGTTGAGAACCCCCCTCCTCGGTAAAAGTGCTAAGTCCGATGTGTGTTTTAAGTACCCCTTGTTGGGGTTAGATTTTTAGTGCAGGCTAGACCTGGCTTTAAAAACGTAATGACTAATGAGGTAAAAATTAGTGCACCCAAGAACACATTCACAAAGTGTCAGAACCCCAAAAGGATAAAAGAGCAGCAAATAAACAATAGGCAAGAAGATACTCGTAAGAATCGTTTGTTAATAAAACAACACGACCAAAAATATCAACAGAATACAACCATGTCAACCATTACACCTATTAGTATCACAGCCATTACAACCATTATATCGAAATGCATAACCATTGTTACCCGAAAGGTATTAACTTGGTCAGGAACTCAGTGGATAGCCCAAGGTATCATCTTCACAGTGTGTGTGTTCAAAATGTTCAAAATGCGCTCAAAACTCAACAATGTACTACGTTATAAATAAAATTAAAAATTTGCGGTTAAATACTCCTAAACTTCTGCAAAACACTCGCGTCATCTCCGTAATTACAGGTACAATTTACAAAATTAGTTTAGTCACTGAGGAGCGCAACTATTTCCTAGTTCTTCTCCTGGAAGTGGCGAATTGTTGTAGAGAATGTGGGTATTTTGAAAATACCCACTAATTTCATTCCCAACTCCGTAGATTATGCCATTTTTCGACCCAAACTCCTGGCTTTGAGAGCGCTTCTTTCCAATGTAAAACCTGGTGGGTCTTTTGTTAGATATTTAGGCCATGAAAATAGTCAGACATTTTAACAGTTTAAGTCATTGAACAGCGTTAGATATCCGATACTATAAAGCTACATTCATGCTCATTGATTGTGAGACAGCTTGAATAGACATCTTGAATATGACGTCTATTTTGGTGTATACTATACATTACATATAAGACGTATACTTATAACTGTATTATATAACTAACCGTAACTGATCATGATCCATGTATATTCAAGCTGTCTCACAATCAATGAGCAAATTAAGCATGAATGTAGCTTTATAGTATCGAATATCTAACGCTGTTCAATGACTTAAAATGTCTGACTTATACTTTCATGACCTAAGTATTTAAAACATATATGGTTGAGATCTTCTAGCTGTCTTAAGTCATATGAAATTGCGGGGACGTCTATTTTCATTTCACATCGTCCAATTCTAATGTAGTTATGAGGCAAATGAAAAATCTAATAGTGTAAAGCTGAATGCAATCTAGAAGATACATCCTAGGCTGCAGAATTTTGACTAGCACAATGTAAAATGGTTAGTGGTGTATTGGTGTGTTACCTCGATGCCTCGTCCATCTAGAGCTGAATTGATGTTGATCTTGTGTTGACAGAGTCTGACCACACCTATCAGAACACATTGCTTCTGCTTTTCAACCTTAGAACAATGATATTATCAACTTGTTCACTGTTCAGCGAATAAAGGACAAATTGTATCACTTCATAATCGATATTTTGTATTAGCGGTCATTTGATTAACATACAATAGAATCCTAAATTTTAAGATTTAAATAAGATCTTATAAATTATATAGGTTAGGCTATAGCCATACCTTTCCTAAATGAAGCATCTGAATCTCTATTCCGTTATCATCAATTTCGGCTGAATCCAAGCAATTGAAGTTCACTTCGGCATTCCATTTCGGATTAACAGTATTTTTCTTCATCTGCAGTTTATACTTGTGGTCTTTGGACTCGGTCTTTGGTATCAAATACCTATTGGAATAAAACTATTAGACAAATTGTAATTTTGATTTTTTATTATAAATAATCTGAAATTCCAGACAACTCATGATAACTCATGATTAGAGCTGACGTTATGGTACTAGTCTGACCTATACAGTATACCTACCTACCTATTCATTGACGTCCGAGGAACTAATTCAATAAACGATCACGAGGCTCCAGCGTGTTTTTCTTAAGTCATCAAGTGAAATGAAAATGTTAGACATTGTAGACAGATCTTTACGTTCTGTATGTCTACAATTTCTCTCAATTTTGGCTAACAATAGCCCTCATTGATAGAACGCGCGCAGCGCACGTACAGTACACTATGCATTGATGTTATCGAAAACAGTAGATGGCTCTAAATTTTAACATAAATTAGTTATTGCGCGTTACGTAAAATTTACTCGATCGCCTAAGTGCGACCAATATACCTTGCCACAAGTCAACGACCACAACTACATCGTGTATCATATGCCTAGAACGAGAAAATAGTAATTAAGTATAGGATCGCTGAGCATACTCACAGTGCAGCATAAGGGTTAGTGCGGTTATTGTCCATCAGAGGTAAATCTCTTGCCTCCACTACTTTGAGTTTCAGGCATGTTTTCTTCTTTTTCTTGTCATCCGGTGATGGACAGTACATTAGTCCCAAGAGAATGGAACCCCGGAAATGGGAATCTTCCTGAAACAGTTCCGATTTGAACTTCAATTCGCGATAGGAAATTTAAATGATAGCAAGTAAGCTCCTCATAAAAGATGACCTCATAGGTCGGGGTAATATGTGGATGACAGCATTCCTAATGAATACCGTGAATGGAGATCGTCATGAGTCAGTATATTGACAATACAAAAAGGCTCATTAACCGCTGATAAATGGTGTACATTCAATAGCCAGTGCCTGATCAGCCGCTTCGTTAACAGTAATTATACAGTGCATGTCACAATGACTGTATATTAGAGCCTATTATCGAGAGATGATGCATGATTTGACAGATTGTCAATGTGTGATTGATGACTATCACTCAACTTGCTATCTTACAAGATGAATAGTGAACATATCGATATCACAAAATGGTGATGCATTGTTCTTAACTTATTCAAAACCGCATCAAAATCTTGCATTTTACACATATTTATGACAAACAAAAGAAAATATCCCTCATAAAATAACATAAGTATGGTTCTGACCAGGTGCTTGAGTTGCCACCAGGTGGGGGTTAGTGTTGTGATCTGGATACTATCTAGTTGTATCCGCACCTCTCCCAGGAACATGTTGTGCCCTAGCTGCCTCGTGTCCCACACTGTTAACCAAAGTGTCATGCTACACAGATCTTCCATTGAGGGCGCTTTGTATTGGAATATCTGGGGAGAGTTTAATAAGATGTAGTAGTAATGTACTTCAACATAAGTTTGTTCTTTAGGACTGGCAGGTTGATTTCTGTTAATGCTGTGCTATGTGTGTAAATACTCAGTGTGAAGTATTTAGCTGGAAATAACCAACAGACACTGTTAGGCTGAAAACAGCCACATTTCAACAGGTGTAACACGACTTTTGTCCGACTTTGGTTACCAAAAGTACACCGACCGTTGTTTGAATTGGAAATCCGGAAGTCGGTGACTCTAAAATACGAATCTTGTTCAAATTTATGTCCTAATTGCAACTTGGTAAATTCCTCTAAGGCAATGACCGCGACCGGCGCGGAGTCTGCTTTCACAGATATCCTGTCTGCTGTTGAGTATCGAATTCCTTACATTCCGTGGGAATGCAACAGATTTAACAGACTCATCAGTGAGAACGTCTGGGCAGGCAGAGTTAATCGAAGATTTAGACATTGTCTGCTCGGTATAACTCATATTTCTAATTTAATCAGCCAAACTTAGGGAAAGTTAGGGAAAGTGGAGCCTGGAGGATGATATTTATGAACTGATCGACAACTTGTGTTATATAGAATTACTTATTTTTATTTATTTTCGCAAGAATATACTCTAGCGACTACAAATCCATTAATATATTTCAATCTATTAAATATTTTGAAAATTCCGTGGGCTCGTTAGCGTTAATTTACGAATCACTTAATCAAAAAACCAGTTAGAGGTATTGGACTGGTCTGACTAAGCAGAATAAGAAAAGTTTTTTAATCGGCCAACAGTAAGTGGTTTAATTGGTGGTCTAATTGATCATGATGCCAGTTTCGACTGAGCAGGTTCATACTTTTCCACCTTTCAAACTGCGACAGTGGAATGTTATAAAGTTATTTAGCTAGCTGGTATTCAAAAGACAATAATGTTATGTTGGAGCGTTCATTCATTATTTTTGCTACAGTAACGAAGTCATAAGCTATTGTTAATAACTGCAACAGTCAACAGTGGAATCCTTGCCGTGGGACGGGTAAGTCTTAGCTAGCTATAGTATTCAAAAGAAAATAATGTTATGCGCTTTGATGATGTGTTCGTTTAAATATTCTTTTTGTTACATTAACTCAAGTTATTTGTTACATTAACTCAAGCTATTGTTAATAAAGAACAATAAAAATAAAAGAAGGAATTTCAGCAGCAAGTACAACTTTAACACTTAAAAGTTCCGTTTAGAGAAATATGAAGTGCCATGTGATACGAAGTGTGATGCACTGTAACATATATACTAATTATAATATATACTAATATAATAAGGAGAAATAAGTTGCCTACCTCGTTAAACACGGGATTAGTTGCTCTTTTCTTCGTTTTTGTTTTCCGTTTAGCAGTCTTACTTCTGTCCGGTAACAGATACGTTTTCACATAGCTGAAATAAAATAATGTCAGGACTCTGGTCTCATAAGTAATGCTTCATTCAGTAAAAAGTAACAAAGTTAGGGTCTTGTTATAGATTTGTTTGAATATCAGTAAGTAAGAGGGACCTACATCTTTAGACTATATTAGTCAAGTTTACTTTGTGAACAATATTACTGTGCTAAGAGGTTCTCTTGTATTTGTGATTTTTTGCTTTTCAGTCACTTCAATAGTTCAATGCAAAGTGACTCAACCAATGAGCCATCTTTAATTGCATAAAGACGAATATAATTCATATTCCATGGCAACATCCCAGAAGATTAATAACCAGATCTACATTCTACAAGCCCTTAATAAGCCCTTTAATAGACAATCCTAACTGTCCTGTGGCCAATCTCCTAACTAGGACATGCTGGCCAGGATCATTAAACAAGCCAACTCCCTGCTACACGGCCATTTACAGACGTTACACAGTTAGTTGAGAGACTGGCAGGTAGTTGCCGCTACACGCAGCGTTTATCTGTAATTATACTCCCATTTGCGTGGTCAGTGTAAGGGTTACAGTAAGTACTGTTGCAGTGTTGCAATTAGTTAATTACTTACACTCGGTGTAATTATTGTAATGTTAGGGTTTGGAACCTCACTAAAGGGTGCTCCCTGAAGAATACAGGAAGTGGTCACCATATCAAAGGATAATGTTGAATTTGTATGTCTCACAAGCGCAAGTTATGTTGTAGTCTCGGTTTGAAACATTATCTTACTATATTATATTGTAAGTATTCCTAGTCTGGGTAACGCTTGCGGAGTAGTCAGTCTACTCAAGCGCTCATATCATAACACAGTTAAGTTGAAAAATTCAATTCAGCGATTTATCATTCAGGAACCCCCTGACCAGTATGACTATAATAAGTTAATTATTCCGGAATTACGACAATAGTATAACGATAAGTGGATAATTACATAATTACATAATTACCGAGTATGTCTATAGATAGAAGGTAGTCACGTGATCAGACATATTATCATATTATGTAAAATGACTTACACATACATTCAGTTTTAATTACAGGACACAGCTTGTGAAGCGGATCACGAAAGATTAAAACGGCCAGGAAATTACCAGAAGAAAAAATAAACAATACGTAAGTAACGAGTCATTATACAAGGATAAAAACAAAAATATTTCCTTGTGTTTCACATTACCCACCAATTAGGAGGATTTCCGTCGACGCCGGTGAGATTCCTAGCTTCGTTTATGTGAACATCGAGCGTGCTGACTTGGTCGTTGAAAACGAGACCTATCGACAGTTCTCCAAATATTGTTCTGTCTTTCGTGTTCGCTTTTATCACTGAAAATGGGTTGTCATAATTAATAAAATTAACGAACTTTTAAAAAATAACGATCCTTGAACTAAGTAACATTCGGTTTGATTAAATCGTGCAGCCTCGGTCAATTAGGTTAATTAACGTTAATTAACGTTATCTGAGATGGCTTACTGGAGGGGAGTGGGAGATGGCTTACTGGTAGGGGAAGAGGAGATTACTTACTGGTGGGGGAGGGGGAGATGACTTACTGGTGGGGGAGGGGGAGATGACTTACTGGTGGGGAAGGGGAGATTACTTACTGGTGGGGGAGGGGAGATTACTTACTGGTGGGGGAGGGGGAGATACTCTCACAGGAAATGTTACTTGACGACGCTCCAGCGGACATACTCGGCTCGTGCTCCTGAGACAATGAGTAATGTGAGAATAAGGACAGCTGAGTTACTAAATCAGTCACTGAGTTTGTCACTGAGTTCGTCACTGAGTTTGTCATTGAGTTCGTCACTGAGTTTGTCATTGAGTTCGTCACTGAGTTCGTCACTGAGTTTGTCATTGACTTTGTCACTGAGTTTGTCATTGAGTTCGTCACTGAGTTCGTCACTGAGTTTGTCATTGACTTTGTCACTGAGTTCGGCACTGAGTTTGTCACTGAGTTCGTCACTGAGTTTGTCATTGAGTTTGTCACTGAGTTTGTTCAGGTCTCACTTGTGGCCATAATAGCATAACGTCACGGAAATTCAGAAGCTGATAATAATCGTTTGGGCCGTTTATACTTGTTAAACTAGAAAGTTTCGAGTCTTTATTCTTGCATTCATTCAAGTCTTTTATTAGTACCAACAGTCGATCTTAAAATAAAAACACAACAGATGAGCATAATACTAAACAAATGAGCATAATACTAAACAAATGAGCATAATACTTAACAAATGAGCATAAAACTTAACAAATGAGCATAATACTTGACAAATGAGCATAATACTTAACAAATGAGCATAATACTTAACAAATGAGTACAATACTTAACAAATGAGCATAATACGTCGTATCATACGCCGTATAGACGGCCTACCCAAAAACACAGTATGACAACAGTCGTTGTAGGACATTGAATTCCGTGACCAAGATGCACTAGCATAAGATATGCCACTTAAATCATATGTTAACCAGGCTTAGTAGCGATGTATTGGCGATCCTTCTGGAGCCGACCTTATTACGTAAATGCGGCGCTATGGCACTTGCGGCACTAACAAGCGGCACTTGCGGCACTAACATGTGGCACTTGCGGCACTATCATGATATGTAACATGTAGCACTTGCGGCACTAACATGTGGCACTTGAGGCATTATCATAATAAGTAATATTTGGCACTTGCTAATTGAGATATAGTTGTTGTAATCGTATAACTACTAACTAGTGATCGATGCTGTGTCTACTTTTGAAATTTGTCCACTAGTTTGTGAAACTGAAAGTTTGTATTTTGCTGAAGTATTTCTTGATCTTCCTTTGCTCTTAATTAATGCAACGAGCATTAATTTTTGTGACTATATCTTTAGCGATTAAACTTATAAGAAGAAACATGGATACGTTTCGGAATAAGTTCATATGTTCAGATGACTTAAAATTCTTAAAATCGTTTGGGGGTGAAATTGTGTCTGCAGAATACCTTCTGTATGCCCTTAATTACCAATTTAATTGCGTAATAGGTTTTGAATATCTACAAAAGCATCTCATACTTTTTCCACGCTGTTAATAGTTTTAGAAGTTGAGCTCTTATTGCATGATAGAGCTCAACAGTAGTTTAGGTCACAAAAGTGACTTTAATATATACTGCATATTATGGTACTAGTGTATAGTCTAATACCAAATAACAATGCCACAAATGTGTCTCACTTAATTGTGCAAGTGCCGCATATTACATATAATAGTGCCGCAAGTGCCACATATAAGTGCTGCAAGTGCCACATATTAGTGCCGCAAGTGCCACAGGACAGCCACATGTTACATATGAGGTTGGAGCAGACAGAGTTCAAAACAAATTGTCCGAAATAAAACGAATTGTGATGCGAATTATTATTCAGTCTTCAGAGCTTTACAATTTGTAGTCATATAAGTTAAACTAAGGCTCCAGATATTTTAGGGACGTTTATAAAAAAGCCTTTGTAGAAGGTCTCGTAAAGAACGCTGCCACTATGTTTTTTGTAAAACAAATTTTTCTCACTGTTCAAAATTTTTTTGACAAAAGCAGAGTGCAGAATAATGGCCAGATATATAATTGTCAGAGCTAACAAAGCTTTGATATTTAATGGCGTTTCTCTTGTCGCTAATATGGTTTAATTTCATTTCAGAATAACGACCAACAATAAGGACAGGGGTAACATAACTGAGGCCTATTTTTAACAAAACATTATATTAACGAGAATTTTGTCGAAGTTTTCATCTTTTAAATTCGAATAGTTAAAGATTAGCCAGCCTCATTTCAACCATGGTATCAAACAACAACATTCCTATTATGTACCACACATTAAATTCTGACCAGCTGTGATTATAAGATCATTCTAAGTATATTATGGACTTAAACTTCTATCACCGATAATTGTATACTCGTACTTGCACTAACAAATAAAACCAGCGTCCTAAAAGGCGACCCTTACACTTATTGTCTCATAGTGCGAGACTGTGGGATGCTCTGCTTCTCAAGAGACCAATTGTTAGAAAGTTCTGGAACTTTTGTCATAAGAAATGATCTTATTGCATGTTGTCATACCATCTTACGTGTCAATAATTGGTCAGTTACAGTGTCAGTAACAATATAAAGTTGTGGAACGAATTCATTAAAACAACGCTCATAATGCCTCTTAAGTACCCAATTGTAAGTAACTAAACCTGGTGGTGACTGTGAGAAGAATGGGAGTCGTTTCGGGGTTCGTGGTTTCTGTTGGGGGTGTCCGGGGGTTTAGCTCTCTTCTCCACGTGTGGGGTTGAGGGTGGGGTGTCTGCTTGGGGCGCTAATTCGTCCGGCTGAGTTAAACAAGTTTTAAACCTATGAATTTATAATTATTAAACATGCATAAAGTTCATGAAGAACATTAAAAAAGTTACATTTTTGAAAAATGTGTTCAAAATTCCCCTGAAAATAAAAAACGCTATATTTAGAAAGATAAAGAGGATCACAGGTCGCACTTACCGCTACACTACGCGCCATGAGGTATCTGTGAAACTGTGTTGAGTCTGTGTCGTCATCCTCACTTACCAACTAAAGAGTAAGAAAAGTTTAAAATGAGGAATTGATAGCAAATGAAGCTCCGACTGAAAGTGAAAATGAAAGTGAAAGAGAAAGTAATCGTTCAAACCTCGAGGATCCCTGAATCTTCCTTAGTCTGATCATCGTTAATGAAACCACTATCTGCTGAACAGGATATTATAATAAGATAATATACACAGTTACATTGTACATACACAAGAACACGCATCCACATTGAACCAAGAGGGCGTTCCTACAAATTTTAGTCGGCATAAAAACAACTTTTTAAAGAAATTATGTAATCAAAAAAATTTGTGATGTGGTGTAGACATACTTATCGATGGGTTCGCATATACGGTAGATGTGGCCATTTCGTGCAAAAGTCTCTCAAACCTAAGTGAAACCATGCTTATAGAGCGTGCAACAATAACCAAGAAGAACTGCAGTGACGAACGAACAAGTGAGTGAATGAAATGAACAATTGTGAAGACACATCATAAACTTATCTGTACAGAGCACATGTGCCATTATTAAGAGTAAGAGACGAGTATATAGAACGAGGCAACAAATTTACAATTTAGTAACTGAGAGGTATGATATGGACTTGTATTTGAACCTCATGAAAAATAATTTGAATTGTATACGGAATTTGTTATCTTGAAATTTGTATGAGGTACTTTCTGCAATAGTACAACTACATTGACCAATTATTATCAACTCTTGAAATTTAGCACTTCGAGGATGAGGGCCTTAGTGTAAGTAATAGCCTAGTACCTTAGAGTGAAAATGAAATTTGAGACATGCAAAAAACACACCTGAGAGACGAAAAAAAAAACCTCAATTTAAAAGTGAAAGTAAAAACATGCTGTAAGTAACGCTTAAAAACACACTGTAAAGTGAAAGCGAAACTAAAAACATGCTGCAAAGGACGGTACAACACACCTGATAAACTCTGCCCCTTGATATCCCGTATGTGGGGCGCTTTCAAGTTCCTTCCTGTCTGGTCCGAGGTGTGAGGGGTTGGTTCCTGCGGGATAATGAGATAATTAATTAATGATATAATTGATAGGATAATTGATGAACTAATTAATTGATGATTTCGAGATTGATCCATACTAATTACTATATCAATTAATTTGTTGTTTAAGGATCAGTATTTTGTACCGTCGCTTTGGAGAATAATCGAAGGCACAGAAAATATTGTAAATCATGCCACATTGATTTTTATTATAAAAGAACATATGAAAACTAAGAAAATATACGTAAATAAAATAAAGATGCATGGCGCCATGTGAAATTGATATTACAATTACTGGTAATTAAAAGGATGATTGATTTCGAACAAAGCATCATAACTATTGATGAATGCGGTCGAATATTAAATAATCGGCTTAAAATTAAAAAGCTTAGCAAAACAAAATCACACGGCAAAGTAAAAAGTTGGAGTCTATGCTCCTCAGTTGAATACTTAATTAACATACATTCAACCGCACATCCATTTTAAACTACTTTTGTACGTAATTAAATAGAAAAATAAATCTCTTTACTTTGATCGCAGCACTCGTAGATTTAGCTTCAAAGCAGATATAATATAAATCACATATATCAGCTATCAGCGATTTTAATCGATTGAAATTAGACGTCTGAACCATTCTCAGGCGCCATACCTACAGCGAATTTTAAAAGATTTCTTTTAGAACGTGACCATTTTAAGCTTAAATAGCACGAAGAATGGCCATCGGGAGCATCATTTGTTCGACTCATTCCAGTCACAAAATAAATAGCCAGCAGGCCACAGTTTATTATTGATCAGAAGAAGTTAACAGTTTAATAGAACACACACGAGTTTACTCGGCCAGGTGTTCGCCTACAGACCTTAATCTCAACTCTGACGTCACACTTTATGTTATGGTGACGTCACCCCGCGTGTAATCTATTCGTCATTCTTACGCAAGACCCCCCAGACTATTTCTAAAATACCAAGCATACCAATACCACGTGGTATGCTTGGTATGAAAGGTGGGTTTGAATAGCTGTTTGCCTACAGACTTGCCATTCTTTATGCTATAAACCTGAGTCCTGACGTCACACTTTATGTTGAAGTGACGTCACTCTGCATGTTATCGTGACGTCACTCTTACGCAAGACCCCACAATAGCATCAACCATTCCAGGAATAGCCCACATACCAATGATGCGCGGTACACTGTACAGGTTAATGCCACTGCTTTATCTTCACATCTCGACGTTTGTATCGCGTGCGGAGGTAATTATAGAATTACGTACATTCCGTGATATAACAATATAACATCACTTGACAGGGTTATAACAGGGAGTCATACTGTAATATAGGGTTATATCTAGAGAGAGAGAGGGTCCTTACTCCTTAGCTCGAGCCTTCTCTCTCCTCACAGACTAAAGACCCAATATAACAGCTCCGCAATCTGTATTGTATATTCAACAAGGTAAGTATGCTACCAGGGTAAGCAGCTACCCAGGTCACGTGACTTAGGTAGCTACTCAGGTCACGTGGTGATGAGGAGAATGCTTATTACATAAACTCCAAGTGTACAAGTATTTTGCTAATCCACAGCAAATCATGCATTGTACAATGTACAAGCAAGTGGCTTGTAGCTAGTCTGGATCAGCGCTGATTATAAAGCACATGGGTAAGGCTGGGTGATTGTGTGTGTGTGCAATGTATGTGGAATGTAAGGTATGTTGTGTATACCGTGTCTATTATGGTGTACTGTGTACATGCAAAACTGAAGTTGATCAACTACGAGGACACCTGGCCCATCTTAAAATTGATTTTCTGTATGACCTTATAATCGTTTATATTAGAGTGTGCTGAGATGAAAGTGCACGTGCAATGTGTACGCGCACGTGCAGTTTGTACACGCACGTGCAGGAGAAATGAGCTGTCCTGATTGGTTCTCAGTAGTTTTACGACAAATATATGAACGTTTAATTAATCAAGAAAAAGTTCAGTTCGTGATGTACTGAATAAAATGAGACGTGAAATGAGAGCAGAGGGATCGATGGTGTTCTGGATTTCACACACTGAATTAAAAAACAAAGAAAGTTAAACTACCAAGAAAGATGATATTAACTTTCAATTGAGTCAGTTCTCAGTAGACACTATTGCTTAAAACATGCTCGCGGTTCTGGTGTTCATTGGATCCAATGTGTAAACTGTCAGTTCAAAGGATTCAATCCATTTGTCTGATGAATGTATTCGACATCCATTGCGCCACTTAGCAATATGTCTAACACCAGACATGGACCTTTTTAATCGGTGCTTTTTGTCAGACGATGGACGGATACTATGAATATTGAATAATCATGTGTGTCCAATGTACAGTACGTCCGTCCCTGGATGCATTGAACTGACTAGGAATATGAGAACAATAGATGTCTGTAACATTCCATAAGTGGTTATTTAAGTTTAGCCGGGAATTATCGGAGAAATTAAAGTGTGTAAGCCTTTTATAATTTATAAATTCTATATAATATAAACCAATTGTGATCGTATAAAAACGAGCACTATTGGGTTATAATAACATAAACCCGCCACGCAAAGGGTTTATATAACAGATCATCCCGCGCTAGCGGGATGATCTGATAAACACATACGAGTGCGCGCAGCGCACGAGTTTTGTGTTAATATGTAATCCCGAAGCGCCAGCTGAGGGATTACATTTATTTAGCCCTGAGCGTGAAGTGTTTATGGATTATAATTATCTCCGGCGATTTCGACAAGGGATTTATACTTTAGAAGAGAGTGATAAAATATTTTTTAATCAATCTGAATGTCAAACCGATCTGTCATAGTGGAGCAATAGCTTGAACGTTAGCAGGAACAAGAGCTGGAAGGAGAGCAAGCAAAACAATACTATTTTTAGGGCACGGACAAGGGTAGATGGCTAGTCGCCAACTTCTCACGCCACGCGTTGGAGAAATTCCAAGAATTAGCTGCTTTGGCAACGTTCCCAGGAATTTGCGTGTAAAAGAAGTGGACGGTTACGATGTTTCATATCACGTGGTGCGCTTTCGTGTCACGTGGTATAGACTCGGCGTATGCTATTGGTGGCACGTGGTACGCACGTGACGCGCCCACGTGATCGCGCGTCTAACTGTTCTACTATTATCGAGTTCTAATCAGCAGTATCATTGATTATTGTAAGTCGGAGAATTGAATGATAAACATCAGTTACGACTAAAAAGCGGGCCGGGTTTATACAAATTTCCGGGGCGGGATGATATCACCTTGAGATGTTTATCTAACAGCGGGCCGGGCTGAGTGATAATATGATCCCGCGTCGAAATCCCGGAGATATTTATAACTCTATAACTTACCAGCAGCCATAATTGCTCGCTGGATGTTGCCGAGATGAGGAAAGGTGAATTAATTGGACTCCAGGCACAGCCCATGGCACTTGCAGCGAGCAGAGACAAAGCTTTGAGTGTGAACCGTAATGTTACCGGATTACTATTAGTAGAAGAAAATAATCACATGTATTATATAGAAATCTCATACTTTTCATGTTATTTATAGTCATGATTATTATTCACATTTTGCGAAAGGGAAAACAGGTCATTCTTATGATAATGAAATATTGGAGTTTAAATGTTTCGTAATAATGATGTTTCAGTGAAATATTTAAATGTCGACGTTGCTTTATTATTAGAAGTGGTTGTTCTGAATGTTTTCTTGTTTTCCTTGACGTCACAATCAAACATATTGATCAGAAAAGCGAAAAATCGGTACTGTTCCCAGCCGGAAACGGACTACATTAAGTTTAGTCAGGTACTTACTAAATAAATGATCCCGATAATAAATGATCGTAGTAGAAGAAAAGTTTAAGGTTAAGTAATTAAAAACGTTTTTGGACAGTGATTATACAAATTGATAAATAATCAAGTCAGGAAAGTTTATACGCTACTGACGGAAGGGTTCTTTCTTTACCGGTTGGTCGATAACAGAATTAATTGTTTATATTTTATTATTGCTTTATTAGGTTATATAAGGGCAATCCAGTTTCTTTCTATCCAAGTACTTTTGGCAATCGATAGCTTTACAACAGATCATCACAAAATGTCACAAAATTGGTTAAATTATGGTAATATCTAGTTGAAAGGGTTGCTATAAAGTTGCATAGGACTCAACTTCTCAGCTAACTTAAGCAATGGCACAAATTAAGGTCCACGCGAAACTTCAATGCTACAATAAAAAAGTTGTAGATTATCAATCACTGTAAGTGTAACTGACATGAGTTTAAAATACTCGACAACGAATAAAGCAAACTTTGATTTAAACAGTATAACTTTGCTTTGAGTACTCAAACAATTTCTACTAATTTCAACTTAATTTTGTTCGATAAACATGCAAATTAAGTGAGTTTTTGTCAATTTCGATATCCAATCGAAAAACTGTTTGTGCTTTTCAGTTTGATACCTTTTGGAGACGTCTTTGTTCATTTTGTTACAGTTTTAAGTTACTGGTCCCCGATTACCCATTAATGATTGTCAATTTCTTATAATTACTTAATAACCTATTAGTTAATCATACAAAAAAAATTAATCGATCGAGAAAAAGGAATAAACAGATGGTCAGTTGGTGAGTGAGTTACAGTTGGCGGCTCTTCTTCAGAATGGTCAGAACACGGTCTAAACACTCTCATTACCCCTCCAGAACTCTCTCTGAAACAAGCAATTTATTTTCTCTGAGTTCACCTGATCACCCGATTTCTTAGTTCCCACATCTTACAGCCTCAAAACAAGCAATTTCGGATTGGGATAATGAGGTCAAATTGCCGTAATTATCTCATTAACGAAGTAGAGAGTATAGCAAGGATGAGATCACTTAATCAGGTCACATCTTGTATTACAATTCTAGAAGTAATGGTGAGAGAGAAAGTACGAGATCAAAATAATTAAGTTATCAGGTTATAAGAAGACATGGATCGTATAGCGTTATAGCAATGGCACTAGCTTGTATTACAATTGTAGCAACAGTGTAGCAAACGAGACTAGCACGAGATACGATCAGCGGACACGAATCACACGACACTTGAGCTATAATTATATAGCTGACAACATCGCTACCTTGGGAGGGCTGCTCTGGGGGATGTGGTTTATCACGGGGATGTTGTTCTCCACCGGAGCACGCTGAACCACCGCCGGAGGTACTGGTGGTACCGGAGCTGGTGTCTCGTGCTGGGTCACATGATGTACCACTGGCTGGATCACGTGATTAGGTTGTTCAGTCACACGATTGGGTGATGTCACGTGGTTCGCCATGTGGACAGGCTCGGGAGTCACGTGGTTTGGCTCTGGAGTAACGTGGCTCGACTTCGGTTCAGGCAGCTTGGACTTCGGTTCAGGCAGCTTGGACTTCGGTTCAGGCAGCTTATGCTTCGGTTCAGGCAGCTTGGTTGCGGGAGGGGTGGACGGTTGAAGATCGGGGTTCCCAAAGTCAGGTGACACGGGGCTCTCCGACTGAAACTGGTTATCTCCTCGTGATAGAGGTTCATACCAACACTTATAAATTGGCCAGTTTTTCGTAGTAAAATTAGGAAGATATACAACATAATCGGTTAGCTAAGTAAAGCAGACGCATGTGCTCTGGCTAGTGACAGTAGAACTTACAATGGCAGTGCCAGCCGCAGTGTTTCTGCAATTTGATTAGCTCGCAAAAGACGAGAATGTTCAACTGCCCAGTGAAATGCCGAACTAGCTATCACGTGACAGAAAATATGTGTTCCGCTTCTCCAGCTGGCTCTAAACAAGGTAAATATAAGTACCTGAGTGTTATGGGATGAGAGTGGACCGTCTGCTTCTATCGAATCCGGTGGGTTTATATCCTCGTTCTTTACTAGATCCAGCAGGGAAGGACTGGTCTGCTTCCCTGAAACAACATCCTCGTAAGAACTAGTAGGTACACCAGTGTACGAGTAGGTGCACCAGCTACCAGTGTACGAGTAGGTGCACCAGTGCACGAGTGGGTACACCAGTGTACGAGTGGGTACATTGTACACCAGTGTACACTGTACTCCAGTGTACGTGTATTATAGTATTGTAAAATATGTATACAATGGAACAATGTTCTGTGTGTGTTGGGAACTTCTCAGGATCAGCTATATTATATAACAAAGCCATGTGCTCAGCAAATAAGATCATTATTCATATGCTAAATATATCACAGTCTATTGTAGGACTCATAAAAATTAAAACTTTTTACACAAAAGAAGAATAGACTGATGACATACATAAATTACACGGAATAGAATTGATTCTTGAGAAGAGAAACTGCTGCGTAAATGTGAACCGTTAAGAGGTTAAATTTTAAGAACTTTGATGAGGGCTAGGGGAAAAGAGAGGCTGGGAGGTGGTGTTTACTTATTCAAGAAATGGAAATTTGGTAATCTGTCGTAGGACACATAACGCACGGTTAATGTACAATAGTTGCAAAAAATAAAAACTTACTAGTTCCATACTGGGTTGTATCCAGAGACTTCTTTAATATGTCTGTTCCTGTTTTAACACGTTTCTTGTTTTTAGCCGGCTGTTGGAACCAATACCCTGCTTGTGCTTTCAGATCTCTGAGAAAATAACTACATTGAAATTATTTGTAACCACTTTCTGTGAATTACTTTACTCAAAAAATGGATCAGTTATACATAAAAACAGACATAAAGTATGCATACTATTCGAGCATCCAGAATTCCAGATATATTACTCTGGATTTATTGTTTTTTGTATCCCAAATTACTTTATTGTCTAGCATACAACGAATCCTGAGAAAAGATTACATAATGATATTGCGAATATCCAGCTAATCTTTACAAAGTATTTCCCTCGCCCACGCACTTACTTTTCTTTGTGACATAACAGACAGATCCAAGAATCGTGGACGGTTATCCGGCAGCTATTACAAACTTTGAGTTGGCAGGCTGGAACCGGACACACATCCCCTGAGTTGGTGAACCAGCCAAACTTTATAAAACAGAGCGGACACACAGAAGGGTCTTCGCTCGCCAGACATTGCTTCCGTTCGTTGTACAAGTCTTTGTGCTTTTTGCTGACAAAAGCGAGGGTTAATGAGTTGGTGAAATTAGTATGGGAAACCAAAAAAGTATGATCAGTATTCAGTATGGTTGAATGACAGGAAAATTTGAAAGGAAATTCGTAATCTGACCAAAAAATCAAGATGTCGAACAATTATTATAATCTTATGAAATCCTCCCAAGCTGGTAGCTTATGTTGCTTTATGGGATAAATTCAAAGTAGACGGAACTAACATGAAATGATTATATTGATTTTTCTGTAAGTTTTCATCTGCAGCCAAAACTTTCTGAAGCTTAGCTTTCTCTTCCTCAGTTAGAAATCCGAGTTCCAAGAGCTGATCTGAAATGAGCAATTGGTCAGCGAAAATTTGAATTATCGAAATTTCGCATAGGTAGATTAAGTTTCCAATTTTCTTAAGTTGTCACTCTTGCACTAGAACCAAAAACAGAACACCCCATATGGCGCCTAATATTATTTTTACAATTTGAAGCCTGCACGGCTGCACAGTGCACAAGGATGCACAGTGCACAGTGCACGATGATGAAGACGGGGTAGAATCCTAAATTACCGCTCTGAGGTACCTATCAAGTTTAGTGGTTCGCTGTCCCCATTTAGGCTTGAGTTTGAGTCCACAAAGTAAAGATTTTCTGCCGAATTCGTTAAAGCAGGTAAAGGCTTGAAAATCTCGAAATCTAAGTCTGCTGTAATGACATCGTCATCGTCTGATTCTGTGTACATGTTCTTGTTCGCTGCCTGTTCAGTCATGTAATCTTCAGAGTCGTATTTGTAAATTGCACCGGGCTGATTTTCGACGGACGGCAATGATTCTTCCTTAACAGACGAAATTTCCGGCGTCTCCGGATCCAGATTTGGACTTTCTTGTTCAGAAATGCTTGATAATTGGGATACTTTCTGACCGCCAGCTGACGGTAAACCAGTCAAATTACTGACTGTAAATTGTTCTTGGGCCGACTCCTCGAGCTCGGTTTTTGTTCTCGTAGCGATCTGAGAAACTGCCGACTCTCTGTCTTTAAAAGAAGCCCGGTTGCGGGAAAATGAGGTGAGGAGCGGAACTTCTTTTTCTTTTTTCACGGATTTGTAGGAGGGGAAATTATGATAAAACTCGTCCGGTACCTCAAGGGTGCTGGCAGGTTCAGGCTCTTCGGGAATGGAATTAACAGGGTTCTGGGAAGCTTGAAGTAGCAGTGAAGGTCCAGAACTTGGATTACCACTAGGTCCCAACACCTGGGTTAAATGACCCGTCGGAGCAAACACTGTCTTTCTACGGTACGAAATTTTCGCGGGTTGAACAACAATTGGATCTACTGGCGGAACAACAGCAGGAGCGGGTGAAAATGTCCTAATGGTCTCATCAGCCATTTCTGACAGGCTTTGAGCCATTTCTGACAGAGTCTTAGCAACCGGACTATTGCTAATCGCTCCTACTTCATTACAGGCATCTGCATTCACCACCTGATTTTCATCTGAGAAAAAGCTAAAGAACTGAGCAGAGAGTGATCTGTCTCGCAGAGCTGGTATCACGGGTGGGTTCACAGGTTGAGTAACCTTCTCGTCACCAGTCACACCACTCTCTTCTTCGCCGAACAGGGAAAACCAAAACAAACTAGACATCGGAATGTGCAAGAAATATTTTAAGGAAATGTACTGATCCAGATTTATAATTTAACATGAGCAGTGAGGATAATTACACGACACGTGGTGCTGCCATGTGACCTGATTTTACCAAAGTTACTCTAAAATGATGACTCTGACCGATACCTTTATCCCTTTATTGGAAACCGAGATGCATTTTAATTCTCACACTTTCCCATGTGATGCAAATCTAGGGTTAATAAAGTGGCAGTTAAATTATAACCGATCGAATTAAAATGTCAATTGATATGCGGGATGGTTAAACATGGGATAATTGGCAGACGGGAGACCGTGCAACGTTTATATTGTACTCGTGTAGTCATGACTCCTGATCATTGGGCGTGTTAATACCCTGGCAATGGTTTTCCAGGTGTTCTCCACACAACGTGCTCTGTTCTCATTAGACATTATGCGTCCACCAGGACAACTGATAATTGAGCCTCATTGACGGAAATGTGGAGGATACGTGCGAGATGATTAGCGGTGGATTTTGGGATGTTATTATGCAGCACTGAAGCATTGGCTGGTTGGTGGAGAGTGTTAGATTTGGAATGTTGTTTGGTGTGCCCGGTTATTTTCTGCAATTTGAAATTTAGATTGCGTTTATGCTTTTTAAATGTTAAATTGCCAAACTTTCGTTTTTTTCTAGCAAAAACTTGTAAATCCTTTTCTATTTTAAAAACCAATTTTAAATTTTTGCTTAACTCACCAGTCACCATCTACTTTGAACCATGGGTACCTTCATATGCCATTTCATTACTTTTTTGGTTAATTCTAGTATTTACCTTATCACACTTTATTTAAACGTACGTTAATTTGACGCCGAGGGTCATAGCATTTATTTTAATGCCCGTTCAAATAAATTTGAACCAAACGCTTAATTGTGCCGGAAGAGCTGGATCAGACCGGGGTGACTTAGAGTATTAACTCATATGCTGACTCGTCTCATTTTACTTTTCCAAACCCAGCTGGTACTTAAGCGTATAATTTTGACTCATGTCACTTTTTACACCATCCTCCACCATTCACTCTGATTTCTCCGGCAACCTTCCCCAGGGTTGCCACACCCCAGAGGTAGGCAGAGCATCTCAATGCTATCCTCTCGTGGGCTAACTTGGCCCAGCCTATCTTGAAAATAAAAAAATTTTAAAAAAAAAATTCTCAAAAATATTCCACTACGAACTTAGGATACTTGTCCAGGATATATGTATATATATCCTGTATATATATCCTATATACATATATATGTGTATATCTCTACTATAATTCAGAGAATTCTTTCTGTATGTACGACCGCCCACGTGAAAATTAGACGAGAAATAGGTAGTTGCAAAGTAACCATGGTAACGAGGGTTTTTACACGCACGTGCACGTGCAAGGATTGTTTTAACGTCATTTTGATCGGTTTTGTGGTAATTACGTTGTGTTCACTCACTGTTCAGTGCTAGCTACATTATAATTGGCTGTATCTTCGGTTGTACTGACGGATATTTTTTGATGCGATAAAAACTGACTGGATTCATCCCTGTTACCACGGGCTTTCTAGTCTCTACTATAATTCAAAAGATTCTTTCTGTATGATGTCTGTACGACCGCCCATGTGCAAATTAGGCAAAAAGCAAAAGGTTGCAAAGTAACCATGGTAACGAGGATTGTAACACGCACGTGCACGTGCAATGATTGTTTTAACGTCATTTTGATCAGTTTTGTTGATATATTACGCTGTGTTTAGTACGAGCAACATTTTATTTGGCTGTATCGTCGGTTGTGTAGGATATTTTTTGACACGATTTAAACTTACTAACAAACAATACTATTAGCTTCCTCCCTGTGACCACGGGTTTTCTAGTATATATAAGTATATATAATATGACTACTTTTTAATTTCGGTCGATTCAAATTTTAATCAAAGGACTAGATTAACATTTTTACTGCTTAATGTCTGCTTTTCTTGTCTACTCTATTCAACATCGAATGAAAAATCTGCTAAAATTGAAAAAAAACGTCCAAAAAGATGAACAAATTTCGGATTTTTAATAGTTTTGAATGCCTTTGAGCTTTTGAGCGTTCATTTTAATGTCTGTTCAAAATTATGTCCGTTCGCGCAATGTCCAGTCAAATACTGAGTTTGGCGATGGTATGTGTTGTATTATTCTTAGGGTTGAGAATACTTTTTTTCCTTAAAAATGGGATCATGAAATCTAAATTTAGGATAATCATCTGGGCTTATATATATATTAGCTTCTCTGAAAACATCTGCTAGCAACTTAACAGTAAACATAAATCAAAACATTGGGGTCGGCCAAAATAGCACCTACCCTGATTAATATCAGTGAGATCCACAATAAACATCTCTCCCAACCATACATCGTCATCGTTGATGACGTCATCAAGTGATGTGACGTCATCAAAACCAGTCTTATCCAGATCCGTATCTGATGAAGTGCTCACTAATATCCCGTATTCGTGACAGCAGCAGTTGTAGGGAAACAGAAACGACATCAAATGGTCGAGGTCAAACACAAGGAAACATATTTTAGAGCATCGACATGACGAGTCAGGATGACACTTTCATTAGAAGGGTTTCATCGTCAGTCAAGGCTGGAATTAGATTTCTGTTGACTAACAACAAACAAGATGCTCACAGCTGCGTCGAAATGAGACGTCCTCCGTAAAATTTGCGGTTTAATGAGAATTATAGTATGATATTAACTGTAATAATGGTTCTGAAATCACTCTAGATAGTTTTATTAAACGCTAAGTGTGTACAGCGGACGTTATGACACACAGATTTATTGAATGTTTGCTGTAAACAATTATGATCATGATTTATTAACAAATCGATCGATAATTATTTATATTTCTTAGGAACCGAGAACGTTTTTAAAGCGTGATCTGCAGAATATCAGAACAAAAAGCGAACAACCCAAAATAATATGGCAATTATTATATTGAGTAAAGGATATAGTGTGTTTGCAAGTAGAAATAATTCGACAGTGCAGGGGTGTAGATTAAGATAAAAGCTAATCCAACGAGTTACAAAAACTCTCTTAGAAACAAAACACATTAAAATGCTAAGTATCTACAATGCTTGCCGACACAATACTTATATCATCCCCTCCGCGTCAATCATATACATGTACAATGCATTAGAGGCGCGAAACAAAAAACCACCAAACTCTTTGCTCAAGATGCAGTCACGCGATGGAATATAACTGTAAGATTTCATAATTCTTACGGGGGTGGACGTCCTCAGCAGTGGGCAGTGGGATCATCATTTCACAATATACGCACTCTCAGACATAACACACTATATAAAATCTCACTCAACCAAACAACAGTGGATATGTTGTGAGTATTGGGTACTTCTAATTACTATTACTGGTTTGTACGAGACTCCTCCTATCTCTGGTTATTCTAAAACATGCAGGCAGCAAGGAGCTCTAAATTGCTGGAAAATTGGAAATTAGTCTCCCAATCCCATGTAAATGCAGTACTAGGAGGATCTTAATATGGCCCTTATATAAGTTTATAAAGTATGTGTATTTTGTGTCCTCTCTGCCCGGGACTCTGTATAAATATTATGATTTACATGGACCATTACTATTAGCTTAGGTAAGCTTTACTTAGGTAAGCTAAATTTACAGTGTATTTACAGTATATTCGCAGTGAGAGTGACATTAGGAGGAAATGACGACAGTTCAAAGGAGGAACTGACGATTGGGAGGTAAAGTTGAGTTCTTGAAAGCAAACGATTGCACAGATGATAGTATTGGAATCGATTAACTGTGAAATGACGTTCAAATGCATAGACATTTCTGGACACTGAGTCAGCGGAGAATGACGTCGGTTTATTTTGGCACGTGATATAGAATAAAGAATTTGATTGCTTGTTTAATGTTCCTGCAGTCTGCAAGCTGATTAGCTCACCACATTCACACACCAAAAACAAGCTCGCGCCATCTCCAGCTCCATCTCAGCCAGTAGTCATAGGTCGTAAACTCTCTTAGTATGTTACGCCACAAAATTAAAAGTGCCTGGCAAAGGAACGAACTCACTAATTGTACAAAGACAACCTAACAATTGAGCACATTTTAGCTGAATAGAAAGAAACAGCAAGAATGTCTTTAGAAAGCTGAAAAATAGAGAATTGTGATAATTGTCGTACGTTTGAGAGAGAAGCAAATTCCATCCATCAGATAGAAATTCGCTTATTTTTAGGCATTAATGATAAAAGTTTTAAAATCAAATCGTAGTGGTATGCTTTAGATAGAAATTCACATATTTTTGGGCACAGAAATTACGAAAATTTTAAAGATTGAAGCTAAGTGGTATGTACTAAATAAAAATTCACCTATTTTTAGGCATAGAAATGATAAAAGTTTAAAAAAAGAAACATTACCCATTAGTGATACTGATAAAACCTACTATGAACTGTTCTAGATTATTACAGGGTATCGAGACTGAGTAGTCGCCTGTAGTTCATGATTCACACATAAGCGGTTTGTGGTTCAGAGGTCTCCGAAATTTGACAATAATTGACAAGGGAATAGTGGCAATGTTTGCGTTAGAATCTTAAATGTTTTGGGCCACAAAATAGAACAACGTTTTTTGGTATGGCAACAAAGTTATAAACTGTGTGTTTATCTACATTCGAGAATAATTTAAAATTTCCTAAGTTTCTTCGGAAATTGTTAACATATTATCAAAAAGCTATTTCAGTGACCATCGCTTCAATACCTCGACAAACTTGACTCCCAACAATTCGATACTGAACATAATGCTATTGTGCTCCTAAAGACTCAGTAAAGTAATGAAATCAGGTTTTGATAAAGGATCGTAATCGAAGTGCATTGTTCAGGTGGTAATGTGGTATGCAGTTCATTTTACTATTTTACCAGCTCAAGGGCGTGGAACTTTCCTAATAGCATCTATTTGCCATGGTATTGGTTAGCTTACAATTAAGATTTGTACTCGTCTCACCAATCAGTGAGATGATTTAATGGATGAGATTGTCTTTCAATATATATATATTATATTCATCTAATGCTGCTCCTTAGTTCAGCACTCTAGTTCAGCACTCTAGTTCAGCACTCTAGTTCAGCACTCTAGTTCAGCACTCTAGTTCAGCACTCTAGTTCAGCACTCTAGTTCAGCACTCTAGTTCAGCACTCTAGTTCAGCACTCTAGTTCAGCACTCTAGTTCAGCACTCTAGTTCAGCACTCTATTTCAGCACTCTAGTTCAGCACTCTAGTTCAGCACTCTAGTTCAGCACTCTAGTTCAGCACTCTAGTTCAGCACTCTATTTCAGCACTCTAGTTCAGCACTCTAGTTCAGCACTCTAGTTCAGCACTCTAGTTCAGCACTCTATTTCAGCACTCTAGTTCAGCACTCTAGTTCAGCACTCTAGTTCAGCACTCTAGTTCAGCACTCTAGTTCAGCACTCTAGTTCAGCACTCTAGTTCAGCACTCTAGTTCAGCACTCTATTTCAGCACTCTAGTTCAGCACTCTAGTTCAGCACTCTAGTTCAGCACTCTAGTTCAGCACTCTATTTCAGCACTCTAGTTCAGCACTCTAGTTCAGCACTCTAGTTCAGCACTCTAGTTCAGCACTCTAGTTCAGCACTCTAGTTCAGCATTCTACTTCAGCACTCTAGTTCAGCACTCTAGTTCAGCACTCTAGTTCAGCACTCTAGTTCAGCACTCTAGTTCAGCATTCTACTTCAGCACTCTAGTTCAGCATTCTAGTTCAGCACTCTAGTTCAGCACTCTAGTTCAGCACTCTAGTTCAGCACTCTAGTTCAGCACTCTAGTTCAGCACTCTAGTTCAGCACTCTAGTTCAGCACTCTAGTTCAGCACTCTAGTTCAGCACTCTAGTTCAGCATTCTAGTTCAGCACTCTGGGGCTGCAGATGGAAGCAATGATATGGTTAGTTAGTTAAAATAGTTATCTACAGTTTGTGGAACTAACGAAATTTGTAAACTTTACTTTTGTTTTTACTGCTATTACTATTTGTTTTTACTACTTTTGTTTTTACTGCTTTTGTTTTCACTTCTGCTACATCTTGATTAACTTGAGAATGTACAAAGTATAAACGATGCGTGTCAATCATAATCATTAATTATAATACGGTTTGTAAAGACCAGCTGTATTTTTACAATCAACTATTTGTAGGACACATTCGGCATAATATGGTTCGGCGACAGCACCTCAGGCGAATGCAGGGATAATGAGCAAATGAAAATTATACAATGTTATAGTTGGCAAAATTATGCGTTCATTTTATTATGATTGGGCTTAAGAAATATTTGTTTATATTTGTGTTTGTGGAATGCGAATAGGTTATTACTAGAATAGTTTATTATTAGAATAGGTTATTAGAATGTCATTAGTTGCCTACGTAAATAGCTCGTCCGCATGGAGACTTGGGAGTTTCCTTTGTTTTCAATTGCAGTTACATTCATCCCGAAAAATAGCAATGGTTGCCAGAATTCGGTGTACAACATTGTCGTGTATACTGTATTGTTGTTATAACGACAAAATTGTTCTGAATATAAACCGTATTGTTCTCACCCATCTCAAAATAATGCAACAAACTTTGCACTGATCTTGCGCAAAACGCACTTTATTACGACATCACTGTATTGCGTCAGATCCGCAATACAGTATTGTCGCAATATTGTTCACTGAATTCTGCAAAACCACTGCAAAGTTAAAAGTTTTTTATTGAAACAACTGACTATTTACCGCCTTTAACTACCCTGATTGATTGTATCAAACATTCTTCAATCTTCATCAGGTCTAGGAGGAGGTTTGAATGGCCACAATATTCGGAATAATAAGGAAGAATACTACCAATACCACGGTCTTATGGAAGATTTCAATAAATTTGGTTTATTATGCACAGTCACGTAAGATCTAAGGTTCCATTATTCATATAATTTTCTTCACTCCTTTATCTATTTCGTCTCAAGGATGACAAATGCCGATCATTCACTTATGGAATGCAATTATGTCATAATTTGTATAACTAATATCGACCGTCTCATTAAAATCATAACGTAGTTCCAACATCATCTAATACTTCATAAATAATCTCTGAATTACTTATCAGTCGCTTGGGCAACGCGACATCACAACCTCTGCCAGAATCATCTCGAAATTATACCTAGAATTTGAGTGTACGTCTCCGCTGTATAATAAACCCTACATATTATACATGCTGTTGGGGATCGTACTATAACATGCTGGATAATTGGATAAGTGTTTATTATTTAAGTCTAGTCGATTAACATCCACAAATGGAATAATTGGTCATTAAGAGCCTGGCGAGGCACTCGGAAGAAGACCATGGTATTTTGGAGAGAGGAGAATAGAAAATAAATATGCAACACTCGTACTAATGACCTTGAAATTTAAACGAAAGAGCTAAAAGCGGAACTGGATCAAAGAGATCGTTCCAAATTTGTCTTAATTGAAGTTCAATAAAACAGTAGTGAATTTTACACGTGCTCGATTAGCCCGTGGGAAAGCACGTGGGAAATTATTTGCATGTTCTGAAGAGTACAAGCTGCTCTGACGTGATGACGTAATGATGACGTAATGATGACGTAATGACGATGACAGGTAATGACTAAATAATTTGCAGTATTATATATCAGTAAATTGTCTGCATTATTATTATTATTGTATTTTAACGGTTGCACGAGCTATGGCAGGTGTGACTAAGGATTAGCAGACTGTATGAGTATACACGTCACATAGGGTCGATGATAGACCAATAAATGATAAATAACATGATGACATCATTGGACCATTATATTGGTTATATTCCCCAGGTTGAAATATTTTCGGTGGATTGGTGACCCGAAATGAACATATTTCAGGGAAAGACAGAGCGTTGAACAATTGGACGATTGAATTGCATTGATTCGCCGCAGAGAATATGACGAAAATTTATTATATCTTCTCGTATCTTAACTGTTGAACATGTGAGCCAGCATCCTTATAAGACATCTCAATAATAGGACGTCTTAATAAGTCAACTTGAAATCATCAACAACAAAAAACTCAGAAGTCAGAAACAAATCACATCATCATTTTCAACTTTTCGAAAGATAAAATAATTTCTCGAAACAATTGAGCAATGACTTAAAAAGCCCAGTAAACAAGAACTAACGATGTTCTCTAAATTTCCCTAAACGTTAAGGACAGCAAATGGTAGAATGATTTTGAAATGTTTTAAAAAGACAAGCAAACCTCCAGAATCACCACACTCCCGAAACAGTAAAAATAAAACCACTATAAAATATCGCCCTTTGATAAATGGTTATTCGTTAAAGGCATAAAACTATCATATTTTCAGAGAAACCGGCTCAAGAAAGGAGGAATCAGGTACGATACAACAAACAAAGCCACTATTCTAGGAATATCAGATCCCAGCAGTGATTGAACGGCAGATCCACGTGATGCCGAGCCGGGACAAAAGATAGGAGATTGCAAGACTGCTAGGTTGTGGACTGTGGAGGAGGAGGAAGTAATCCATATTGCAGGACTGGCCGGACGGACAGAGAGAGAGTGAGAGAGAGAGGTAGAGAGAGAGAGAGAGAGTGAGAGAGAGAGGTAGAGAGAGGTGGAGAGAGGTAGAAGGAGAGGGGTGGGTGTGTAATGCTATTGTCCTGTTCGGACAGCATACTACCAGGAAAACCAACAGAATCACAAATTGATGTTAAGTGCATATTATGTTAGGGTACAAGAGCACTCCGGGAGTCTTCCCTTAGATTGTTAGAACTACTTGCTGTTGGTTATAGCTACATTACAACACATAAACATTGCTATGGAGAGAGAGGGAGATCTTTGGTTGGGTGCTGACTAAATGTTAGTGCTAGGTGGAGACTAAGACCTGGGCTCTGGAACGCAATGATACATATTTTAATATTTTATGTAGGACGCCTGAGACGTTGATATCAGAATACCTGCATAAAAAACTAACCAAATGAACCTCATAAATTAGTTTGTAATTCCAGAATTCCATTTGTATTAAAGTATTAGGTTAAGCCCACTTTGAGTGCCGAATTTAGAGCACTCTGCAGTCTGCATAGCAAAACAAGACGAACTAGCTACACATAATAACAATAAGATAACCTTAGATTAGTTATAGTACTTAGATTAGTAATAGTACTAAAATTAGTAATAGTACTCTCTCAATTAACATAAGAGCTCGTCCAAACAGTAAGAGGAGCGTTAAAAAGTAAAATAGTGACGTTCATCGAAATTAACCTATCAGCAAAGATTCAATCCTAAAACAACAATGAGGGGCTAATAAATTGCGATATTACTCAGTAGCCGGAAAATTCATCAAGTTATATTATTATCATTATATTATTATCATTATATATTTATGCACATAGTTCAATAAGCTTCTTCGTTGACTAACGATTGTGTAACGTACAGGAAAATATTACAAATACTTCAAATAGTAAGGTTCAAAGAGACCTTGAGTCTTGACAAGAGGGTGTTATTGTTTTACAACAAGTTTAATTCCTGGAGTTTCTGACCCGTATGTGAAATATTGATCATTATTGAATATCGATGCAAGTGTTAGTCTGTTGAATATTCAATAATTATTTATCAATTTGCATTTTTTTAATGCCAAAGAACCTCCGACTGGGAACCCCCTGCCACAGCTCGCATGAGATGCTATGTTCAATCAAACGTCACTGATCGGGTGACGAGATCCGATATGGGACTTCAGGAGGCCGATGTGGGAGTTCAGGAGGCCGATATGGGAATTCAGGAGGCCGATATGTGAGTTCAGGAGGCCGATATGGGAGTTCAGGAGGCCGATATGGGAGTTCAGGAGGCCGATATGGGAGTTCAGGAGGCCGATATGGGAATTCAGGAGGCCGATATGGGACTTCAGGAGGCCGATATGGGAGTTCAGGAGGCCGATATGGGAGTTCAGGAGGCCGATATGGGAGTTCAGGAGGCCGATATGGGAGTTCAGGAGGCCGATTTGGGACTTCAGGAGGCCGATATGGGACTTCAGGAGGCCGAGGTGGGACCCCCCCCCCCCCCCCCCCCGCCGAGGTTTTTGTAACCCCATTTTACGTTTAAAGCTTTTTGTCTGGTGGTTGGGTGCTAAAAGCAGTAGTCCCATTAGTATTGCTGTACAACTACTATAAAAGCTTTTCATTTACACCTACAATGCTTGAATTTTTGCACCTTCGATATTTTAATTGCTTAAACACCTAACCAAGTTATGAGTGAAACTATTACGGTAATGCACTTGTTAGTTCATGCTTCTATTTATAGTCTAAGCACCTTCTAAGAAAACTTATTAAGTTCTAATAATATTATTTCTGTTTCACGTTCATGTCACCCCGTTGTTTTCGTCCACAGTTTACATTTCTCAATTATAGATTTAACTGATAACTGATAAGAGTCAAGTCCAACCCTTAGCTCTAACCCAAACTCTAATCTATAGCGATAACCGAAACCCTAGACCTTGGCTCAAAAAACATAATTTGAAATGTTCTATAAATGTAATTCGAGGAGTTAACATTTCTGTTGCCATTGTTTAATACCAATGATCAGATAGTTAAAACATGATGTGCACGTGCACTCTGCAGATTCAAGATGTGCACGTGCACTCTGCAGATTCAAGTACACGAATAACCACGAAGTAGTTGTTATAAGAAACTCCGACACACGCAGCTAATCTATCCGCTCCTTAAAGCCTCATAATCACAGACTTTCATTACCCTTCCCCCTCCGTCACTGGAACCACGTCGGGTAGAACAGGTACAGCTCTTTACATGTGATCCGGCTTAATTCCGAGCTCTCTTAATCCAAACAATTCGGAGATAATTCCGTAACCACAAGTCTGTGTGACGTGGTCAATTTAAGGAATTACGGTCTGTGCAGATTGGAGATTATCAAGGTTGTTAACGGGTCACTAACTGGCGTGTACATCCTTATTCAGCACAAATCATCATTCATTATACTCCAAAAAATTTGGATAAGATGGAATTGTATTTAATTCTGCATATGGCAGCAAGAAAATAGTACGCATGTTTGAAATGTTAAGAACAAAGAATTGCTCTCTCTCATTTTTGCTAAGAGAAAGCAAGCTCTTTTGTTCGACCAAGTAGGTATATAAAGCTGTAAAATTACAACCCTCCAGACTACAATCTAGACATACGAAGTAGATCACCAGTACTCGGACTATTATCCAGTTTAGCAGACTCTTTTTGTGTAGTCTGAATCCGGGATCTCCTCCACCCAACTTCCTAATATATCTTTACAGCCCTGGATCTGAAATCGAGCATTATCCGGCTAAATTTGGATTCAAGTCCTATTTAGGCAAGACTTGTCCTATTTTAAGACAATAGAAACTACTACCATTTACACTGCATTATTAAGAGATAACAACTATATCTTAATATGAACGTACCAGTGTTTCAATGCCCGACATACTAGATAATTACTTACTTTATTTTACACCATTCACTATTCAGCCAATCTCCCATTTACTGTAAAGCTAGATTTTACGTAAAACTAGAATAACATTGGACTTCTCTCCCCCCCCCCCCAGCCCCCCCCCCCCCTCTCAACACGAGCCATCTTCCTTATAATTAAAAAGATTCTCTTTGTATGTGTGTCTGACAGGCCACTTGCAAATTATATGAAAAATAGGAATTTGCATAATAACGATGATGGAACGCGCACGTGCAATGATTCTTGGATCGACATTATGATTTATGATCGACTTTGTGGTTATTACATTGTGGTTAGTGAGTTTTACAGAATAATCGGCTGTATCTTTGGAAAGGATGGATATTTTCATGGGATAACATTTGACAATCAAAGAATGATATTAGCTTTATCATTGTGACCAGTGGGCTTTCTAGTCTAGTCATAAAGTACTGCTGTCGTTGATCGTTCACTTCAGAAGATGTTCCAGAAGAGGAATGATGAACTAGAGGAATTATGAACTAGAGGAATGATGAACTAGAGGAATGGTGAACTAGAGGAATGATGAACTAGAGAAATGATGAACTAGAGGAATGATGAACTAGAGGAATGATGAACTAGAGGAATGATGAACTAGAGGAATGATGAACTAGAGGAATGATGAACTAGAGGAATGATGAAAAAAAAAAGATTATTCTATTATTGATGTGTTATAACGTCTCTAGGAATTGTTAGATCTTTTATCTACCCAATGTCTTGATAGCATCACTACACATAACAGGGGGGGGTACACAGTACAAACACCTTCTTACACCAGTGTTGCGATATATCCTAACAATGACTTAGCTACTAAATACCTCCTATTGTCTTACCCAGAGAGATAGAGGGGAGAGAGAGATAGAGGGGAGAGAGAGATAGAGGGTAGAGAGAGAGAGAGAGAGAGAGAGAGAGAGAGAGAGAGAGAGAGAGAGAGAGAGAGAGAGAGAGAGAGAGAGAGAGAGAGAGAGAGAGAGAGAGAGAGAGAGAGAGAGAGAGAGAGAGGGGGGGAAGTATTAGACTCTACCATATAAACCACGTACATTACTCCAGCTTGTGTAATCGCTTCTACTACTAGCTGCTCGTGCTCTCCTAATAATGATGCAGTGTATACAGTGTGTTTTACAAAGAGGGGT